CCTTCCATTTAGCGCCATCCTCTATACTTCAAATGCTTAGCACTCATACTGCACTTCCTCGTATAATATCCATGCCATTCTCCATTTGACCGCTCCCAACGTCATTCACTGCGTATTTGTCAATTCGCGCCTCTTCTTTCCTCTTTCTCTCTTCTTTGATTATTCGAAAGTACAATTTAACCACTTCTCCTCTCTCTCTCCCTCTCTCTCTGTTTTTCCCTCTCTTCCTCTCTGCCTCTTCTAATTTATGCCATATAATGAATCAGTCAGTCAATCAATCCATCCATCCATCCATCCATCCATCCATCCATCATTCAAGTGGATGACATGGGATGTGCATGCACGAATAACGTTAAGTCGTAAAAGTCAACAAATGATAGAAATTATTTTAAAATGGTTAAATTTAATTTTCATTGAAATATTTCAGTTTTTGGCTTATAGTTATTAAAATAAAAAGAAAAATAAGGCAAATTTTTTCTTAATTTTTCCACTCACATTCTTCTTCCTAATAATTCAAAAAATGTCGTCTTTCTGTCCCCCTCTATTGTCTAAATCATTGATGAGTCATTAACCTGATAGCCATTAACCTGATAGTCATTGACCTGATAGTCACCTACCTATCTTTTCAGTCTATATTCTCTCTCATATTTAGATCAAAATTTAGTGTTCTATGGCTTCCCACAATCTCTTTCTCTCCCCTGCCCCTTCCCTCTCTCTCTCTCCCTCCTAACTATGTTAAAGTTTGACAATGACAAAGCAGACAGTTGTATTGCCTGAGATCTAATTCAATAATAGAGTCCTTTCGTAACTCTTTCGATGACTACAAAACATACTCGCACATAACACAGACACACTCCTTTCTCTCTCTCCCCTCTGTCTTCCCTCTCTCTGTTTTCTTTTCCAAACTAAATTTGATGACCATCGGTCAGTCATTGGTGAAGCGAAAAAGTTTACTACAAAATTGGGGGAATTATTATTATTATTATTAAAAGGCAAATCAATGGTTACTGTAGAAGAATGGCCAAAATTTACATTTATGCAAATTTACGACTGAAATGGAATAATAATATAAATTTATGAATAAAAACTGTAATACTTTGTGACACACAAATCAGCCGATTGTTTTGTTTACAATATGAAATGAATGTTGTTTGAGATGATAGAAATTTATTGGTTATGATGGATTTGGAATGAAATGATTCCTCTCTCTCTCTCTCTCTCTCTCTCTCTCCTTCTCACTCCCTCCTTTTATCGTTTGCTTTGAAATTTTTATTTAGAGTGGGAATTATTTGCTTTTCTCTTTATTATTCAAATATTTAAATCATTTTATAAAAATTTATTCAAACATTTCCTTTCCATCCAATGAAACACTTCATCTTTTGTAATATGACGTATACCACGTACTCACAAAATTATACGTCATTTCATTATAATTTCATCATTTCCTCATCTTATCAAGAATCTATTATTCTCTCTCTCTCTCTCTCTCTCTCTCTCTTTCCCTCCCTCCCAAACATTTGATTGTAATCATTTTGAGGTCATTAACCAATCAAATATAAACACATAAACAAAATATCCGTTATTGGTGTTGCATAGATCATAATATGTCATCTTTCCTCATCTCCTATATCTTAGTATCACCTATATTTATTGTACTAGATTCTTCTCCTCTCTCTCTCTCTCTCTCTCCCTCTCTCTCTTTTATTACTTTCCCCTTTCTGTTTGGTTTGATGTTTACAATGTTATCAGAATTTCCAATCTAAAATTTTTGCCTATAGATGAAATGGATTAGATTAGATCAGATCAGATCAGATCAAGTCAGAGAATTACATAAATTTTTAATATAATTCAAAATAAGAAAAGTGTAAGTTTAAGTACTTAAATTATTATATTTATGCTCTTATTATGACTGTATTCAATTATCAATTTGATAACTAAAAGCTAGCAAAATAACGAGTTGAAGTAGATAGAAAGACAGATGACAGAGGATTGAAATGAAATGAAATGATGGAATTGTCCGAAGTACATTTCATTCTCATTTGAAATTGCCTCTGTTATATCTCTAGCATACTTTTATATTTGTTAGAAGGCTTAAATGTTCTATGATGATATCTTTTAAAGATATGTGAGGATGAAATGGGAGGTGACATTTCCTCGCATCGTGTCAACTGTCCTCATTTTTAGCAAAAAATCTCACAAGCTAGTGTATTTATATTTATTTGAATAGAAAGAGATGAAAGCAAATGAAGCATATTGTTAAGTGTCATTGAAATGATAAGTCTTTTTAACTTTGATTAGTCAGTGCTTTTAATTGATCATTTCGATTTGTCACTTCTTTCACAGACAGTCAATCGCTCAATTCTTCAAGAGACTTCAAATATGTGTACTTCATGAAATGGATATAGTTGTTGAACAATAACAAATATGAATATTTCTTCTTTTTCTTGGCCATCTGTTCCCAATTCACGTCATCATATTTTCATCTCTTTTCTTTTTTCAAAAAAAAAAAAAGAAAAGAAAAGCCATCTGTTAGTTGTTTCCCTATTTAATAACTCTCAGTTAGCATTTCTCTAAATTTACTATTTTTTTCCCTCATTTTCAAACTTTCTTCAGCATTATTTTTCAATTCAAAAATTCAATTTATGTTTATCATCCAATTTTTTATTTCATTCAGTATTTCTATAATACATATGTTTGTTGAATAATAACAAACAAGAAATTTAGTACTTGAATATTTAAAAACTTGTCTCATTCACTCTCTGTCATATAACACAGATTAGTAACTGTAACTGTTTACGTGAAATAGATTAGCAATAAGAAATTGGTGCGTCATCATTCCTTCGTCATCTTTTTTCTTCATGTCACTAGGAAGAGCAAAAGAATAACATTGATTCTTATTAATCTGAGAAAATTATTCATGGAAGAAATATGTAATATTTAAATATTTATCATCCACTTGAATTTTTGTACTTTCAAAAGACAAGATTCAATTCAAATTCCCTTCTCTTCCATTTTGGAAATAGACGAACCAATTACTATCGCGTTTCTCATTTTCAGTTTAGTAAGCAACTTAGGATGAAATATTTGAAAAGCAACAATTTCATTATCATTTAAGAATGTCTCATGTGATTTCTGATTTTATCCGAATGAATCAATCAGTAATTTCTCCTCATATTAGAAAAAATCTTTCTCAAATTGATCGTGTAAATAATTTCAACGGATAAATTATTCCTTTTTTTTCCTCTCTATCATTACTATTTAAAGTTCATAGCAAAAAGAAAAAAGAGGAGAAGGAAAAGACAAACCTTTAATTAAAGCCTAATCAAACTTTTCATTGGAAAAAAAAAAAAAAACATTTTTTTTTTGCTATCTTATTTACCATAAAAACTGTCTAATTTAAATGAGGTTTTCTTTTTTCTAATTTCTGCTTTTCATTTTTTAAAATAATAAAAAGTTGTGTTGACAAAACGTTTTAAAAACAAAATATGTAACGTTGTTACGATTGAGCTAAAATTCAGTTAAAATGAAATTAGTTATGAAATTGTTGACATTCCAGAAATGCGTCATCACTAACAAACAAATAGTTCGTTGGAAAAAAAATGAAAGTAAACATTTTTATATTTTTATAGCTTATTCTACTTCTGTCTTGAAATTATAAGCACAGTAATGAAACATCGCACAAATATCATTTTAAGCAAACGTATCCATCACGTATATTCGCAGACGTATCCATCACGTATATTCGCAGACGTATCCATCACGTATATTCATAGGCGTACCCGTCGTTACGTACTATTTAACTATATAAAATAAAATTTAATGAATTTTTCTCAGCCATATTAATGAATACATCAGATTAGTGGAATTTCATCAGTTTCAACCATACTTAAATATTATGCTTTAAACAAATTACTTTTCAAGTGAAATATTCTTTTGTTAATTTATCCAAATATTTTTAAAGTATCAATATTTTTTTTATAAATTCACTTAAAATTTATTAAAGAATATTTACATCAGTGTCATCTTTTTCTTTCGTCGTTTTGTTTGATAATAAATATTCGACGGGACATTTTGCCTATAGTCTCTCGCTGATTTTACAAATGACAAAAGATTTTAATAATAATATAACAAACAATATGCAAAAGATTGCTTCCATTCTTTTCATATCAAAAAGTTTGTTTGCTAAAGATTTAAAATGTGTTATGCTAATTTATTTTTCTTTTTTTTATGCTTGAAAAGACAAATAGCAAAAAGAAATGATATAATATTAGCTTAAATTATATCAATTTATACTAATTTTTGTTTTTTAACACACTTTTTTTCTTTTTGTTGATTTCATTATCATCTCTCTCTCTCTTTCTCTATCTATGTCCTTTATTTAATTCACTAATGAATCAAACTTTTGCCGTAGTTTCGCAAATCCTTGCGATTTTCACTGTCTGAATTAAATTTCAATACATCTTTTAAGAAAAAAGAAATTTCATCTGACATCATTTCCTGTTAATAGTAAAATGACTTAATATAGCTGACGAATTCTCACTCTTACGCAGTAATATTTCTTTTCATCATTTTGAAATTTATTGGAAATTTTTTCATATGACTCATTAGAATATTATTCTTATTGTGTTTGTAATTAATGATTCATTAGTTTGGCTATTAGTTTTGGACAGATTGCCTTTCATGTTCGTACTTTCGCAGTTGTTGTTGAAGTTAAATGAATCTCATTTTACCTCTCATTTTGCCGATTTTTAATTTGTTTTTTGGCCATCTCAAATTATTTGCATCTCAAATGCTCAAAATTATTGAAATTATTTGGGAAAATGAATTATCTCGAAAAGTATGTGATGTCATTCTTTTGTTATATTTTTCTTTTCAGATTAAAACTCAACATTCCTAAAACTTATTATTGCTTGCTAATTAAATTTATTATTTTGCTGCCTGTCCTTTTTTATTTTATTTTTATTTTTTTGTAATCTAAAACATATCGAAATAAAACAAGCATGCTTTTGGAATTAGCTAGTTCATTTGCCAATCGATTTGCAAATAAAGGATATGGTATTTTTGAAAGTGGTGATGAAAGACTTCCTATTAATGATCGTGATTTGGAGAATCGACGTAAAGTATGTTTTAGGCTCAACATCATCGGAATCCAACTTTATTCAAATATTTTTATAAATTCCTGAGATTGAAATTTTATCAAAACATTGTCAATTTTTTATAAAAACTTATTTTCAGATTGATGAAATCTGTCGTTCTCTCATGCTCAATGATGATGATTTAAAACGTGTGATGGATGAATTGCTTAAAGCGATGGAAAAGGGCCTAGATCGCAAAACTGGTTTCTATTTCTTCCTCTAAATTTTATATGTAAAATTTGATAGGTATAGGGAAATTGAGACAGAAAAGAAGGACTCAATATCTAAAGCACTTTAAAGTTATAAAATGAGCTTTTTCTGAGTGTAAAACAAGTTTTAGTGGAAATTGTCATGTCGAAGTCAGTTTTTAATTTCGCAAATTTTTTGCATCAACGTATGTTGTGGTTTTGCACGTTACGTGATACGTGATACTGTAATACTATTGGTTTAATATAACTTCACGTTTGTAACATGAAAGATATTTTAGGATTATCTTTTTATTTTTGCGCTTATCCCTACTTTGTTAATTTTTAGCGTCACAGGCAGCAGTGAAAATGTTGCCTTCGTTTGTTCGTGCAGTACCGAATGGCACTGAAGTTGGAAATTTTCTTGCGCTTGACCTTGGCGGTACCAATTTTCGTGTGCTGTTGATTAAGTTGAATAAACGAGATGCCCATATGGCTGGAACAATTTTCCGTGTACCAGAAAGTATAATGCGTGGCACTGGTGAAGGGGTAAGTGAATAACAAAATCAAATTTAATCTCCATAATTTTCAAAATACTTTTAGATTATTTCTCTATGCTTTATTTTGTTTAACTAATCCTAAAGCAATGATTTTATAGCTGTTCGATCATATCGCTGAGTGCATGGCTCGTTTCATGGAAGAAAAAGACATCAAGCAGGCTGGAAAGCTTCCGCTTGGTTTCACATTTTCATTTCCATGTCGACAAGAAGGTCTGACATGTGCGAAATTGATCAATTGGACCAAAGGCTTCAGTGCGAGTAACGTCGAAGATAAGGACGTCGTTACGCTGTTACGTGAAGCATGCCAACGCCGCAAGGTTTATTTTTTATCGAAGACAAGATTATCTATTCATTTCAGAAACTATAAAAATTTACACCCAACCTTAACATTTCAGGATATTGACATCGATGTGGTAGCTGTTCTAAATGATACAGTTGGTACGTTAATGGCTTGTGCATTCAAAGAGAATACATGTCAAATTGGTGTTATCGTTGGTACAGGCAGTAATGCATGCTACATGGAAAAAATTGCGAATTGTGATAAAATTAAAGACTTGCATCTAGAAGAAGATGGAATGCCAGATGAGGTATTTTAATTACATTTGTTTCATACTTCTAATAATAATTCTTTCGCACAAAAAAGAAAATGCAAATCATATAAACTTTTAGATTGCACGTGAAGAAATCTATTTCGAAAATACCCAAGTTGTCAAGTTGTTTAAACGAAAAAAATTGTTATGATTACTATGGTTTAGATGATCATCAATACTGAATGGGGTGCTTTTGGCGATGATGGTGCCCTGGAATTCGTGCGTACCTGTTTCGATCGAGAAGTGGACGAGAAAACGATCAATCCTGGCAAACAACTGTAAGATTTGCTTACTTTTTCTGTTCTTTGTTTCGAACAGTTAACATATTATATATGTGCAAGTTCTCAAAAATGATTCTTATCAGTGGGCTTGGTTTTGTCTTCACTGAGAATTCATCCGATCATATTACAGCATCATTTGTGGATTATCTCTTTGACAGGTACTCTCATTTGTTCTTAGAGCTGCAATATCTCGTGATGCTAAGTTTCTTGAAGCAACTCCTTAAATCATTTGTAAACGATCTTTCTCTCTCTCTCTCTCTTTCTCTCTCTCCCTCTCTCTGTTTTCATGAAAAATAGTATTGCATTTGTTTATGTGTACAGAATGCTTCAAATTTTCTGATAATTCATTTGAGTAATACCGTATCTTATTTGTGAATTATTTCTCAGCAAAAAAATTGTTACATTCTATTGTTGATCCTATTCGAGTAATGCTTAGCAAAAGACTGTCTTTTTCAGATAGGGTTTTCAATTCTAAAATGTTTTTCGGCATACATTACAGGAGCTTGTGCTTAGTGGACTCGCAGTTAGGCGGGCTCACTGCAGCGGCGGTGTTTTGGAAGCCTGTATTTGTGTGATTCTACGGGCAAAAGCACTACTATCAATTGACGCCGCTGCAAAATTGTTCTGGCTGCGAGTTGCTTTAAACACAAACACACACACACATATACTGCTTGATTACTTCTTCTTTTCGGTACTCTGTGAGTTGCCAAAAAACCAGTGAATGATAAAGGCCGGTAAGGAACTGCAGAATCTTGGTCACAGCACTAATAAATTTTTCGAAAAAATAATTCAAAAACAAAAATTTGCCGAAAAAAGTTTCATTTTTTTTTTCTTTTGCATCATTCAGTGAGCATTTTTCATGTGGATTGGAATTTCATATTGAAAAAATTTTTCTTTCAACGTTTTCAGCATATTTTTTATATGAAAAGCAGGCAGGCCTTGACACGTTGTGACCTGTTCTGCAAGTAATGATTAAATTAATGGTATGTGAGAAAGGAAAGCTAATTGGTTAAATTTACAGATTCGAAAAAATGATCTCGGGTATGTACATGGGCGAAATAGTTCGCGTCATTCTAGCTCACCTGGCACGCCAGAATCTTCTTTTCAATGGCGATTACGAGGCTATTTCAAAGCCACATTCATTCCCGACTAAATATGTCTCTGAAGTTGAAAAGTATGTTTATATCTGAAAAATGATTTCAAATGTATTACTATTAGAAAAGAAGTCACACTTGTTATTAGTTATCTTCCATTGCAATAGAAGTATAAATTTAAAAATTCGAGTTTTCTTTTCTGCATGTTATACATAATTTTTACTATCATTTTTTTTTTTTTTTTTTTTTGAAAAAAAGAATGCTATTAAGTAACTAAATTACTGTATTTCATAGGAATCTGTTTCAGAGAAATTTTGGAAGATGAAGAGCGAAACTTTGCAAAAACAATGCAAATTTTAGAAGAAATTGGAACTGAACAAGTATCAGTCGCTGACTGTATTAATGTTGCATATGTGTGCTCTCTTGTTAGTACAAGGTAAATTGTTTTTTTTTTTTTTTTTTTTTTTTTAAATTCTTTAAGAATATGATTATGTACATACAAGTTACACTTGAAAAGCCACTCTTTTTTGAATCTTCACAATTGATTTTTTTTTCTCTTCATTTATTCTTTAGAATTGAGTTCTTTTAGAGCTGCATATCTGTGTGCTGCTGGCATAGCAACATTGCTGAACCGAATGCAAAAACCGTACGTGACAGTTGGTGTTGACGGTTCTGTGTACCGATTTCATCCTACGTTCCCGCGTTTGCTTGATGAGAAAATAGAGCAATTGATCGACAAGAATTTGAAGGTACCTTTGTTCATTTTTTTTTTCTTTGTTTTAATATAAATGAACATAATGCTGAAAATTAAACGTGGTTGTTAATGATGAAACTATGCTAAAGTTTGATATTCGTGCTTTTATCGTATTTTAATTGTGATGTATGAGAATTCTAATAAAGAAAAATGTAGAAACTAAAGGGAATAATTATTATTAAGATTTTAATCAGTGTCTACGAATTGCTATCTATCAGTTCGTTTGTATAAATTACAGTTCTTTTACAGTATCAGTTAATGCTCTCCGAAGATGGAAGCGGTCGTGGAGCGGCGCTAGTAGCAGCAGTTGCAACGCGAATCAAAAATAAATGTTGTTCTCAAACATCTACCAATTGAATTTGTGCTGCATATTTTGCCTAATTTTTGCAAATTATGGGTGCTATCGCAAAATTTATTTCGTTTTTTCTTCCCTGCACATTTGTTGAATTTTTTATCGTTAATTTATGTAGAACTCATTTCTTTATGCATGCATTTTTGGCCCTATTTGCAACAGCGGCAAAATTAACAACAGCAGCGATAAATCTTTAAGTAAGTTTATCAAACAATGCGTATCTCTATTGCAACTTATAACATTGAACCGTTATATTCTCCTAATTTTCAGAAAATTTCTTTATCAGCAGTAGTTTCATCTCTAAAAAGAATTCAGTGCATCCATATTCTTTATGTCATCCGTATTAACTGTAGTACCGTATATCGTTAATTCTAAAAATTTCGGGATACAAGGCTGAGTTTTAGGATATTTTGAAAAGATTTCTTAAATTTCTTTTCCTAATAAAAAAAGGAACGTCTTAAATTTAAAGAAAATTTTTAAAAAAATTTTGAAAATTTTTCACTTTTTCAATTCTCTTTTCTGTAACGAAATTTATCGTTTCAAAATTTCCAAAAACTGAGTCGGAATCATTTATCTGATATTTATCAGTACTTTTTACCGAGAACTTATCATATTCATATTTATTCAAGTTTTATTTATATATTAAAGTTAAATTTTAAGAATCCAAAATTTTCCAAAAAAATACCCCCCCTCAAAAAAAAAAAAGAACTCAGTTTACATAAACCACATATATATGAACATCTTTGCTTCATCCATCTCTGAAATCTTGCAGTGCTCATCCATATAAAAATATGTCTTTTTTTCTTGACACACAAGAAAATGATTCACTTTACTGACTATCGATTATTCCATTCTATTGATCGTGAATCGCTGAAAAGTAAGAAAAAAATTGATAGCCATGTTAGTTGTTTTTAGATTTCATTGATGGTATCGTTTCTTATTTCTGTTTTGATTTTCTTTGCATCATTTCTCCAATTTATTTAATCATTAATTTATTTCGGTATTATAACCTTGCACTGTAGCAATTGCCAGTGTAAAAAGAAACTTCTATATCACCACAACTAATATTTCCGTCTTTCCTGGAATAATTAACAAAGTATAAATTAAATTTCTATTTCTTCTCTATTATATTATATTGTCTCCCGTAATCAATGTGTCATCGTTTTCATTTTTTTCGTTTTTCAAGTTAGGCTGTTTTAGTTTTTTTTTTCTTTTTCAAAAAATTCTCATAGGTTAAAATTTTCAGTATGTTATTATAAGAGCAATAAAAAAATATTCAGTGTTGTTTTTCTCCTTTCTTTTTTTTTGAAAAAACATCAATTTGTATAAATTCCGCTTACCTTTAGTAAAAGCACGGATTTCGATATCACTGAATGGATGGAAGGGTAAATTTAAAGGATTTAAGAAATGAAATGAATGGTTGGTATCGAAAATTTTGGAAATTTATTAGAAAATTTTTCTTGGTGGACTTTATGCAGAGATAGATATTATATATTGTAACGAATTTTGTTCGTTAACAATTACGTTACACACAAGGTATTAGTCTATACTGATAATTTCGGTGAGATGTTATATACGAGTATGGAATGAAGCAGAAAAAATGAATGAATGCGAAAAACAAATAAAAGGTATAAATGAAGAGAAATGAATGAATGTGTAAGATTAAACGAATTGATGGGTTTTACTCTATACATAGTAATAATCTCTATTAGATGATTTTACTCTTGTCAGGCTAAAAGGCCTTCACAATATTTCGATAAGGCAAATAGATTTGGTTTAAAACGAGAAAGATTAGTTGAACGAATCTGACTTCTTATAATCGAATCGAAATTTGACTATCAAACTGGGAGATCTTTACGATAAAATTGGAAACAATTTTCAACATATTAAGCAATGTACATATTCTTTACTAACAGATTATGACATTCTAGACTGTGCAGATGAATTCAGCTATAAATGGAAGATGAGTGTTGGATGATTTCTTGCTTAACTGGAAACAGTTAAAACAGGAACAGTTTTACAATTGTCTGAATAAGACAATCTTGAGTTCTATAAATTTGATACAAAATTATTTCAACATAAATCGAGTTTTTCGACCGCTGATATACCATCCGAAAGATTGAATGAACTTTGGATTTCTAGTAAAGGCTTCATTCCTTGCATTCTTATTTCTAAGTTCCCATGAGCTGTCTTAGTCTCTCTAGTAATGCTTGAATTCAAAAAAAAGTAACTCTCGACTTATGAAGTGTCTTTTACGGCAAAGTTACACTATGCTGATCACACTAGCTTGATCTGATGGAAATATCGTATAGCAAGACAGTAATGTTCGACAAGTATCATAATATCCTGGCGGTATTTTGAAAATAATCAAATATCGACGTTTTCTTCAGTTTTTCCACAAAGTTTTCCACCATCTCAACTATTCCTCACTGCTAATCTTAAACTGTAAACTAATCAAAAAAAGTTTTGTCTATCGGTTAGCATGAAAAATCTTTCCTTTTCTTTATATTAAGCAATCATTTGGCCTTTATTACATTATTTATGGTTAGAAGAGAACATTGAAGTGTGGTGAGCTCAACACCGTAATATTAATTGCGGTAGCAATATTCTGCAAAATCTTTAGACACTACAATACTCATCATTAATGAAAGACTAATTTCTCAAAGAAAATAGCCATCAAAGATATAAGCGTAACTATTTCCATGATGATGATCTGATGACCCGCAGCAATGGCTCACTTCTAGAAAATCGGTTAATCGACCCGGAATTATGATTGGTTTAAAGTTAACTAACCACTGACTACATCGAGTATAAGACGGACGGACGAACGAAGTTTATGGTTGTGCTTTGCTGAACTGAGTGTGTCAACGATATCTGCGCCTTGCAAGATTGTCGCGCTCTGTTTTGACGAACATTGGACTTTGTACTCTGTCCACTGTTATGCTGTATTACAAGTGGAAGAGACAGGAGCGCCAAATGACTCTTTGTTTGTCATCATCACTTACTTCCAAGCTTTTATAAATTCCTTGAAATATATCTACGGGAATTACTGGTATAGAGAAGTGATGTATGGAATACGACTATTCTCATGTCATCTACCAAGAAAACACAATATTCTTGTATGTTTAATTTTTTACCTATATTTTTAATTGGGTTTTTTTTTTTTTTTTTGTTTACTTTAAGGTTATGAAACTGTAAATTTTCGAAAAGTCTAAGAATATTTCAACTTTTCATGCCAGAGAAATAAAATATTGTAACAAAATCGATATCTTTAATTATGCATTACAAATGGTTTCAGATAAATATTGGCAAAGATAAATGGGAAAAGCCTAGTATAGGGTAACATCTGAATTGGCATATTAGAGATTGCAGGATACTTAGTCTTAATATTTCAAGTATGACTGGCTTTTTTTAAAAAATTTCACTCTTTGGAGTTTACTGCTCATTTGAAATCTTCGGATTCATATGTCTTTATATTGCCGAGGAATGAATTAGTAATATCATGCGAGATAGAAGTAAAAATCGAAATTACAGTGATATTTTTCTCAGATGATTAGCATAGGATAATATTTTGGTTAATAGTGCATAAAGAACCTTCTATCCATGCTTAAATTTACTGTCCATAAGCCTAGTACCTGCAGTCTAATGATATAGGAGCATGGCATCTGTTAGATCATTTTTTTTTGATTAAGTTTCAAACGAGCAGTGAACTGTTTGATTGAATTTAGTTTTTAAAAAAGCCAGTTATATTTCAAATATTAAGATTAAACTTTTACTAGTTTAGTCAATTTTTTTTTTCTTTGTCTATTTTTCATTGTTTATTTTTTACACACTCCTAATAACAGCGTATCTGTTTTAAAATCTAAAAATTGCCTATTTTGAGTTATTTTGCGGACATAGACATGTTACATATACCTTCTCATTTTTTGAATCAAAAGTGAATCAAAACTGTATTTTCATCCGTATTTAGAGAATTAAAAATGATCAAAACAAGATTTCAACTGTTTTCAGCAAACAGCTCTTCGATGCACGGGTACATTGGTACTGGCGGAGTATACCAATGATAAGCTTAGTCCGATAACGTTAAATACTGTTAACGCTGCTTCTAGATTTGGTGAAATATCGGTACTGGTTGCTGGTAGCAATATTAATAACATTGCTGAACAGGTTAATTTATCTTCTTTTATACGGTCGTTTTGGTTTTTTAAGCTAACTTTGTTGATTTTTCAACTAATGGAAATTTATAAATGATATTTTAGTAAGATACATAATTACGATATAGCGAGTCTGACTGGATATTAAAGACCATTATGGTCTTGATACATCCCTTTTGTCCAGTTTCATTGATCAAGTAAAATATTTTTGTTGGATAGTGGGAAAATAGAAATGTTAAATTTCTGTGCAGTAAGGTCTCGATAATCTAAGTAATTAATCTGTAAATTGAAGTAGCAGATTATGTTGAAAGAATTTTAGTTTTTTTTGGATATTGATTCAATTAATTATTGCAGGTAGCAAAAGTGGAGCAAGTTAAACGAGTATTTATAGCGGATCATGAAAAACTCAAGCATCAGCTTCCAGGTTACTTCACGCAGTTGTTTTGTTTCAAATTTTGTCACTTAAAATTCATTTACTAATTTAGTGTTATCTGTAGTAGTTCAAATTATTTTCTGAATGATTTAATAAAATAGAGCTTTTTTCAGAGTATGTTGCTAAGGCTGTGGAAACACTTCAAAAACAGTACAAGTTCGACTATGTAGTAGCGGGAGCTTCAACATATGGTCGTGATGTAGTACCAAGAGTTGCTGCTCAATTCGATTCTGCTCCTGTGACCGATATCATTGCTATACACAGTGCTGATACCTTCACGCGACCTATTTATGCTGGTAATGCCTTAAGTAAGGTAAAGCTTTTTTTGATTTATTCACTGAAGCCATTGGATCATTGTATAAATGTGCAGTTTATCTAAAATGTGAATTATTCTACTTTTTTTAGTTTGTTTTTCTATGATCATATCAATTTAAGGTAAAAACTAATGCCCCAGTAAAGTTCTTGACTTTTCGAGCGACAGCATTTAAACCAGCCAAGGAATCTGGTGGTAGTGGTAGAATTGAGAAAGGTATGTACAAAGTACCAATTCTGTGTTTGTAATTCAAATAGACAGCTTTTCCTTAGTGTTATCCAGTTCACTATTGGCATCAGGGATTTAAAAAAAAAAAATGATACTTATTGCTTATTTATTTTTGATATTTATTTTTACACACAAAAGAAAAAAAAATTGCGTATGAAAATCTTTGAGGAAGTTCATACATTTGACAAATTCATCAGTTTTCAGCCCCCGAAACAGATTTTTCATTCAATGGTGTTGAATTTTTATCACAAGAATTACTGAAGTCGGAGCGACCAGACTTACGGAACGCAAAAGTGATAGTCTCGGGCGGTCGTGGTGTAGGTTCAGCAGATAATTTTAAAATTATTTATGAATTAGCTGATAAATTGAAAGCAGCAGTTGGTGCGTCACGTGCAGCAGTTGATGCTGGCTATGTTTCGAATGAATTACAAGTTGGACAAACGGGCAAAGTTGTTGCACCGGTAACTTCTTTATTTAAATAAAATAATCAAATAAAAACTAGACGGTTAGATTTTCGTTATGAGCCGATACTTAACTTCGAATTATCTTACAAAATCACACAGAGATCCGTATAATCCATCTAGTAGTTAATTCTGTTATCCATTTCATTCAAGGCTACTTTCATTGTTTACGACAACTAAATTTCCATAAGTGTAGTGAAGACTGACTCTTTCTTTTAACTTTTTGTATCATAAATTGTATTGTCAAACTTCGCAGGAGTTATACATAGCAATTGGTATCAGTGGTGCCATTCAACATACAGCAGGAATGAAGGATAGCAAAATTATTGTAGCTATAAATAAAGATCCAGACGCTCCGATTTTTGAGGTAAATTGTAGTACAAATCTGAGTCAATGTTTATTATAAGAATTAAATTACATTCTGTGGCAAAAAATGTACTTTTTAGATCGCAGATATTGGACTAATAGCTGACCTTCATAAAGCTATTCCGGAATTAATCAAAGCATTGTAATCGAACATTTTCCTCCTTAATTAAGTCTAGCTACTTTCTTATTGAAGAGAATAAGTCTCAAACAGCAAATTTTTTCGAATTTTAAATATCTCATTTTGTTAAAAAAATTGTTTGTATATATTTTACACCTTATGAATTGTTCATATATATTTCACACCTTATATTTTAAAATATATTTGATACATTTGTTGTATTATGTGTATTGTATAAACTTTTAATTGCCTGCGAAATGTAATTACATATCTAAGGCACCTATGATAAGATTATATATCTAAGTACCTATATATTTTTGGTACATTTATCAATAAGGATAAAAAATGAGGCAAATTTAAATATGTATGCATGACATATATGTCCTATTAAATTGTTGTCTAGAAATGGATTAGATTGTTCATTTCTCTCTTATACATTTTGAACTTCATGATTAAACTTGATCTTAAAAGACAAATTTCTCCTCTTCCCTGTTTTCATTTTGGAATTAAACAGAATATTTTAGTAAAATATATATCACCGTAATATATCAAGTACTGGTACTCCAATTAGATCCATTAAATTTGACATTTGAGTAATAAGAAAAAGTGTGTTAATTGTTCTAAGCATCTCGATATATATATATATATATATATATATATATATATTTCACTAAATTCGAGTGCTATATTTTTAAGGACCATGAATTAAATATGGAATAGAGTAAGTATGTATTTCAATTTAACCGTTCGAATGTAAAGTCATTTAATAATCTTCCCAGTCCAGATCGTTTTATTCGTAATCCATTCGATCTGGATTTCCGATTTTGTGCTTACGATGCGATTTTACCTAAATGATTATTGGAATATAATCATCGAAATTAGGTGACTATATTAGGTGATATCTTTTTATTGTGATTATAGCTATGGTAGCTTGTGTACTACGAAATTCTTCCATGCTAAAATTTTTGTTGAAGAATATTATTAGGATTTATACATAGCACTGATTGAGGAGATGGAGTAAATGAATGTTTCAATTTAATTGCTCAAGTCTGAGGTCATTCAATGATAATTCCTTCAAGTTTCAGGTTATGTAATTATTTCAGTTTCAAGTTTTAACTGAGTACATTATGCTCTGAAAGAAAAAATATAAATGCTCTTATTTATTCAAAAATAAATCAACAAATAATGGAAGTGGAATGGTAAAAGTAGCATGAAATATGGTATGAATCTCGTGGATAACTTCGTCACTCCTATGTATCCTTTTATCATGATTATCTCTCAAATAGTTCAGTCATTCATTTCAAGATATATCCAATACTGTTGAGAACGTGAGAGGATTTGTTAGAATAGTTTTTGTTGCATTTCCAGTTCATATAAACGAATATATTTCGAAATTGAATCGGTTATAATGAATTTTCACCAACAATTACGTTACAAAGTATTAGTCTATATTGACAATATACTGGTAATTTCGTAGAGAATAAATATGAAAAACAAGTAAAAGGTATAAATGAAGAGGAATGAGTGTGCAGGATTAATAAAGTTGGACCATGAGGACAATAGAACGACTATCAGATGATCTTTACTCTTTATATATGTTAAATTAGAAAACTTTTACAATGTTCTGGTACTGCATGTAGATTTGATTTAGAAACATATGAAACATTGCATATACTCTAATTAACAATTAAAACATTCTAGACAGGCAAATAAGTCCAGTTACAATGAGAAGATGAGTGTTGGATCAATGATTTTTTACATAAAATGCAGTTTGAAACAGTTTTATATTTTTTTACGGAATATTCAATTAAGACAATCTTTACTCTATTGGATTCAATACAATTTTATTTCGATGCATTACTACGATTTGGCTTTTACAACAGCTACAAATTAGTGAGACTGATAAAAAAGAAAACGGAAGTGGTGAGATGGAAACCACTGAAGTACAACAACGAGAACAACAACAGACATTTGCCATCATGTTAGTACTTTACGGATGACGCGTAGCCGAAACTGCTCTATCACCTGATCGGTTTACCTGTGGCTTTGTATAAGTTAATTGGGTTGAGAGTTCACCACAGTAGGGACAGTAATGAAAATAATAGATCAGTCTTCTCGAAAAGTATGCTTATGCATATATGTGTGTTGGGTGTATGAATGTAATGTGCAAGACTGTAACCGAAAATGTAGGGCACTGGAAAAAAGTGGTTAAAAGCTCTTTGTTGACGAGGATTAGTTTATAATTCAATTAAATTTATGCAGATCTTTAGTCTGGAAAGTGACGATAATGGAGGTCAACAGTGTGAATGAGAAATATGATTGTTGCAACACAGTGCAGATTGAAAGCGGTTTAGAGAGTAATGATACATCTGTGAATCAAACTGGTAAAGTTTGCTTGATTCTTTTATTGGTTTCATTGTGCTTTTTTGACATAGCTACAATGTTAGGGCATCAAAAAAAAAAAGTGCAAAACAAATAATTAAGAATAAATAAGAAATTGCTTGAAGTAAATGCTAAAATATTTTCCATATACTTTATCATAATGTTTTCATATGAGAAAATTTTTGACCTGTAGCTTTCTCAAGGTTTCTAGATAGTTTTTTATAATTCTAACTATTGCGAAAAAAGTAAACTATAGAAGTAAATTCAATTTAGATTTTTGGAATTTTTTTGAAATACTGACTGAATGGAAATTTAATGACCAGATCAACAATCATAATGGTTTTCATTTCAGAACTGGAAAGAAAGTTTATAGATGGAAAATGGTTTTGCGAGGATGGTGACGGTGGTTTCTTGGTGTTTGAGGATGATAAGTGGATAGCGGCTAGTGGCGATGATTTGAAGAAAAAATGGGATACAGCTGATACATTTGACGAGATAAGCGGTAATCCGTATCGTTGTGTTGTTGATGGCGTTACTATGGAGTGGAATCAAATCAGCCAACAGTGGTTACCAGTAGTGGAAGTATATATTTAAAATTCGCAAAATGCAAATGCAGTTTTATTAGATTTCTGCAAAATATGAAGAACTCAAATTCGAAACACTGCTTGATACTATTCCTAACTTTACATGAAATCTGGATAAATTTGAATAACTGTATGAATATTATGCACTAGGACATGTTTTGTTTTCGGACGAGAAAAATCCTGAAGATTTGGGAAGAAAATCGAATTCTCCACTAACTGTTTGTCATTATGTCAAATCTATTTAGGTAAACGAAGATTTTTTGGCTCAGTATCACAGTAGTTATGGTATCAGATACGATTTTGACGAAAAAGAAGGATCAAGCATGGAAGGAAAAAATAGAAAATCTGAAGACCATAAACATACGAAGCACAAATTGCACGACAAAAAGGAACAGCAGGGTTGCAACCTTCTCTTCTTTTTTTTTTTTTTTTTTAAATTATATTTAAACTCAATATAGAGGATTTTTTAGGTTGGGTGGAACTTGAAGAAGAAAGGAACACGTCAGTCTATGTTTCAAATTTGCCGTATAGTATAACCGAAGAATCGTTTACCGTGAGTTCAAAATTTGTGCATATTAATATCTTATTTTTCAACTATTATGAAATCATAATATTTGACGATGACGTGTATCAAGAAATTATAGCTATTCTTTTAATTAAATTTATTGGCATGAAAAACAGTTAAAAAAGTAATCTTGAAAACAAATAATAGAATTTATATTGGCATAGTTTTAGGAGTTAATGGGCAAATGCGGTGTCATACAGCGGGATGCAAGGACCAATAAACTTAAAATAAAACTCTACAGGAATGATGATGGCACATTTAAAGGAGATGGCAGATGTTGTTACATAAAGGTTAGTAGTGACTTGTTTTGACTTGACTAAAATTACGTCTGGCTGATATACATAAATTTTCCAGAAAGAGTCGGTCGTCATGGCGCTAGATATTCTGGATGGCTGGAATGTGGATGGAAAAATTATTTCAGTCGAAAAAGCAAAATTCCAAATGAAAGGAGAATTCGACCCATCAAAAAAGAAAAAGAAACTTACAGCAGCTCAGAAAAAACGTTTTATCGAAAATCAAGAGAGGTAGTCGTTCTTGTTGAATACAAATGTTTAAATTAAATATCGGTGAACTGAGCATGTACAATTCCAGAATTTTTGAATGGAAACCGGAAAAACCACGAAACTATCGTCCAATCAGTGACTGTACTATTGTTATGAAGAATATGTTTACATTAGAGCAAATGATGGTTTGTTTTTGCTAAAATTTGATTGATAATTTATAGCGTGAAAAATCCTGTCTATTCTTGTGTTGAGAGCTGATCTCTGTTTTGCAGAAGAATGCGACTTTATTGCTGGATTTGGAAGAAGAAGTTAGAAAAGTTTGTGAAAGATTTGGAGCTGTCAAAAAAGTCGTCGTCCATGATGTAAATTTACTAACTTTCCAGTTGTATGTTCGTTTTTTTATTCTATATTGACTATTATTGCTTAGTGAATGGTTTAGTTTTTTCGTAGCATTAAAAAAAAAAAAAAAAAACACAGCTCGTAGGGGCTAAGTTGGTCAAATTTAAATCAAACGTCTTTAGATTGCAGTTTGTTACAATTTTTTTCAGAATAACCCAGAAGGAGTAATTTGTGTCACATTCCAAAATGTCGAACATTCGGATACAGCTGTGCGTTCACTCAATGGCCGTGTAGTAGATGGTCGACAAATTTCAGTAACGTTGTGGGACGGGAAAACGAAATACACAATGTAAGGTTTTGATGGAAAGATTTTGGAATAAATTTTAAATCAACTTCTTAAAAGCGATGTTTTGTAAATATAAAAATGATCGATATATATATATATATATTTTTATTTCACTGATACTTACATCCGTATCCTATTGAAAATTTACAACATGAAACAATACGCAAATGGCCGTTTTTATTTGTCAGCAAAAAGACTTTAAATTGTGAATATTTTCTGCTTCCAAAGTAAGGCAAGTACTTAGGTTCCATATGGCTCATCAACTATCACTCTTCCTATTTTGATCATCTTTTTGTATTTTAGAGCAGAAACCGAAGAGCAGAGAGCAGAAAGGCTCAAGCAGTGGCAGAATTATATTTCCGAAGACACTGATTAGCAAGTGAGCGCAGCGCGGACAAAGCCAAAAGTAGTTGTCTTCTTGTTTCTTCATATGACCAAAGTGGACAGATCACAACATCACTTCGTTTTACACGCTCCAGATTAGTCATTTGTGAATAGATTGTTTTTTCTGCCTATAAAAAACTGGTGTTGTAATCACTTTTGTTGAAAAAATGTACTAGAATGATCTTTCTAAAGTCCCCATAAACCACTACTCGAAACAAATGGTCTGATAAAGACATTGTCGACGATTCGTATCATGAAGTTTGAGTCGGTTAAGGATGGAAAATAAGACCTAAACGATATATCATATGAGTTCAAAACCAGGAAATTGGAGTAGCAGAAATTAGAGCTGAAAAGAAATTACAGCCGAAAAATGCCAACTTAAAATGAAGTACACGGTATGTATTGGGTAAATATTAAGTCCTGTCCTACACTGACGTTTTATATGCTTTTGACGAATATTGCATTCGAAGTATTATTCATCAATGATGTTTGATTAAAGAATAATGTATTTTGAGATGTTAAACTTTGCTTCATTGTGCTGTACATCTCATACGTTTCCTTTTTCTATTCATAAGAATCTACATATTTCGAGATATAGCGATTTCTCTCCAAACCATTGCAAATTGTACAAATGTTACTCATGAAATTAGGTGAAATTATTTGCGCAGACAAGTAAAAATCACCTCTTCGGGTGTAATATGGTTTCGATCCACAATACGCTCTTTAGCAGTGGAAGGCGGCACTATACAGCTCCATACTTGATGCACTATTCCATCAGTATCCCAGCCTGCATCCAGAAGTATTGCCGCATCAACAACAACAAATTCAGCTTTGCTTTGTGCAATGATTCCTTTGACCTTATTCTTCAAAGAAGGCCAAAGGATATCATTCAACATTCTGAGTTTTTCCTAGAAAGTTATAGGTTACGAGAATATCGTTTTCTGACTGCATGACCTGTTCACCTAGTGAGACTGACTGATGTCAATAAATAGCATTAAAAGAGACATTAAAAGATTAATACTTTTCTATCATTGTGAATTAAGAGGGACCTACTTTATCAGAGGAAACGATCGTTCCTAATTTTTTTCTGTCGACCAGACCATCTTGTACAACACTGCCGCCAAATCTTACAGCAATATTTGTTGCTATCATAGTTTCTCTCTCGTAAAGTTCATGAACTAATTTGTCGCAATTTACCACCTGCAAAAGAACAAATTTTTAAGCGATAAGAAAGCATAAGATAAAACGTAATAAACTGTAAATGGACCTAGCAGATGTTTACTTACGCAAATCTCACTTCTTCAGGAATTCATCGTAACAAGTGACTTAATTTAACTAAGAATGTGAAAAAAAAAAAAGAAATTTTACTCTATCCAAGAATACTTAGGTGTATCACAATACTCCGAAATATAAAATGAAAATTTATATAATATATTATTCTTAATTAATAAAATATATGATACATCATCAAATATCAATCAGTGCAACTAACTGCGCGCCAGTTATTTGACTAATCCTCGTATTATACCTCACAACCGTTTTCAGAAAGAAAATTTGCAGCATCCGTTTTTCCAGATGCGATACCACCGGTCAAACCAATAACAAATGGTTGAGGGAACTTCTCAAATTTGAATGGCTTTAGAAACGTCCCCAGTAATGCTCGACGTCGTGTAGATGAACTCAACTTATATTCTCCTATTAATTCATCCTTTCCATCGATTAAATTTATTTTTATTAAATCAAGAACTGGAAGATTCTTCTCCTGAAATGAACGGCTCATTAAAGAAACAAAATTCTTTCTTTTTGGATAGAAAATATAATGGAACAACACTACATTTTTGGAAAAAGCTAAAAAAAAAGAACAAACACTTTCATAATTTCATAGTACAATTATAAATCCTGTAAAAAACTTACTTTTCTCCTATCGTTAACTGCATGGCCACCTTTTTCCGTTTCGCTACTGACAACAATTGCTCTCAAGTCAGGATCAACGATTGACGGACCATACGGATCCATAATCGGATGAACTTCACAACGAACAGTGCAGCTAATATCTTCCACGAACTTTTGCACATTTTTTGCCCTTTCTTCAAACGATTCCATTAATTCCCATAATACCTTTTCTGAAATACTTGACTGATAGCACCTTTTCTTACCTTCACGAAAAATATTTTCCCCTGCATCTTTCGATAGAAGGAATAAATTATGTAAAAATCTTTATCAGAATTACTTTGTTTCTAATTAAGACTTGCAAATGCAAAATTAAAGTGTGGAGAAAAGGAATTTATACTTTGTTTTATACTTTGCAATTCAACTAATCGTTTGAAATCTTACTTTTAATCATATCACCACAAGTAATACCACATATTATACGTTTTGATGCTGCCATTACAGCTCTCGATAGAAGCAACTTATGACCATTATGCAGACGATCAAACGTACCACCAAGCACGACGCTGTCATATGATTTTTCAACTGTTCGATTACATTCAATAGTTTTATCTTCACTAATGACTGCTTTGAATGTTCTTTCTCGACTATCATCAATAATTACTCGGATATCCAAAGTGTCGCAAACTCTCGATCCTTCCATATAAACTTGCGATAAGACCTGAAGTCTTTAGCATATATTACGAGAAACAAATCAGATCTACTGTTTGAATGACAAATCGTAAATAAATGAATAATTCATACCAATGACTTTCAGCAACATTATTCAGTATCATTTAGTTTCTTTCTATTTTTTTTTTCCTTGACATTAAGCTACTTACTTTCAAGTGGAAATGTATAGTTAATTGCATAATCACAAATCACGAAATAATGCAAACAGTACAGTTCGAACATTAATGTATTTAAGGAAATAATTTCAAATCAAACCTCAAAAAGGTCTAATTCAGCAGCAACTCGAACATAAAGCTTACTGGTAATGGTCTTAGACACATTGGCTAGAAGAATATCAATATCTTGTATAAATTTTGGTCCGATAACCAGCAGTCCGATATCATCCATTTGCTTCGAGATAATTACAATGGAAAAAAGCGAAGGGATTGGAAATGGTCGAATGGAGTGTAAGGGAAGGAGCTGTAATGATAAGAGAGATTGGATGACCTGATAAAGGTAAACAGTTCCGAACTACTTTACACATCAGATATATATATATATATATATATATATATATATATATATATATAATGACCCTTATTTAACCTTTATCCTTTTTTTATTACATAACTCAGCGAAGATCTGCAAAATAAACGAATTTAATTAATTAATTAAATTCAAACAACACAGTTAAATACGGATAACTTCTTTGCTCAGTCAAAATAAATAACACCTAACAATTTTATATTAAATCTCCTATGTAGCTAAATAAATTTGCGAACGTATATAAGCAGATTTATTTGATACTAAATGCTAACAACCTTAAGTAGCAAGTATTTTAAAAATTTAGATAGGAAGGAAGACGGAAATAGCCTTTTACAAATCGAAGCAACGATTCTTCAGGCACTGATTCATCCTCTTCCGTCTCCATTTCAAATTTCTTTTTTCGGTAGGAAAGTAGACAGTTATCAAATTGCACATTTTTTTAACTGCAAGCGAAAAAAAAAAAAAAAGTAAATGGATGAAAGGAACATAAGGAATCGATCCTTGTCGCATGATGTCAACAAGTCACTCGACGGTATTTTTTGGTAAGTTCTTCGGTGTTTTATTTCCATTTCTGTTTGCCATACAAATTCAACAGCAACAACAATAATTGCAACAATAGCATGAACTATAGTCCTCATATTTTATTTACTTTTTCTCCAAGTAATTAATTTGAAAAGTCAAAGGTCATCATCATATCGAACAAAATGATAAGATTTAAGATATCATAAATTCAATGAAAAACAAAATAAGCCAGTGCTATAAATAAATGATAGAGAATAAAAAAATAACAACTAAAAAAGAAGAAGAAACATTTAAAGATATCAAATGTAATGAGACAACAGGTAGACAGGGGGAGAGAGAGAGAAGAAAAGATAACAATAATAGCTAGGAATGAGTGATATTAGCAGTGACAAGTACTGGTCTACTAAGTAGCATTCGATCTGCTCCACGAATCGGTAACTCGTGACAGTGATAGAAACTGATAATACTGGCAATGGAACCAAACGTTGGCCCTTCACCAAGTACCCAGCGATTTTCCCGAAGCTAAATTTATAATTAATGATAAAGGTAAGTTCTATCTTTTGTTCTTTAGAAAGAATTGTCTTTAGTTTTTCTCTTCACTGTTCTATTTGTCCCTCTCAGATAAGTGTCTCTTTTTCATGCTTAATCCTTTCCATCAGAAGACATAATTAATTATATGCTTGAATTAAGGATATTTGTTTGCAGATGATGAATCAACTGGGAATGCTCCACTTTTCACAAATTAATCTACGAATGATTTGTTACATTAATTACTCATTTGGAAAAATTCTTTCATCATCTTATACCATATTTGAAGTTCTCTTTTAAATATGAAAGAAAAAAACCTCAAATCCAAAATATGAATTAAAAAATGAACCTCAAGTTTAATATGTAGTACACCCTTATTGGCTCTTATCGATAATGCTAGTGTCCCGTTGTCACGGGCTCGAATCAAAAATACCCCTATATCCTGGTCACAAAGTTGTCGTTCTGCATCAATCCGGTCAATACCCCTATGAATGATCTCCTCCTCGCGATAACGACTTCGCCGTGAATCACGTCCACCTGTATGTTCTGATGAAATTCTCGGTTTATATTTTATTCTTTTCAAACTAACTTTCAGATGCCTCTCAGTCTTTGTTTTTTTTTTTTTTTTTTTACAGTATTTCGAGACATAATATTTTTTCTTATTTATTTTTTTTTTTAATTTTGATACAAAAAAGTAATAATGATAGAACGTTGCTACCTTTGAAATGTTTCAACAATATGATTAAATAAATTTTAGATTGTTAAAGGTAATAGTTATTTTTCCACATGATGAATTTATCGTAAAATTGCAAAATAATAATAATTAAGACTAAAAATAACTGAAAAATTTTACCACGTAACCTGCTAATACCGAATTTGAAACGACCACGTTCGAGTTCAGTGCTTGAAGCTCTTCTTGGGTCACATTCAGGTAACTGCTTTGGAGTACCTCTCTGCAACAGTTGTGGTAATTCTCTTGCCAAAACTTCTCATTCATAAAAATTCGCTTAAATCCAAAATGACAGTAATACTCGTCAAATTTTACACTTCAGAAAATTTGCTTACTTGATTTGTCATAAAAATCTTTTTTCTTAGTTGTAAGATAAGATGAGTCGAACCTGCCTGATGGCAGCATGATTATGTTTGACATTTGATGATGATGACGGTAATCCTACGATATTACTCGTTTGCTGTTCTGCAATCCCACAACATCGGATACGTAACCCACGTTCTAACCTTTTCCCTAACAGTAACTCTGATGAGTCAGAGTGCGGACGTTCTCTGAACAAAAAAAACATTATATTATAAGGCAATTATAAGAATAAATTCAAGATTTTTAAGAGCTACAAAGGATTAAAGTAAAGCTTTGATTCTCGTCCTCTCTCTCTCTCTCTCTCTCTCTCTCTATTTCTCCCATTATTGATAGCTAGTTTTTTTCTGAGATTAAATATGAGTTATTTTGAAAAAGTAATTTACCGTGGTGGAAATGAAGCGGTACGATGCAAGAATTCCCAAGGAGTATCATAATGAGCTTCTTCCATTTTTAGTATCAGTCATTTCCTTCCCTTTCTCATTCTATTTTTTAAGCTATGCGAAACAAAAACAAAAATTCTTTCGATTTTTTCTCTCGTCGTTTCACAGAAAAAAGTCACATAATTTGCATTTCGAAAATTTGTACCATTGAATAATCTGAAATGAAAACAAGAAAAAAAAACTGAAAATTTATATGAATCACTTAAAAGTTTGTCAATTAATGAATATATTCAAGTTCTCGCTTTTTTTATTTTTTTATTTTTCTAATTATTAGTAGCAGTGAAAATAAAAGCAATTAAACACATTGAACCATCATTGTAATGAGCTAACTGGATAAATTTTAAGCTAAGATATATTTTCAAAACAAGTATGAAAGATAAAAGTAAAATGGATATAACTTGAAATGAAACTGTGAGGATGAGTAGAATTATCAAATGATTTTAATTTTATTTCGTTTAAAAAATTGTTTTATTGGTCTTTTTTTTTCTTTTAATTTTTCAAAATATAAATAAATGAATAAATAGACGAAAAGAAATGAAAGAAGGAAAACGATAGCTGTGAGATTCAACAGGTAGTAAATTGTCAATGTCTTTCTTTTTTCTTTTTTTGAAATAACCCAATTAACATAGCAAGCAGAGAGGAAAATACGTACTGAAAGTTATAGAAAGCAAAAGAGAAGAGGGGAATGAGACAAGGTATGAAAGGTATTTTAAGATTAATTAGGAGAAATAGTTTATTAGTTAAAAACTATCGATTGAATTCGAGAACAGTCTATAAATTAATTGTTCTGATTGAATTAAAGAACAGTTTATAAGTTCAGACTATTCAATAAATTCTGGGACACATTTTACTATAATCATTTTGCCTGCCTAATCAATCAATCAATGAAATTAAGTTATCATTAAATGCAGCAGTAAACACTTCTAGGAGATCTAATGAAATCTGAGTAGAATGAAGCCTAGACAGGATTTGAAGAAGACAGCAAGGCCAAAATGTATAGATGAGGCTCAAGGACATACCAAATACGGATGGAGATAGGCCTAAATCAACACAGACACAACTAGGCTACATATATCGGACATACATGGTATCCATATGCATACATACAGACACACACACACACACATACATACATACACATGCATCATACATGTGTGCATCACACACAATGATTTTAACATATATATCGAATCTAAATACATCCATTCTTGAAAAGAAGTAATCCAATTAACATATCTACTTCTACTGCTACTTTACTAAAGAGCCTGGACTAATATCTCTCCCTCTCTCTCTCTCCCTTATTTCAGTTGTTAATCTCTCTCCCTCTCCCTTTCTCTTTCCCTTTCTCTTTTTCTTTCTAGTCTACAAAGAAAATATCTACTGTGTAGGAGAAAAATCTCAAACACATAAATTTTAAATAAAAATAGCACAATTTTCCATATTAATTATATGATAAAATTTGTTACTATGTTGCAAAGAAGAATTCGCGGGAATATTTACAACTAAATTAATATTCTGACTTGATTTCTACCTTCGTTAATATATTCATATATTGAACGTTAGGCTTAATCTGTGTGGCGTAATACGACTACATTTCATGACGTAACTAAGAAACGATTAAAACGTCATACAGCGGATGTTACGGGTTGATAATAATTCACGGAATGATAAATGTTAACGTTGTTCTATCAAAGAAAGATTAAAATGACAGTTTTTAAACGATTCGCTTCTCTTTTTCCTCCCCGAAGCAAAAACTAACAGAAATTTGGTAGAAAAGAAAAATGTAAAACAAACAATCATTTCTTCAACATGCAAATTATCCTTTGTAACATATCACTTCCGGTACTTTCTTCATTTAGATCGATTGTTTGAAAGAAATTTTATTGGAAAAATTTCAATGTTTCGTTGAAATTTGTTTGTAAAACATATTGGAAATTTAGAACTGAACATTGCGCTATATATTTCCGGCAATATTTTTTTCATTTACGGAATGGAAAAAATAAATTCCTCATCATTTTTTTCCTTCTACAGTCTATTTCATGTACTTTTTCTATATGGAACAGACACGAAGGATTCATTGTGTCAATCAAAAAGATTTAGCCTGTCAATCAATGCAAGAGGAGAGATATCAATAAAGTTTAAAACTTGATTGAATTAAATTGTATTACTGTCAACTATTTGTTGATTACTGAAAGAACAATCTTCAAATTAAAATTGTCTTTCTTCAAATATACCATTTTCGTTTTATCAGAATTGATTAGATGGCTAAAGCAATGAAATCAACGAAAGGAACCAAAGTGTGAGTAACAAACAATTCATCAGAAATATTTTTATGTAAATGAATATCGATAATATATTATGCAGCTGCAAAACGATCAAGTAATCATAAAAAAGTGAATAGAAAAAAAAAATCTCACTATTCTTAGCTATGAATTAATAATTCATTGAAAAAAAAAAGAATTACAATATATCATAATAAAATTAATCTTTTTTTTTCTTAAAAATTCTTTTATCGAATGATAGAGAAAGTATAAAGAATGAAAAGAAAACTACAACTTGTTGAGATATAATTAAAATACCCCTTTTTCTTGCTTCCCATGAAATCTCTTCTCTTCCTGCTTCTCTTTCTTCTCCTCCCTTCATTTCATCTTTGAAAAAGAAATAGAAAATAAAAAAAATGAATTGAATTGAAGATGGTAGAACGAAGATAATTACAACTCATTCCAAAATGGCTTTTAATTAGCCAATAACTGAAAGTAGCAAAAGAAAAAGAAAAAAAAAGGAATGTAGCGCAATGAAGAAATGAGTAAAAGGAAAAAAAGAGTTACCAGTATTACTATTTTATGAAAATGAATGGAGGAGAGAGAGAGAAAGGGAGAGGGAGAGAGGGACAGAGGGAGGGAGAGAGGGGGGACAAAGGTATCCAATACTAATTTAAAAATTTTTTTTCTAGAAATAAAAAAAAGTGGATGAAATTGTCCTTTTTTTTTATTCTTTTCTTTATTTATAACCATCAAATGATATTTATTGATTCTCAAATTAAACAATTTCAAAAGATAAATAAAAATAAAAGGAATGCATTTAAGAATAAATTATATTACATTTATTCTTTTTTCTTCTTTCCGTCTTTCTTTCTCTCTCTCGCTTACTCTCCCATTTTAATTTTACTTTTTTTTCTTGGAGATGAATGAATTGAGGAAGAAAGAAAGAGGACGAATATTCGCGCAACAAATTACATCAAAATGTCTGTTATTGTTATTGTTGTTGTTGTTGTTGTTGTTATCGATGGCGGTAAATGATAACGACAAAAGGATCCATTGATGACTAATGAGAAGAGCTTTTCTTTCTCACAAAACTCATTTCATTATACATAAATATAAAATGAAAAGTGATAATGCTTTTTTTATTAAACTTAATATTTTCCAATAAAATTTATTGTTTCTTATGTCATTTATCAAATCATAGAAGACAAATAAATTTCAATTTGCATTATTAATAATATTAACTTAAATTATTAATATATTTTTGACTTAATTTATAATTTATTTCTAACTGTTAAAGGAAGTGAATCAAAACGAATCGAAGTATTCCGCATAATATATAAATATTATGTATACGTCTAACATAAGAACTGATTAAGATTATAAGGAAAATATATATTATTTATCAATCAGAGTTTAATTTTTTCCTTTTAATAGGAAAAAAGAACAATGCATGTGTTTGGCAGTTTCTCTTTTATTTTCTTTTTTGTTAAATGAAAAGTATATGAAAGGGAGAATTAAGAAAGATATTAAATATCATATGTTTTCATACAAATATATTTCTATATAAAAGGCATTTGATAATGACTGTAAGATGAAAACTACTTTTTTTTTTTATATTTTCAAAATTTTTTCTTATATTTTTGTAATAAAATGATTAAATCTATTCAAAGTAATAAACTCTTAAATTTTACTAATACCATTATAATTTTTTAAGAATTAAAAGATTGTAATTTCAACGAATATATTTAGTATTAGAATAACTGCACCGTTTTTGAACTGAACTGAGCTTATAATGAAATCATTTGACTGCTAATAAAATTTGTAAGAATTGATGGATGCTAAAAGTTTTATGATGATGAAAGTCTTTTCATTTATTTTAAATATATTATACGCTTCGAAATAAATGATTTATTCTCTAGTATTTCTCGTAATATCAAGATAAGAGATTGACTTAGCAATTTTAAAAACACATAGCTAAAAATGGTAGGAAGCGAATAAATTTATATAAATTTGTAATTTTTTTTTTTTGTCTGAGAAATAAAAGTAGAAGGTTAATCGTTCATTGGTGAAGTGAAGGGTATATTTTATGGTATCCTTGAAATGATCCATTTTATAAATTTAGCAGAGTGATAGTTTGAAAAGAGAAAAGGAGTGGCGCAAAAGGAAAGGAAAGAGAAGTTTGATGAGTAAGAGAGAATAGAATGTGTTAGTCGTTCGATGGAAGAAAATTTACTGAAATGATTGATGAGTTTATTCACCGCTAACGCTTAATGATAAGAATAAAGGAGAGAGAGTACTTCACAAATGGTTGTAACTCTTTGTCTCAATTTCATTTGTTTGATGAAAAAATTGAACAAATATCATGAAATTATCAGAACAGTACTCATTTCTTTTTTTATTTCTTCTAATATTTCAATTTAATATTCACAAACTATCAAATATATGTTTTTTTTTTTCTTTTAAATAAGGAAAAAACAGATTAAAAGTTTTAAAATGAAGAAATTTTTCTTAAAAATAGCAATATTTCCATGTCTTTTTTTCATCTAACTACTAAATTTAAATCAAAATTCAGTTTAATTATGGTTGATTGATTGATTGGTATTCATCGATGATCCGTCCATTCGACTATCACTTTTTTCCGAATAATTCAAAATACGTTATGAATGCAAGATATAGACTAATCTTAAATCAAAAATAGCTATATGGATTGAAAAGAAAAAGAAAAAAATATAGGATGAAAATTTCATTCAAAATTGTTCGCATCTGATGTTTTAAATTTGTGAATATCGGTGTAGCATATGTTCAATCGATCAATTAATTAATCAGTTGGAACTACATTTTTATCCTAAATGCAAATAGTTGAGTAAAATATCTTAGATTTGTTTTATTTATATTTCAGTTTAATTTTTGTCAAAATAGAGCTGTCATTGTCACTGTTAAAGGATAGCCCTGTATTATTCACTCATAAATATATCATATCATATCATATCATATCATGCTGTAGTCTAAGTTATCAGTCTCTTTACCTTAATTACAATAACTGCAATAACATATGGATTAATGCATATTCTCTACCTGAATAATATCAATTTCTACAATTTAAAGTAAAAGAAGGAAGAGAAAACTGTAAAAGGACAAATCTTCCAGTGCTTAAAGACTTTGCTTGTAAAAAGTTTTGGCCAGTAAGAAGTCTTGGCTTATAGTTTAACAAGTATGTAAAAACCTTGGCTACTTTTTTATTTTAAAGGAACTTTCAAGACAGGAATATACCTATAAGTACAGATTATTGTTATCATACTCGCACCTTTGCTGTTAGACATGAGATTTCATAGCGATCCGTTTTGTGAAACAGCATGAATTAGGGTACAGTCTACGTCATACGGAACATTCCGGTTGTTCCGGATCTCTACCTTTATTATTTTCGGGTAGGTATCTGTACTCTGTTCCATTTTTTTCTCTCTGCAATTTTGGTCTATGACGTTGCTAAAAAGGGAGGTAAAAAAGAGAGCATGAATTTTCTTGCAGAATATTTCCAATTTTCATTTTGTCTTTAAGGAAAGAAGAAAGGAAAAAGCTAAAGCTTTAAGTTGTTCAGAATCGACTTTTAAAAATTTTAAGATTTCTTAGACTCAATTTTGAATTTTCTTGGCATAATTTAATATCTTCATTCTAGCAAGAATTTCACATAAATGTCACTTTTATGAACAAAAATACAGACACATAAGCTAAGTGAGATTCAACACATGCCGTATCTTCGTTACTCGGGACATGCTATAACGGTTGAGTATTGTTAATTGGACTTGAAGATGTTAAATTTTTTGAATAACGCAATCAAGCTCTGAGGCTTCCTTATTATTTTTACATTATGTTTAAATACAATGTAAAAGTAGCAGAAGTAGCACGTTCTGAAGTACTTTAGGGTGAGTCAGTACGATTGAGAGGAAGTTATTCTGAATGAATCAAAAATTGAATCGCTTTATTTTCTTCTATTTCCATTTCCACAACTAGATATTCAATATAAAATGACCCTATTTTAATCTAAAAATAAAAAATGACTTCAGTCCAGCTGCCACTGAAGGAATAAAGAACCAACATGAAAACAGACCTCGAGGCCATAGCTTATTTAGGAAGTTCAAATTTCTGATCTTAAGTCGTTCCATAAAAAAATAATTGCGTTTTAGTTTATTTTCATCTTTTCATCATCTGCAGCTCCACGGCTCCTTTTTTCTTTTTAACTAACAGTGCTGTATTTTAGATGAAAGCATTAACCTGTGATGAAGTACGCGCCGCCTTTATTAATTTCTTCAAGGATCGTGAACATACATACGTACATTCATCATCGGTTATTCCCTTCGATGATCCAACCCTGCTATTTGCCAATGCTGGAATGAATCAAGTGACTACTTATGCATTTATTAGCATAAGAGATAAAATTAGTTATTAGGCGAAAGTGTTTATCTAATATGAAAATATTGTTCACGATTCTGAAATGAAGCCTATATTCTTGGCAAATTATATTTCCTCTCAAGACGCAAATCAGTCATTGAAATTTTGAAATTTTTGAAACGATATATTAGACAGTTTTTTTTTTTTTTTTTAAGTCAAGACCATGTTCTTTGAATGATGGAATGCTCCACCATAGCTTAACTAATGCGAAGAATCTATGTCGATTCATGTTAAATCGTCAAAAATATTTTTTGAATCGCTAGTACAGACTAAACCTAAAAATTTGATAAGTTAAATTAAGCTCAAATATTACATAATGGAATAACTTAAAAGCACTGTGAAATTTCTGTACCTTATACAGAAATTTCAGAAAAAACTGATTTTCAGTATAAGCCAATATTTTTGGGTACGGTGGAACCATCAAGTGAAATGGCAAAGTTGAAGCGAGCGGTAAATACTCAAAAATGTATTCGAGCTGGTGGTAAGCATAACGATTTGGATGATGTCGGTAAAGACGTCTATCATCATACATTTTTCGAGATGCTTGGAAATTGGTCATTTGGGGATTACTTTAAGGTTCAAACAAAAATCGATTTAAGAAGCTTATTTATTCGAAATCTATTTTTGATGAAAAGTGTGAAATTTTCATTCATATGTATGGCTAAGTGGGCGTTGTTACTTTCATTTTTAAGCTGGAAGTGTGCAACTGGGCATGGGAACTGCTGACAAAAGTATTAGGAATACCTGGAGAACGTTTATATGTTTCTTACTTTGGTGGCGATGAAAAGACTGGCCTTGATGCTGATGAAGAATGCCGGCAAATATGGCTGAATATCGGGTTATTAACGTTTACTTATATATTTCGTTTTACCATAAATTAAAATTCTGGTTCAGGTGCTATTAAGGAATGATACACATAGCTCTAAATTAAGAATTCTTGTCAACTATTTTCGTTTAGTCTCGCATATTCCTGTTTCAATTTTCAGCAGCAAGTCTTGAAAGTCATAAATTTTTAGAGTGCCCCCATCGCATATTTTATCATTTGGAATGAAAGATAATTTCTGGGAAATGGGTGATGTTGGGCCATGTGGACCATGTTCCGAAATACATTATGATCGCGTGGGTAATAGAGACGCTTCACATTTAGTGAATGCTGATGATCCGATGGTCGTTGAAATATGGAATCTTGTTTTTATGCAGTTCAACAGGTAATACACATAATGTTGACTTAGTTTTTTTTAATAGATTGGTAAAACAGCGTTAAATGTCATTCTGAACTTAAAATATTGCAATTTTAGGGAGGAAGATGGTTCATTGAAGCAATTACCACGTAAGCATATTGACTGTGGTTTAGGTTTCGAAAGGCTTGTTGCAGTTTTGCAGAATAAGCTATCAAATTATGATACAGATATCTTCACACCTCTTTTTAATGCCATACATAATGTAAGTTCAATAACGTGCATTTCTATTATAAAAATTATTATTGGTGGTTTTTGTGATAAGTATCTTTCATGTAGTTGTATTGCATTCCTTACCATCTTACCAAATGTTATGCATTAATCTTATTTGTGTGGATGAGCTCGGTGTAGCCATTTAATTGGTTTGAAAAGTGTAATTTATATTGTTAACAAAGTATCATCTATCCTTGCTTTATGCGAATCTTTGCTTTTTGACCAGTTTTTTGACGGTGTAAAAAGTGACTTCAAAATAATTTTAAAATTTCTTATGGGTTTGTTTTGTAGGGCACAAAGGTACGTCCTTATAGCGGTAAAGTAGGTGCTGATGATGTCGATGGTATTGATATGGCTTATCGAGTAATTGCTGATCATATTCGTACTCTTTCCATTGCTTTGTCTGATGGCGGACGACCAGATAATACCGGCCGTGGGTTCGTACATTATTTTTAATAAATAAATGCTATATTCGTTTCTTTCGGATATTGAGCACTAATCTCATTAAATTTTAGCCGACTATTTCTCATTTATATAGTTTCATTTATAATTCAGATTCAGTCTCATTTATAGTTTCGTTTTCACCTAATTTCACTTTTATTTGTAGATATGTTTTGCGACGCATTCTTCGTCGTGGCGTACGTTATGCCAATGAAAAGTTATCAGCTCCACCGGGTTTTTTATCATCGTTGGTGCCGACCGTTGTTAATTTACTTGTATGTGTTAATTTCTTATCTGAGTTTGTTTTTCATGTTTATCTTCTCAGTTACTAGGTAATTCTTTTAGGGGAAGACATTTCCGGAGTTACATAAAGATCCGCAAGCCGTTATGGACATCATTAATGATGAAGAGAAACAGTTTTTGAAAACACTTAGTAGAGGACGGACACTATTCCAGAAAGCGGTTGCTGGTCTTCAGGGACACAATATTTTGCCTGGTTGGATTAATTGCTCTTTATTTGTACACTTTATCTTTTCTCTTTTCTAAGCAATATATATTATTTTTTTAGGTGATGTTGCATGGCGTTTATATGACACATATGGTTTTCCACTAGATTTAACTCAGCTTATGGCTGAAGAAAGAGGCCTTTTAGTCGACTTTGAAGTATTCGAGAATTGCAGGCAAAAAGCTGCTGTAAGCTGTTTTTTTTTAATAAATTTGCAAAAAGTAAACAGTTTTCGAAACTTATGAAATATTTGGTACAGACTTATTAAAAATTTAATAAAATTTTAGGGAATTTCGGCTGCTCATGCCAATAAGATGCGTGATACGATTGATTTGGACGTCAATGCTATTTCAGAATTAAAAAACAAAGGAATTCCAGCGACGGATGATTCACCGAAATATAAATATTATGCTTTATCCTCCGAAGATCAGCAGACGTTGTACAGTAAGTTTCCGATAAAAAATTTGATGAGTTGTAAAAAAAATTCAATTTTGATGTTGTCAAGATGTTAATGTTTGCAGATTTCGAAAAATGTGAGGGCATAATTCTTGCTTTACGGAAGGATAAGATATTTTTGGACACTTTGAATTCGGGAGATTTCGGTGCACTAATCCTTGATAGAACTAATTTTTATGCTGAACAAGGCGGACAGATATTTGATACAGGTGTTCTCACGGAAGTTGATAAGGTTTCTTTTATTTACAGAGGTTTTTCATATGTATTCTGATTTGCAAGGAATAGATCTCTGCTTAGGTAATTTACAGATATTAATTTTTATCCAAATCAGTTAGAAATACTATATATATTATGACTTTTAAAATACTTGCAGGGTAGTGAGTTTATTGTGAGCAACGTCCAGATCCGTGGTGGATACGTCGTGCTTGTAGGTACTGTGGAAGGACAATTATGTGTGGGCGATAAAGTAATTCAAGCAATTGATGAGGTATAATTGCAGTTGCATATTTCTTTCAAATATTCAATTTCAAAAAGAAAAATGTTGAATTAGCTCTGTGACACATATATTTCCGTCTAGTGGGAAGAATAAATTATTGCAATTTCAAAAGAAGAGACGAAAAGAAAGAGAAAATGAGAAGACTAGGAATTATTATACCTCACGGATTTGCATTAATGTTTGATTTCGTTTTTCATTTACAGGACCGTCGTAATCTTATAATGAAGAATCACACCGGGACCCATGTTCTCAATTTTGCATTGAGGAAAGTCATTGGTGAAGTTGAACAAAAGGGTTCATTGGTTGCTCCAGACAGGCTTCGGTTCGACTTAACTGCTAAGCAACCTCTAACCTATGAACAGGTTTATTTTTGATCCAAAAAAATGTATGAATTGCTAATATTTTTTATAATATAAATCTTGAGCGAACTTCAATAAACAGTGCTCATAATCAGTTTGGTTTTCAAGATAAGAATGGTGGAGAAAGAATCGCAAATGTTAATTGATACAAATGCAACAGTGTTTGCCAAAAATGTCCCACTAGCGGAAGCTCGCCAAATAAACGGATTACGAGCAGTTTTCGAAGAGTTAAGGACAATTAATCAAAAATTCATTTTCAGATTTCATTTACGATGGCAGTAATCAAAATGTTATCCATATAAATTTTTGATGACATTTCTCTCTGTTATATTTGAAAAGTTATTTTTCAACTTTTATATTTCATTTACGATGGCACTAATCAAAATGTTATCCATATAAATTTTTGATGACGTCATTACTGGTTATGTTTAAAAATTAGTGTGAAAAAAGATTATGTGCTTATATCACGAGTGTTTGGCATGTCATAATTTTAGGCTTACCCGGACCCAGTGAGGATAGTAAGTGTTGGAATACCTATTGAAGAACTTTTAAGAAATAAAGATAGCGATTTGGCTGTCAACACTGCTGTTGAATTCTGTGGTGGCACGTACGTTTTCTGTTGTTATGAAATTCTGATGGTGGTCTATTTGGTGACTTACTTACTGTGTTCCACCTGTTTCGGGTTTTAAATTTATTTGCTTAATTTCATCATTTTTCCAAGTATAGGGGTTTGTTGTCTTATGCATTACAGTAATTCGATTAAAATACAGAAAACTTTATTCACTTTGATCACAAAAATCTTTTCAGACATTTGCATAATGTTGGCCATATTGGCAAATTAGTAATCACTGTGGAAGAAGCTATTGCAAAAGGTATTCGACGAATTATTGCACTTACGGGACCGGAAGCTTTCCGAGCGATTCACCGCGCTGATCGACTAGAACAACGAGTGGAAGACGCACATCATAAAATAACTACTGACCACATGGTAAACCTGGATAAAGCACAATTTAAAGCTGCAACCAAAAGAGTTCTTGAATTGTTTGAGGTTTGGTTTCATATTATTTATCAAATACTTCTAAAAAGTGCTTTTAAAATCGAACCTTTTTTGCAGTTAATTTCACCTTTTTAGGAAATTAATCAGTCACAACTGCCGTACTGTCGTAAAGAGAGCATTCGAAAAAAAGCGAAAGCACTCCAAAAACTGTTAGATATGCATGATCGTGAAGCGAAAGCAGTACTTGCTGATAAGGTTCGGAAAACTTTGTTCAGTTCTAATTTGCCGCAGTTTAGTGTAGTTTTAAAAATGCTAATGTAAATTCGGTTTCCATATAACTAATTTTCGAAAACTCAAACATTTTATCGAAGTGAATTTCAGGTGCGGTGTGAAGCTAGCGAATTGGATTCTTCATTAAAAGATGGTACTCTATTTACTGTTCATGTTTTTAGCAAAGGTGCTAATGGAAAAGTAAGTACATCAGATTTTTTTTTTCTTTGAAAATTGGAAGTGAAGTTTGTCTATAGAATCAAGCCTGTTCATTTATGTCATTCTTCTCTCTTACTCTGTGAGGATATGGCTCATATGTCACTTAGTACTCAGTAGAGATTTGCCTTCTACTGAAACATTGAAGGAAGCCAATAAAATAGTTCCTAATTTGGAAAATATGATTAATAACTAAAGTAAGAGCAATTACCTTTAACGGTATAAACTTTGTAATCGTAACTATCTGGTTATTATAAAACGTTTTCTAATTAGTGATAATTAAGAATTTCATTTTTCTAATTAGTGATAATTAAGATTTTCCAATTTCTAGAAATATTCAGGTATTAGATAGTGCTTTAAAATCGATAACGAAATCACATGCTATTATGGGATTCTCAGTCAGCGATGATGGTAAAGTAGTCGCTGTCGCACGTGTTTCCAAGGTTGATTTTATTTTTAGAAAATTTCTCAATTTTCTTATTTCAAATTTCTTATTGCCATATTTGCTCTCTTTATTGTAACTATGTTTTTGTAATTTTGTAGGACATGTCTAAGATTTTTATAGGATGTTGCAAGCAAAGGACTGCAAGCATCGGAGTGGATTTCGAGAGTATGCCAAGTTCTTGATGGTCGAGGAGGTGGTACAATAACACAAGCACAAGCTACGGGAAATAATGCTGAATTAGTAGAAGAAGCTGCTCAAATTGCTTTGAAGTTTGCAGAAGTTATACTTTCTTAATCTCTTTTTTTTTTTTTCATTGAAATGGATTCCTTTGATATACATATGTTGATGGTTCAGGAATTCTGTTGTGTTTGATAAATGTTTGGTGAAGGGAATTTTCAAGCACGAATTAATAACTTCACTGTCATTCAGATCATATTGAGTTTTTTTGGAAGATAAATGTTATCTTTTTCATTTTCCTCATGTGGGGAAACAATTTTTTTTCGAAAATCATCACACTTTAAATTATCTTAAACGTATTCGCAGGATTTTTCATGCAGTGTAATTATGCCGTTGTTTAAATCCTTATATACATGTTCTTGTAAAAGGAATATTGTCTACAGGAGAGCAACTCTTTATTATGGATTTGTATCATAAAGCAGAATCTGACCATCACCGTAGACTTTGAAGTAGCTACCTTGTAAATGCATTTATTATTACATTATCAGACTGCATTGCATGCAGTTTCCCGGTTACATCATTGTCACTCACTCTCGTCATTATCTTGCTTCTTCCCTCAGCACTTTTGCTCGTTTTTTCGTAACCTAACTGTATATTATTACACATAGCTTCCAGTGCATCTGCCGAAGCACTATGACCATTACTACATATGCCAAATCATTTATTCAAAAAAAAAAGAAAAAAAAAAAGAAATGCAGCGATACAAGACAAAACTATAGAAATAAATTGTATTTTGATTCTAGTGCTGTTTTTTCTTTGAGAACATTCAACAACAGAAACGAGAATTTGGACTGTTCCATAGGATACAAAAAAGAAAATATGTATGGTACACAAGAACAATGTTATCAGGACAACATATTGAATGAAAGCTGTGGAGATGAGATGTCTCAACTTGGCGACTGTTGAGAAGTAGGGACGACCCATTTCATTTTCGAAATTTAAGTTTCTTGGACGGTCTAATTTTTACACATGATATCGGTTAGGTAATCGAATAGAGCAGTTAAGAAATGCTAAGCTCGGTGCGCAAGTACATATATAAGTAGAATTAGTAAAGGAAGCAATACAGGACAACAATCTAATGAAGTCAACTTTATATACTTACGTTCACCGTATGAAAAACAATGGGGATGGAGAAAAAGCAAATTAAATATAAAACTACAGGAAAGTGATTTATTTATTGCACAGAAATAAGACTGAAAGCAATAAACGGTCATCAGACCACGTCTTCAAACTCATCCTCTTCTTCATCATCTTCATCACTGAAGTAAATCCGATTCCCAAAAACTCCGGAGGAAGCCGGGAACCGCTGCAATCCATGTAAACCAGGCTGAAGCATTCATCAATATGTAACACATATGTATAAGCAGTGAGACCAGTTAGTTATAGGTATGAATGCAGAACTATGTGGAAGTAATAATCTTTAGCATTTTTAAAACATACACAGAGTAGAAAGAGGGATTAAAATCATATGATCAGTAATGAATTCACTCCACTAAACTTAAGTTTTATGATTTTTTTCTAATTATATATGATAACCTGCATAGCAGGAGGTCTTTTGTTTGCATTATTAGATGACCCATGCTTCCTCTTACGTGAGGGCTTCGAAATAGCGGAATTACGCAAGCGTAAAGCACACCGAAATTCTTTGACAATTGGATAAATCACTTCAACTGCTTTCATTACATCACTTTCAGATGCAGCTAGAATTAACGAAGAAATTAGATAAAATTAAAATCTAATTTTCCAATTGCTCTTTAGATCATACTCCTTATCAAATTCAGTGTTTTAAAACTTGCCGCCAGTGACAGTAATGCTGCCGGTTGTATGAATTCGAAGTGTGGCTCGAGGATTTGTGGAACGCCATATGAGGCCAACTGATAATTCTGGTTCGTATTGAGAACAATCTGGATACTTCTGCGCTAGCTAAAAAAATTCGTTAGAAAATGATTTTCGCATACAGTTTTGTCGGAGATAAGAAACTTACTTCTTCAATTTTTACACCAAAAGGCATTTTACAAGTTGCAAGCACGTTACAGACGCGATAATTCCGAATTCGAACAACGTCCATCATCTTACCCATGGTTTTTTGGACCATTCGCGCAACACCTCTGGCAGCACGTTTGCATTCACTTTCGCTACAACATTTGCACAGTTTTAACTTGTTTAGAAGATAGAAGAATTCCATTTTGACTTTAGAAAATGATCTGCGAGACGTAACCAGCTTCAAAATCAAATATACTTGAGAAATAAGTCAAAAATACCTGCGACATCCGACAATATAAATTTTTCCAGAACTGTATATTTTAACGTAACACGAAGGATTTCTCTTCTGCTTCAACAAAACCTAAAATTACGTAATTTGAAATTAAAGGTCAAAAATAAAAATATTTGCAATGATCTTTAGTTTCTCATATAAAATTTAGAATTAATGCTTAATTAAAATGGAAAATAACTCTTGAAGCATAGTTAATTGCCAAACATGACCAGTTAGCAGGAATTTAAGTACAAAAATCTTTAAGTCAGGTAACTTGAAAAAAGTACACTACACACCAAATAAAACTATTTTAAATTCTAACCGATTGAATGATATTATTGAATTATAAGTAAACAGAATAACAAAAGACAGAAAATTTACGTTAAGAGTAATTTGGAAAGGTCAGAAAATACATCTAAGTACTTACTCCTCGACCTCGGTCAAATGCGACATTGCCGGAATTTAAAGCTACGCGATGCAAATCAATATGCAGTGGAAGTGTATAATTACAAACAACATTTCGGATCTGAAACTCAAAGCACTATTCAAAAGATAAGCTATGAGCTTTAATCTCATTGCTTTCAAATGACAAAGTTACTTGGATATCAATCTCGCCATCTTCATCCGAATCATCTCGGTCAGCAAGCTCGGAACTTGTTGAAGGTGGAGCTTCCTCCGTTTGCTCTTCATATCCTGTCTTTCCACTGGACTGTAACATACCATATGCTAATTACGCTAAAAATGCCAATAAATATATACAGATAAATAATAAAAATTGGACGTCACCATTCTGAGAGACTAAAAACAAATTTACAGCATCCATAATCGATCCTACTCGTTCTTCATCTTCATGCACAGGGACATTGAGATGAAATGAATCAGTTTGAGATAGAGAAAAATCCGATACGATTGAATGCTGCAAAGTAGATTCCAAAAGACTATTTCGAGTTAATACTGAATGCTGTGGACCGAATCCTTCAAAAAAATTGTTCGCCGTCGTGCTGGAATGCCATACTACACCCTGAAGCACTTAGAAAACTATGTTAGTTCTTTGTAAGTGATGAAATAGAAACACTATTTTAATGGATTACACTGAAAACCAGTGGCTTCTTTGGTGAATATCATTGTTCGAATGCAATATGAACCAGGTTGATCCTTATAAATTCATAAATAACGAATCGATAAAATGCTATCATTATTAATGTGAAACTAGTTCATAAAAATAACAGAACTGACCGTCGCTTCGGTTTGTGATGAAACAGATTCAGTATGCAGCGATCCCTCCAACGTCATATAATTACTGTTTACAGTCTAAACACAATTACAACTGATACAAATAGAAGCATGAATATAAGGAACTACTTCATCAATTCTTTAATCCATTACTGAAACGCAAATTAAAAGCTTCTCGACAACTTCCAATATTACGGACTAATTAGAAATGAAAACCATTCTTTGCTGAATCATTAAAATAACATTTCTAACAAAGACAATTCTTTTTCAAGAATTAACATACTGCGGCTCAAAAGTGGACAATGAAATTTCAAAATCCCCATCAGAAACATTTGAGGGGTATATGCCAAAAATTTACTAAAAGCTAACAAAGAAATCGAAAACCTTAGTAGCTGCACTGGTAGTGACAGATGTGCCATTAAGAGCATAACTCCCGTGATCATTCTGACATGCATATATGCTCATTTTTTCTCCTCAGTGACCATTAACATTACATCCGCTGAACTGTAAACAGATAAACACTGAACAACCACCAACCAAAATTCATCATCATCTATAATTACCTGTAATTTATGGCATTAAAGCAGATACGTAAAATCAGAAGCATCGCCAAAAAATTAACAAATTACTGCCACATGGCACCAATCGAAGCGACGTAAGAAAAATATTTATTATAATATTTATAAAATCGTAAGCTATCTCAAATTTAAAATAACTTTTTTTAACTTTTCCGTCTCCATTCTTCCATGAGCCACATTTCTCCAGGAACTCAAAAATGACAAATTAGCTGGAATCAATCTATCTCTTATGATTATAATATAATTCCCAAAATCAAACATTTAGGGAATGTAACCGAGAAGTCTCATTATGACAGAAATTTTACCATGCCATCTGTTGTTCTTTTTCACCTGTAGGTTGCTATCTTCTCTAGCAGTAATTAATGTTTTGTAGCTACCGAAATATTATTAGCTGTGCCTTTCCATTGGGAGGAGACCTTCCACGCAATTCCCATAACATTTCACATGCACCAAGAACACTTATAGAAGATATTCTCTCGAGAAATGTTGCTGATTACTTCCACACCGAACATTCTCCTTTTTCCCGCAGTCAGCCACTATACTACACTTGTACGTAGAATCCAACGTTACAGTAACCCATAGACGAAAGACAAGTCTTCTTTTCGAGACTATATCATTTATTACCATTCAAATTAAACACCACACGCCCACTTGCTTCTGATTTATACAACCAAACGTGAGAACAAAGAAAAAGGCGAGATTCAACGTGGATTAAATTGATACAATTCACCTACTCCATCTGTCTTTCTCTATTCTGTGATTCGAGTAACCTAAATGCATATATCAGAGCTTACATGAAACTTACAATAATCAAAAGCTCTTACATAATACATCATTATCTTCAGAGTATTTCGTTCACACTCGTCTTCTATTCTTCTACCATTGCACATTACATCTAGCATTCAATTTCTCAAATTTGAGGTTGATCGAAGTAATAACTGCTCCGTTATTATTTGGATCACCTTCATCAATTTTAAGCAAAGGACTTCAACATTCGTATCACAACAGAAAAACTGCGTGTACCGTATGTCGACTATTGTGAGATTAACTGGGAATTATATGAAATCGTTCACAGTACACTATCATTGGATTATCACTTCATCTAAACTTTTTTATAGTGCAGAAGAAATCACGGAATTGCTTGAAGGACTCATTAAGTAAACAGAAGGTGCCTAATCCCCAAATACAAGAAGTAGGACCCCAAACTCTCGAGAACAGCAGACACCGGTTATCCCGCTGCAAACAAATGTTTAACTGAATTACGGCCGATGTCAGGACGTTATGAAACTGATGGATCTAACATGTAGCAATTCGATGAAATGCAGAAATATTGGATTCATTGTGTTTCTAAAAGATTTGCTATAGAGATCCTTAATTTAGGGGGAGACATTATGAAGAATTTTTCTGAAATTAAGCTTTTTAATTGCATTGGTCTATCAAATCATAACAATGAATACTGCTTATAGATTAGACGAATAGTTGTGAAATTGAGTACTGTGATCTTTTTATCGTTTCTGTTTTGCGATCCTCGTTCTAATATTTTTTCAGTATATTGCAGTACTTCCAAAATTTTCTTCAATTTTTTGCTCTCTATAATTTAAAATTGAAAAAAATTTTTATGTGAATCTTCTCATGAATACACTTAAGTATAAGTTTGCTTTTATCAACAACTGTACATGAATTATTCATTTTCATTCTAGACAACAGTCTTCAGTAGATTCTTTCCTGATCTTTTTTATATTATCAATTTTTTAGTGTTCAACTTTCGTTAATTTTGCGAAAGCAACAACATGCAACTGTTGGTATTTCTTTATAATTGATTTTAAGGAACAAACACACATAAAATTTCTCGAATTCCAAGATCAGGAATGGTGTGTGACTCATGTAAGTGCCCCTTTAATTTTAGGAATAATTTTTGATCTTTATTTTGAATTTATGGTGTGTACAGTTTTGAAATTAATATTTTCTTTTTAGGATGTGTTTTCACTATTTTTCTCTTTTATTTCTTAATCAACTCTTGTTTACTATTTTTTTCCGTTTAATTAATTGCAATTTTTTCTCTTCTATGTAAAATTTCAGTTTGATTTCCAGCTTCATTTTATCGTTTTTAGGTGTAAAAAAACTTGGTAAAGTAGCGGCCATTGATCCGTATCGAACAAAATCACGTAACGAATGCGCTGGGCCGATTAAAAAAGGTGGTAATGAAAATAAGCTCCTTTCAACTAGGAAAGACAGGTATATATCTGAATGAACTTCCCAAATTATTTTTCTTTTTTCTGTTATTTAATAGATTGTTGGCTCTACATGAAAAGTAATGCTTCAACGATATTGATCTATTAAGTCCTTTATCAAGTTTAATTACCCAAACATTTTCATTTGAATTAAGTACAAGTATGTAAATACTATGACTCAGTAAGAAATTGGAGACTGCATAAATTTAATTGCTGTGAAAAATTCTATTTTAATTGTAGATTCCAGCCGTATAATCAGGAATTCAGGAAGTGTCGAATTTGCAAAACTGTTGTTCATCAAGTCGGTTCACATTATTGCCAGCAATGTGCATATCAAAAAGCCATCTGTGCAATGTGTGGTAAGAAGATGGCCGATACCAAGAAACTGAAAATGTCTTCTGTATAAATATCATTTTATCACATTGAGTGATTTAGTAAAAGTTGGAAAATAGCTTCCTATTGGGTTCGTGGTTGATTAAAGTTGTTAGGTAAACTTTTTTGAGTCTTTATTAGATCCACTAAACAGATAATTAATATTCAGCAGAGAATGTGATCTGTTGCTGATTTTTCTTTATTAATTTGTGTATCGTTATTTGCTCATAAATCTTAAAGTTTATTCAATGATTTCAAGAACTAAAATCTTAATTTTACTTGTTTTTATACTGTTACTTTCTTTTTTTTTCATTATGCTCAGGAGCATGTGGATGGACGGAGAAATATGGAAGGCTGAAAATATGAAAACAGTTATTACTTGTATCACCTATAGTTCTTACCACTCATAATCTTACGAAATTCCAATAACAACGGATGATTCATTTTCACATACGTGCTGCGCAGTTTGGTTTTCATAGCTGTCAGTTATTTTCCGGTTTTCTCGAAGTTCTCTGAACTTCTTTCTCGTTCGCCATATTTCTTCGTTTGTGTTTGAAATTGATATGTTTCTTAATGTGCACGCCGTGATTAATAGTTTCTGTATTGTATGTAATTATTTAGATACTCTAATATATCTTTCGACAACAGAAAAAAAATGTACAGTTTGTGCATTTTTAATTTTCGAGGTGTTTGTTATTGTACTACAAATGAATATCTGATAAGAAGTGTTTATAGATAGCAGTAACAGATGTCTTAAATTTGCAGATATACAGGTATTTGATTTTTAGAATGGAGTAAAGCAACGCAATAAAGTTGTTATGTCCGAAAGTGTCATCTTATTGTTAGGCATAAAAATAATTCCCATTATTCGGAAGTTTAGTTAGTTCCTTTATTCATATTTTATATAGTTGGCTAATAAGTATTGCCTATAGTTGAATATTTTTGTCGATTATAGAATGGTGTATAGATAAGTTCCGCAAAACGTTTTTGTCGAGAAGTTCTAGTGGAAGTAGACAGTAAATCGTGTTTGATATTTAGTTCGTAATAATAACTTTAATTTCAGTTTATTATGGATAGATAGATATGATGTGTATATGGAAATTACTAAATATGTCTATTTCAGATAAAGACTTATAATGATAGTAGGTATCGTATCGTCCAGAAAGAAATTTATCATTGTCGGAGTGATGAAATTAGGAATCCGGATTTCATGTGCGGAAATCTTTATAGGTTACCGTTGTGAATAAATAAAATATGTAAAGAGATGATTTGTTGAGTGCAGTCATTTAAATTTTTGCGAAATATAATTCGTGCTGAAGTTGAAAAGTGATCTGATAGAATTCAATGATAAGGGAAAGTACTCCAACTTTAGATGATAACGAAATGGTATTTGGTGGATTTATTATAAAGGTTTTGAAGCGGGTCACTGCATTATCTCTGTTCCATCTGTCCCATTTCATTAATGGGTTTCTTTTTCTATTATTCAATTTTTGTTTCTTTGGGCCTTTTAAAATACCGCATTGTTCCATAAATCTGTAGAGACAAGCTTGTCGATGAAGACATAGTGACTCTCAGTTCTCCTTTATTATTTCATACAGATGTGTTCTGCTTATCATTGAGCAAAATCAATATTTAATTTCCTTATTTTACATTATCGTATTCTTCAACTGTAGTTATCATCACGAAGGGTCAGAAAAGCAACAATTTTGTCATTAAGGAGATGTGTTAATGTCATTGTCAAGGTATTTAATTCGAACTTTTCCTGAGAAAATGACAGAATAATTTATTGATTGTTCACGAAGGGTTTTTTTTTTCCTTGATTGCTTGCAGAATTTCTTTTCTACCTGATTGCTTCCATTTAACTTCTTTTACTAAACATCATCTTTATAACTGTACTGAAATTATTGAAGTGAGTGCTTCCTCATTTTCTCTCACATTCACTATCAATTTTTACCTGTCCTATTGCTACCTTTGCTCGCATTTCTCATAATTAGTCGATTTCGACTAGCTTATTACTATTTTGCTTAGCCGTATGCTATGCTATTGTTGAATTAATTATTAGCTTCTAGCTAATTGCTTGTTAAATCGTGTTGTCTTTTCTTCACCTCAAGCATATCTTGAACTGTTTCTGATAATGATTTTTCATTAGACAAACAAGTTAATGTCACCAGTAATGCTAAGAATGGAAATTCGTTTGATTGAAAAAACTTGTCATTTTAGAGAAATCTTTTGTACCATATTTTTGTTTTTTTCTTCAATTAACATAAAAAGAAACAATTTCTCCTTTCATTGTATCGAAAAACTCGCTGAAATGTTCCAATATTTTATGCTTTATTGTGTAGAGAATATTGTTTGCTTTCAAAGCATTAGCGAATTTTATGTACTTTCTATTTCAATAACCAATTCTAATTCCATTCCTTAAATTTTTGGTTTTTACTTTTAAATTATTTCAAGTGTTTTAAAAATTTGCTTAATGCTAATAATTGGACAGATTGGTTCAATATTATTCTTCTGCAGTACAAACTTTTTTACTCATTTACTGAAATTTAATTTCGTTTGAAATTCACTATTTGCTGATGCCTTGGTAACATTCGTTAACACTCTGTAAATACCTTGCGGATAATTCTAAATTCATATTTTCTAATTATCGTTACTTCATTAGTTGTAACTGTATAACTGTATTCGGAAATCTTATTATGGTTTGAAATTGTTAAAACTAAATTGTATGGGTGACTTGAAGTAAGTCAACATGAAAGTACTGCTACCTTTGACCTTTTTCAAGATCGAATTAAAGAATTATTGTGACATAGTAGTGCACTATGATCATATCTCCTTAGAAACCTCTTCTCTTATTTCAAATTGAATTTTTGTTGTTTTCAAGATCGGATTACTCCAGGCAAAACAGGTTTTTCAGGTGTGTGTCACAAAACAAGTCTTTCAGGATATTTCAAATTTTAATATGCATCCATTTGGCGGTCTTTGTATTTTACATATATACATGGAGAAATTGCTTAGGTTGTTATCATTGATCATCGGTAATAACACGAGGATTTCTCTCAAGTATGAATGAAATAAATTAGACTAATAGAAATGAGGTCAATCCTAACTTCTTACCTCATTAATCATATAGTGCATTAGTCATCATGTTTTGTTGTTTCGCTTTTTGATCATTTCAGGTTTGACCTAATTTTTATTGTCATCAAAGATAATGTGACAGCAGATGTATTGCAGTAAAATATACGAAATAAATGACTTATGATCCAAGAGGTCAATGGATATTTAGCCTTGTTGAACTACAAATTCGGATGGCATAGTGATGGTGAATTTCGACTACTTCTGGCATTCTTGCTTAATCTTCTCTTCCTTCAACATAACATTTATTATATTTCTTCATATTACATTCCTCTGATGCTTACCCTAGGACATTTTGATATATTGTAGCATTTCTTTTCCACGTATTTTAATTTTTATATGTATATTATCAATTTCATTCATTCTTTAAAACAATACAAACCATTTTCATGCGCTAATTGTTTTTTAATATTATGTGTAATCGACTTGTCATTTCAACTTAACGTAAAAACAAAACAAAGTCGAAAATGGAAATGAAATTTCTAGAGTGGAATATGTTGTATTGAAGCCATGAAAGGCGTGGTACACAGTTGCTTGCAGAACAGTGCATCATTTTTTTTTTTTTTTTTTGGAAAAACTTATAGTTTTAGTATAATATTAATATTCTCGAATTATATTATTCTCAGTATCATATTAATCCTGGATTTGATATTATTTTTATGTACGGTAGGCATATTGTATACTCGTAAGTTTAGAAATTATAGTAATTTTTAGTACAATAAAAGGGACACTAATGGTATAATATATTGTATAAATTCATCGTTTTTCTTGTTACATAAAGTACTTACTCTTCAAAAAATTTTCGTCTTTTTCGTATTCCTTTACGCCGTTTTTATTTACGGGAAAGCTTTAAGGATGAATATGCAAGATGTTCTAAATAATTCACATTTTATGATGCCATTGCTTCATGCCGTTTGGCACTCCTTAAATCTCTTAGATTATCATTTAATTCATTTTTTTTCCAGATATATGAGATGAAACGAATGGAACGAATCAATATGGTATTGATGTTGTTGTCGTTATCATTACCTATCACTATTAATGCTTTATCCGTACCACGCCATCCACAGCATGTGAGACAGGTGACAATACAGGTCAATGGCTATAAACCAGTGATTGTGAGTGCTTTTGTTGTGTTTCAAACATAAAGAATAAGAAAATAAAGGTGAAATATATGCAAAATGTGTACTAGTTGTAATTGAGTTATTAACTACTTAACATTCATCCGTTCAGTTTTATTTTTCTTCACATTCTCAATAATCTGATTGAAAAACTCATCACATTTGAAAACACTTAAATATTATCAAAGAACGACAAAAAAAGTATGATATCAAGAAACCAAGTTATTGCCTTTTAGCCAATTTCAGCTGATGATGATTTCACTGACAAAGCAGATATATTAGCTGGAGCGATTTTGATAGTGGTTTTATGTCTGCTACATAAATGTGTCCTATTTTAGAGGAACATTTTGTATCAAATAATCACATTGTCTCTCAAATCATAGAAGTATCAATTCATTGTGGATGGATCAAGCTTTTTCAATGAAAATTATTAGCAGATATATGTTTAATGTCGTTCTTTATAAAATGATGTTAAGTTGACAACGAGTCTTAAATGTATTTTTTGATTTTTTAGGATGATGACTACATAGCAGTATCTATGCCTATAGAACCCGGATATATTGGTTTGTTTCTTTAAGTATTTTTAACATTTTTGATTTCTAATGTATAAATTATGTCCTTCGTACAGTTACGTTCAGTCCTCGGTACAGTTTTACTTTATTATCAACTTCGAAGAAGATTTATGAAAGTTATTCTAAAAGCTGCAAAATTCCTTTAAAGATTTTTGTAAGTAACATATTTTATATGCATGGACATTGTTGTTGATGTAAGAATGAAAAGTAATCTTTAAAAACAGTTCAGTATAGATAGATTAAAATTATAATTTCACGCTTACATAATTTTTACCAAAACTATTTCGTATCTAATTTTAGTTCGCTTTGAACCATTCGCAGATGCTGACCGTGTTCATCATATACTGCTGTATGGTTGTTCTTATCCGGCTTGGCCAAAGCCATTTTGGAAAGGATTTAGCACATGCCGAGGCTTCGAGTCACATATTTTATATGCATGGGCAAGGAATGGTAAATAATTTTGTTGCTGGTAGAACAGAAAGATAATATAAAAAAGCAGTTCAGCATATAAAGTTATAATGAACTGATTTGTCGATGTATTTTTCTTTGTTTGTTAGTGTTTTGAATGTATTTTAAGATGATAAAACATTTAAAATATTAATAATTTATTTTATCAAAACTATTCAAATTGTTAATATTTTGAGTGATTTTCTATAGAGGACAACTCTTTTATTTAATGGTTTCTAAACGAATTATTATATATATGCTTTTGATGAACGTCACATTCTTCTTTGATATAATTCTACCTTTTGTATAGTTGGTATAGAACCAAATAGTGAAATAAATTCAGTTACATGCTAATTAATATTATATTAGATGAAATGGAAATAGCAAAGATTTGTACTTTTTTTTAGCACCTGATCTTAAATTGCCGCAAGATGTTGCGTTCAGTGTTGGACACAATTTCGATTCTATAAAATATTTGATAATGCAAGTAAGTTATTATTGATCACTTTCCTTTTTTTTGTTACTTTCGTAAATCATAACTTCAGGGCGTCATTTCAGTTTAACAGATTTGTTTTAAAAATTACTGCTTTTTCATCCTTTTTATTTTTGGGGCATTTTCTCTACTTCTCCATGTTATCTTTCTTTGTTTTATATATGTCTCTTAATTTATTTGCGTGTTATTGGTTATCTTCAACTTCATATCCCAACTTCAGTTATTGCTGATATCCAAAACCTTCCAAATGATTGCGTAAAGGATGGTAGCGTATATGGAAAATTTAATGTGCCATTTAGAATTTATATAGACAATTTGGAATTTGGGAGAAATTCCAGGTACATTATGCGCATCCATTTGTGGGCAAAATAGAAGACTATTCTGGTATTACCCTGCATATGATTAATGAAAGACCTCGCCATATGGCTGCTGTATTACTCTTCGAATCTGGAACTTCAATTCAACCGGGATTTTCTCATTTTCAGACGAATGCAAGCTGTATATACAGGTAGATAATCCTTTAGTTCTTAATTTATTTTTCAAATTATGTCCTGTAGATGTTTTGGTTATTGTTGCTAGTAGCTTCGTTTTAGTAAACATATGAAAAATAACGGTTTCAGTGGTGATACTCCAATTCATCCATTTGCATTCCGTACACATACGCACAGCATGGGACGAATTGTTTCAGCATTTTACAAGCATTCTGATAAATGGACAATGATTGGTAAGCGTAATCCTCAGTGGCCCCAGCTGTTTCAACCGATTGAACCAAACTTGACTATTTCAAACAGTGATTTAATGGCTGCCGTTTGTGTTTACGATTCATCAATGAAGAAATCTGTTGTAAAGATTGGGTGAGAACAGTATCCTTTATTCTAGTAAAGTTTGAAGAATTTTAGATTGGTACATTTTTTTTATTGGATAAGAAAACTCATTAGTGTTATATTCGTGCGTTTGTATATCTTTAACATACTAAGTCGCACTGAAAATAATACGAGACTTAATCAAGGTAAGTTACTAATATATATTGAACGTAATCTTATGAATTGATTGTATTTTAAAAAGTAGTTAATAGAGTTTTTTAGAAAAAATCCAAAAATTAGATTGGGAAAGTGTTGAGTAGGTTTTTCAGAGGAACGGGTCAGGATGAAATGTGTAATTTTTACATGATGTTTTATTGGGATGCTACATCACCGAATCCATTTCCTGAGGGAGCATTTTGTGTTGCACAAGAGGAACGGGACCTTGTGAGTGAAGAATATCCAACTGAAGGCACAATCCCTCTTCAACCGCATCCAGACTGGGAGCAACAAGCGCATCAGGGCAAATTGTTTGGTAAATTTTACTGTAATTCAACTTTAATTTGCATGGGAAACAATATTTGGTAAAAAGAGTCATAAGGCGAAGAAGGATTAAAAGCAGAAAATGAGAATGAGTTTAACGGTGAGACCGAAATTGGAAACTCGAAGGAATGAAGAAAGCAAACCATAGGAATTTTCCAGATCTTTGTTAACTTAAAAATTTTCTTTTTTGATATTTATTATTCACTTATTTTCATTCTTAAATTTAGTGGAAATACTTGGTTTTCTTGTTAGGAGTACATAGTGGATCAGTTAGTCTTTGCTGTTACCATTCTTTTTTATTTCGGCTAATTATTTTCGATTAGCTGGTTCCGGAGATCTAAACATGAAACTTTTTCAAAATTAATCCACAATTAGTTCCAGAATAATCCTGTTCCTCATTTTAGGAATCATTGAAGGGATAGCAGCAACATCTGTTGATGGAATCAAGCTTGGACAAGTTTCTGCGCTTAGTTTCGATTCATTTGGGAATTTGGTTATATTTCATCGTGGTAGCCGCTCTTGGGACTCGATGTATGATGACTTCGTTTTATCAATTTTCTGTTCTAGATATAAGGGGATTAATTCTAACTATTTATTTCCTAAAAGTTTGTTTTTAGGTCATTTGATATGGGAAACAACTTGCGAGACAAAAGACCTATTATGGAAGATGTGATTTTAATTACATATTCAGATAAGCCAAATGGGACACTGTCATTACGTAACAAATATGGTAGTGAAAAGTATATTATTTCTACTTCTATATTTATTGGAATTAAAATATCTTGTTTTCTGGTTTTGTGTCTGTTATGATAGTAGGTCGGATGATGTTAAATTAACAAAATTGAGATTTATATGCGCACGCAGATGTAAGTGAATGAAGACAGAAAAAATATTGAGCATTTTGTTACCCGGCTAGTCAATACTACTGGACAAATGTGGATAACTGTGAGTAAAAAAAAAAGAAAGACAAAAAGACGATCGATATATTACTCTGAATATCGTATGGACAATAATATGATTTTATGAAATAGGCTCAAATTTCTATCTCGTAAGACTAGTTGGGATGATAAGGGAGAGAAGATAGTAGATGACATAAAAAGGATAGCACGGTTAATCAACAGCATCAAGAGAAATATAAAAGTATATATTGAGAAAGCTTTGTTCTTTTTTTTGAAAAATTATTTACTTGTGAATTGGTTTTCAGATCTCTTTCTCGTGAACTATATTTTTTTAGAAAGATTTTAAAAGTTCATCTTCTTTTGCAGATTTTACATGCCACATGGCTTAACAATTGACCAGCAAAATGATTATTATACAACCGACGTTGGCTCTCACCAGGTTATCAAATGGTCGCTTTCACATGGTTATGTTCGTTCCTACTTTTTTGATTCATGGTGAGGGGTAATGTGGAATGGTTTCTACAATTTTTCAGAATTAGAATGTCAGTCAATTAAGTGACATTCTTCAGTTTGATATGAATGAGAACTTATTTTTAATCATATCAGTTCCTGTCTGATCAGTTTTATTATTGCATGGAGAAGTGTGGCATAAGTTTGGTCACGAACTTCATCAAACAGGAATACTATCTGTAACAATGACTGTGATAGGTAGAGTAAATTGTCTAGTTTCGTTTCTCATGAAAATCCAAACTGTTTGACGGTCATTGCTTAAATTCTTATGAAGCCTTACTATACCGATGAAATTCTAGGCTCATTAACACAAGCTTTTGCACTGGGTGAAAAGTTTGTCCCAGGTAGCGACCAGAAACATTTTTGTAAACCAGCTGGTATTGCGGTCACTATGGATGGAAGTATCTTTGTCGCGGACGGCTATTGTAATAATCGAATCATGAAATTCGATCGAAGTGGACAATTTGTAACTCAGTGGGGACAATCGAATTATAATAGTAATAAGTTGTTTGTAAATTGATAAAAATTATATCCAGTAGGTTTTTTATTATTTGAAAAAAATATTATTTGAATTTTGTTCCATAAATTATTTAAAACTTCAGTGTTCTAAGTCACTGTTGATAACAAAGTTAGGAATACGGAACAAAATAGAACGCGACATCCTTTTTCTAATAAATTTCTCTAATAAAATTTTTTTCTAACAAAATTTCTAATAAATTAGAAAATTTGCAGTATTTCTAAAGTTAACATATGGTGTGAAATGAGCTTTCGGGTAGGTAATTTTCAGTGAATGGCATGGGAAGCGTACATCTTTTGTTACCACATGACATTGTTGCAAATAATGATGGTTCCTTGTTGTATGTTACTGATCGTGAAAATGCTCGAATACAAATATTTCGGAATGATGGACATATAATGGGCCAAATTGTTAATCCACAAAACATTACTGCATTTGAGAATATTTATTCAGCCGATATTCATAGTATGATTTTCTTCTTATTCTCTGTAAGTAAACTGGAATCCGTTTCCTCTGCGGTTTGGAACGTTACTTATTGGAAAGGAGACACTGAATGGTAGTGTTGGAGAGAATTGGAATGAAAGACTAATTCTTTCGTTGATTTGAACGTCCTATGTTGCTTCCGTAAATCTTTGTTTGAAATCCTTAAAAACTTATCAGCACTTTTTAATCAGTTCATGAAATAACATTTCTCATCGAATAAGATTGGTGCATAATTTGAGTATTTCCAACTTATATTAGAAATAACTTCGTAAAATGATAGTTTAAAAATTTAAGAGTAAAATTAAATCTTTTCCATATCAGGGATTGGTAGCTACTTAATAAACATTATATTAAGGTTATGTTTATGATGTTAAGTTTGTTGACTCGCAAAAGGCAAGCAACAGCTGTCTTCAGTAGTTTTTATCCAAAAATTTGCACTTTTACATCGAAGTTGTTGGAATTCGCTACATTTCTTCGTTTAATTATCTGATTTCAGATAATATACTGTACTTCATCCCTGGTAAACAGCGAAATGGTTTACCTTTACGCATGTTCAGTGCACATGCGAAAGCTGCTCGAGTACAATATTCATTTGAACCAACAAATTATCCATTCAATAGACCGCATGCAATTCGAGTTTCTAAGGATGGACGATATATCTTTGTTGGAGAATTGGGTCAAGATGGTGGTCGAGTTTTACAGTTTATAATAAATCCTGACTGGGATCAAGTTGGTAGTGTGATTTTATTCATCTTGGATATTTTTAACTTTCAACGGCAACGTTTCATTCCCCATTTGCAGTAGTAGAGCTGTCGAAAAGCTAGTAGTTGGGTAGTTTCCTTTGTCTTCGGGATTATATTCTTATTTATTTTGTTAGTGTTAAATTTTGCCACTTGCGAATAGAATTTGAAATCCGGCTTATTTGCTTAAATCAAAACTTTATACATATTGCAGGGAATGAAATAGGTTCTTCGTTATTACTGTCGAATTTTGCAGTAAATCGAACTTCACAGTTCTCAATTCCTACCACACTTCTGATTGCAATTGTCGCTCTACCAGCGTTGATCTTGCTTGCATATAAACAAAAGCGATTTATACGAATTGGAAAACAGTATTCAGTTTTAGATCGCGCAGTAAGTATCCATACAACTTAAAATTTTCCTAAACTTCTCGATTCCGAAATAATTTCTGGATATGCTCAGTGACAGTTATAAAAAATTATTATCTTAATAGAAGGTCATTTTAGTTTGTTTTTGGTAAAAGTAGATTTTATCTTTATACTCATACTAAATCATAATAAATGGATTTTTTTATAAATGTATTACTGATGACCTAGATTAATTTATTTACTTGAAAACTCAACATGAATTTTTCGAATTAATTACGAATTTTCCAAATTGGTTGGGAATAATGTCACTATTGTATTAGGGATCTTTTTCTACGAATTATTGATGAGAACTCTCGAGATTTTTATTTTTCAGGGCTTCAAACCTTTACGAACAGATGATTCGGAAATATCGGATGACGATTCAGAGGATGATGTCATTTGTTCCCGACAAAAAAACAATAATAGGTTTTAACTATTGGCCTTAGCCAGAGTTGAACAATTGTTTCATGGTCTTTTCCTAGGAAAAAGAAGCCGAACGAATCCATTATTTAAATCCTCTAGCCGGTGATGTTTTCCCATTTACTAATCAAAGGGATGACTTTTTTTTTGGGGAAAAAATCTGTCTTATAATGTTAATTTCTAGGTTATAAATGAAGATTGAAAAAAGCCTGATTTGACACAGCTATAGATCATAAAATGATTATTTCTCCAGCAATATTTAGGTTCTTTAAACATGGACAAACCGCAATGTGTTTGTTGCTCGCTATGAAACCGTGAGCTTTTTTAGCTTGAAAAATGAAAGAATATCAGCGGTCGAGATGATTTTGTAAAATTTTACGATTCTGTAAGATTTCATTTGCTTTTATGTTTTTCAGTTTTGAAAATCTCGTAGTGTTGCTATTTATCAGTGGTCTTTGTGATATCGGTTAAAAAAATTTATATCACTTCGGTTTTTCTCTTTCGGTTCTTTCCAGTTTATATCACTTCGGCTCTTCTCTTCACTTGTACATTTTACATTTTTTCTTGTCTATCCAGGCTTCTCATTTGGTTTTGAAATTTTCTTCACTTTTTCATTATTTTCTATTTCATTTCCTTTGATTTATCGTCCATTTTTCTTAAAATTTTGTTTTCTTTTACTTTCCTGCATTTAATACAAAGATACGATTCCGAAATATGGTATTTATTATTAATAATATTATTACATATCTTCCAGTACCGCTGCATTATGTGATTACTATTAGAACATAAATACCGAGATGTTTACTTACTGTTTTTCAGTTTTTTTCTCAAACATGTGATATTTTCTTTTTGTGGTTGTTTCTCGTCTGTTTATGCTACCTGAACATTTTTTTCCTATTTCCTGTGACAAATTCAAAGCTATGAAATAAAATTACGATATGCAATTGAAATTTCTCTTAGTGCAAATAACGCTATAATGAACCGAAAAATCATTTCTACTCAAACTACTTTCGAACTAGCTAGAAATTAGACTATAAGGACTATGAGACATATCCAAGAAACTTTTGCTAAATAGAAATTTATTAGCTTTCTGAATAATTTTACTTAAATTTAATGAAATTTAGACTTCTAAAAGAGCCATGTATGTTAACTTTAAGGTGTGAAGTGTAATACTATGATCACAAAGTTTACGGATGTAAAAGATATTATTGTCATCAGTACGAAATCCTTACATTATTGAAAAGGTGAAAGGTAGCTGCTCAAATATTAATATATGATTGTAATCTGTACATAACGTAACAAAATCAACATATACTTCTCTAAAAAAGTTTTGTGGAATTATTTTCATCTCTGTCGGTACTCTTTATAAATTTGGTGAGATTATGAGAAGTTCCGAGAAGTAATATCAAACCCTTCAGAAATTTGCAAGGGAAAGAAATTCTATTCAAGTTTTTCAATAACTAATTAATAGCAATACAACATGTATATCAAGTTTTTTCATCAGAAATGCATAATGCAAAAAATATAGTAAAAATTGGGTGGCTTAATTTTTTCTTGTGACAATTTTGTTGAGTGCAGAAGTTAAAAAACAATTATTCCTACTAAGTACATGTGAGGAATTTTGTTGCTTTTTTTTTAGTCCTTTTTTATTTTTTGTTTTTTTTTTTTTCTATGTTTTGTTAGGTTTTTTTGATTGTTCTTGGTGTGGTTGTTTTTTTTTTTTTGATTCTTTTAATTTTGTTTTTTTGTCTTTTATAAGTGTATTTATTTTGGGTTTTATTTGTGTTTCTGAGGTTTTGGGTGGTTTAGTTTTTTATATTTGTCTTATTGTTACAGTTTAGTTATGACAATATTTTCGATGTAAATTGACGTATGCTATTACTTTATTGCATCACGCATGACAAAATTTCCATAAATAGCTTTTACAAATTGTTATATGCATACGTCAACACTACTTATCATTTGCTTGTTTGAATTTTTTTCCACGTCTGATAATTTTAGGTTAACGTTACCATATCCCACCTCATTAACATGTTCATATGATGCTTATTCATGGGCTTGAGGATATGTAAATAGAAAAAAGAACACGCCTATATGGTTATATGGTGTATATGGTTAAATATACGTACGCGTGACATACGTGACAAAGTGTTGGAGAGCGTGGTTGCTTGTTTATCTACGTACTGCTGTGAGGACTATTGTTGATGTGAAAAATATGTTGGAGGGGGTACAGCGTAGGGATTGCTTACCCCTTTTGCCTTTTTCTTATTTATTGCAGTTTGGCGTGAAGCGAGAGAAGGGAGAGAGAGAGAAAGTGAAAGAGAGGGGAGAGAGAAGAGAGAAGAGAATTGTGTTAAGGCAATGGCATATAGCCATCGACAGCACTAGCAGATGCGATACGGCCACGTCTGAAATCACTTCAATCTTTTGTCCTCATCAGCCACTTTTGGAAGGTTTCATTTGTTTGCATCGCGTGCATTAACGTTACATAATGCTTTATGTAGTGCATTTTACTTTACTTTCAACCTTACTAAGATTTCCATCATTTGTGTTATCCTTCATATTAAATTCATTTTGTTCACGTCATTTGCCGTCGTATGATTCTACTTTTCCATTACGATGACTTCCAAAATGTTTACTTTAGGATGAACTTTCATCTCGATCAACATCTAGAAATTCAAATGCTTTGAATTAGCTGCAACGTTTAATGCTTTATCCAGTATTTGATATATTAAAGCTTCTAGATTGCTTAGTATGATAGTCTTTGTTATTAGGACTCCGATATCTTCAATGTCATCATTGCTATTAATGTATATTATGATTCGTGTTTGTTATTCGCTTAATTTTTTTTCTTTATGTTTTGTTGCAGGATGGAATATAGCGATGGATGAAGGAGACGATTATGTACCACAAATTTCGCAGCTTGACTACTCACTGGTTGATAGCGGGCAAAGTGTTTTGCAAAATGATCCCGGTATTTATAGTCCACCACCATCTCAAATACCTCTGCAACATCTCCAGTACGGTAGTGAGGTCACAGGAATGCATCCATGCCAATTACCCAGTCAAATGATTCCTCAAGGCATACAGCAACAACAAGTGATTAATTTATTTACTCATTTCCCACATGAGTGAAATTTGTAAACACAGTACAAAAACATTTTTGTATTCAGCATGCTATCTTAGCTATGATTTTTTCAACATAGTATAGCCTAATTTGAGCACAATTTATTTTCAGGTGATACAGCCTACGCAGGTGCCGCAACCAGTTGTGCAGAAGCCAAAAGTTCAAAGACGTCGCAAAAACGTAGCTAATGTTGAGCAGCAAGCTTTAGCGGGACAAGCAATGCTTCCACCCTCATCGGTACCTCCTAGACAACAATACATGAATAACATGACACCAATGCAGAGCATGGCGGCAATGTCTCAAAATCCCCTGATGACCCATATGCGCTCTCCAGGACCAGGATCACAAATGCAGCAACAGATGATGACTGGAAAGCATCACACATCAAATGATATGCCACCAATACGTCATCCAAGTCTGCCACCCAACGTTCATGATCCGTATCATCAACAACAGCAATGGTTTCAACAGCAGCAATTCCGCCTTCCGAGTTACCCACCACAACATCAGATGTACTCATCGCAGCAACGACCACCCATGAATCAGATGATGCCTCAGCAGACCTATTATTCGCAACAACAACAAATACAACAAGATGTCCGAAATCCAATGTATTATCAACCACATCAAGTATACGAGCAGGTGTCACGTTATCCGCCATCTATGGGTCCACAACTCGGCCATTCACAGCAGTATTATTCAGAACAAAGCCAAAACTTCTATCCATCTCCAAATCATATGATACAGCAATCATCGCAGTCACAAACTATGACAGTGCATCAGCAAATACCTTCTGGATCCGGTGAGTGGCAGCAGCACAGCACTAATCCGCAGCAACGTTATTCTTCACAACCACAATATCCACCATCTACCAGTATCCAGATCGAAATACAACAGGTTATAGTCTAATGTTTTAGACATATTCGGAATTAACAAGTAAGAAACTTCAGTCTTCCAGCAAAACATCCTGTCATTCAGATTGGAAGTGAAGTAGTATTGGCGGTTTTCATTTAATGAAAAAATAAAATCTGATTTAATATGGCAATTTTCATCATTTATGCATAAAAAATTGTCTTTATAATGAATCATTCATAACTTAACAACTAGGTTGTGAAGTAATATCATATATACCAAGTTTCAAAATTTAGCGAAGCGAAGAGTTTCAAAATTTGGCGAAGATGCTTTTTTCAGGTGCAACAACAACTGCAGTCGATGTATGAAATTCCAAATAGAAATATGCAAATAGCACAACAGATTGAACAGCTGCAACTTCGTTTACAGTATTTACAGCGGTGTTACATGAGCGAATGCCATGGAGGTACGCAACGAAGCGAACAACCTGTATCTGTGATGCAGCGAGGCTCCGAAGTACAAGTAATTACTGGCATGATATTGGAACTTCTTTTAATAATGAATAAGGAGTTGATGGTATAAGAGATGAAAAATAAATTTCTTTTGGAGGAGAAGTATGCACTTGAACTTATCTGTTTCAATTTATACGGTTTGAGATATTGCTTTTTATCAAGCAAATAAATTTGAAGAGGGTTTTTTAATGTTTAGATGAAAAATTGCACATTTTATGTTGAGTTAAAGAATGAAGTTTCTTTCTCATTTTAGGTTAACATAAAACCGGATTTACCTGGTCATACTCTGATTAGCGTTTATCATCAGTACCCACCTAATTCAGCTCCAGCAAAAAGTGTGCCACCAACAGAAAATATTATTGCAAAAGACTGTGTTCCACCAGAACCGATTCCATCACGTTCTCGTACTCCAGTTGAGGATCCCTCCGCACCGAGTCATACATCAAACTCTCTAAATAATTCAGTACCGTTTATGGGAACACAGGCATCTATGGTTCCAATTGGAAATGCTGTAACATCCTCAGCTTATAAGCAGCAACAAAGTTTGTTTCAGCCTTCTGTACAACCTAGTGCAGCATCGCTGAAGTATCAAGATCAGCACAAATATCAGGAAGTTTCCGAATCACAGCAACAGCAACCGGACGTTATTCGAACTGAATTAGAACAAGAATCAGGGCTGCCCACTGCTATCGTCACCACTTCCTCTTGCGAAATTTTAGTTCCTAACAGAGACATTGGAAAAGGTATCTTGTCAGACAATCATTATGCAACCGAAAATGTGACAAAAAAGGCAGAAGAAAATAACAATTCGGTTAACCAGTTCGGAAGACAAGGAGAAATAGTGGATTTAGCTATAACAGATCCACAGCAGCAACCAACTAGTAGTATGCATTCGTCTGAAAATTCTGAAGTTTGTCTGCCATCTGATGAATTGTCTGATACGGAAGGGTTTAAGTCGTACACACAAGTAGCTGTAAATTCGGAAGAAATCATACAAAACAATTTCAAAACCGATGGAGGATCTAGAAATTCAACAGTGGAAGTTGATGCTGAAGACTCGATCAGTGATGAACTGGGTAATGAGGAAGCGTCAAAGGTTGAAAAGATCGATGAAAAAAATGATAAAGATTTATCAAATGAGCTGGAGAAATTGGGTGAAAAACCAAAGAAGGAGGACGAATCAGAAATTAGTGAAAAGCAGGAAAGTATATCAGACTTGGAAGTAGATGAAAAATGTGAATTCAGTAAGTGGAAAAGCTTTGGAGTACAAAGTGAGAAAATAAAAGTTCAAGGCGACAAGCATGCAAAAGTTGATGAAGATGAGGAACGTACGGAAATTTCCACGGAAGCAACAACGATTGCTCAGGAAAGTGGCGCAGAAGAGGAGAAATTGGTAATAAGTGGAGCCGACAAAGCGACATCCTCAGAAAAGCCGAAACGAAAAAGAGGGCGACATCCAAAGCGTGGGCTGAACAAAAAGCGGAGAATTGAGGAGGAAGAAGAAATAAGTATGGAAATAGATGATGAGGAATTTATCCCTGATTCTAACCGGCGAACACGGAAACGACCACAGACAAGAAGGCGTATGGCAGCGGAACGTGATGATGCCTCTTTCGGGTACGTAGAAAAACGCCGATCTGGTCGCTCGGCAAACGTTGAGAAAAAAAGCTATGATTTACAAGCAAAATGGGATGAAATGGATGAAGAAATAGGTGAGGATGTTCATAGTCGAAAAGAGAAAAAACCGGAAGAACAGAACGAATTTATTATTGAAAAGATTATAGGTGTAAAAAAGAACGAAAATGGACCGGATTTATATTTTGTAAAATATAAAAACAAGGCTTATATTCATTGTCAGTGGAAGTCGCAATATGATCTGGAAGCTGGAGATCGTCGAGCTGCAGCAAAACTGAAACGCTTTCATCAAAAGCGAGCTCATAGTTCGGATCAAGATGATGATGAACAGTTCAATAGTGATTTTGTAATTGTGGAACGGGTGCTGGATGCCAATGAATTGGAAGGAGAAGATTTTGTTCTCATTAAATGGAAATCTTTACCATATGAAGAAGTCACATGGGAGAAAGTAGAAATTGTTCCAGAAGATAAAATTGAGGCGTATAAACTAAGAAATACTTGTGATTCTTTGAAAATGAAACCAAAACTACACCCATCAGCTTCTGATTGGTCTAAAATCCCTGAAGATATAACTTTCAAAGGTAATAACCGACTTCGAGAGTATCAATTCGAAGGTGTAAATTGGCTTCTGTACTGCTACTATAACAAACAGAATTGCATACTGGCTGATGAAATGGGTCTAGGGAAGACCGTACAAACAATATGTTTCCTGCAGCGGGTTTATGATTATGGGATTCATGGACCATTTTTGATTGTCGTTCCTTTATCCACAATTCATAATTGGCAACGTGAATTCGAGACATGGACGGATATGAATACCATTGTTTATCATGGAAGCGCAGCTAGTCGGCAGATTATTCAACAAACTGAATTCTATTATCGTCCGGAAGAGCTAAAAGGAGGTAAACGTAATGTTGTCAAATTTGATGCCCTAATTACCACGTTCGAAATGGTTGTTAGCGATTGTGATGTCCTTAAACAGATTAACTATCAAGTATGCATTATTGATGAAGCACATCGATTAAAAAATCGAAATTGCAAACTGCTTACCAGTGGACTGCTTTCATTAACCGCAGAACACCGTGTACTATTAACAGGGACACCATTGCAAAATAATATTGAAGAACTGTACTCACTTCTGAATTTTCTGGAACCAGAACAGTTTCATAGTTCATCTGCTTTTCTTGAGCAATTTGGTCAGTGTCAAACTGAGGATCAGGTGCAACGATTACAGGATATCCTCAAGCCGATGATGCTACGTCGTCTCAAGGAGGATGTTGAAAAGACTTTACAACCAAAAGAGGAAACGATTATTGAGGTTATTGTTAATGAATTTGACTAATACTAGAGTTGGGAAAATAAAAGAAATGTTTACTTTGTTAAGGAGTTTGATGTGCTGTTTGAATCTATTTTTCATTCGCAATACATGTTTGCAGATACAACTGTCGAATACCCAAAAGAAATACTATAGAGCAATACTAGAAAGAAATTTCTCACATCTCTGTAAGGGAACATCTGTACCATCGCTGATGAATGCAATGATGGAATTGCGAAAATGTTGCAATCATCCTTTTCTTATAAGTGGTTCGTTTTCAGGAGAAAATTACTTCCATGGCAAGGTTTCTTATATGTTTCAAACTGTGTTGATGTTTATTAAAATTCAGTTTAGGGCTTTCATTTGTGATTTACAATTTAGTTTGCTTTGAGTTTAGGTGCTGAGGAGCAAATTCTTGCGGAGGTGAAAGCAGGACATCCAGATTGGAGTGAAGATGATATTTATCAGCATGCATTGGTGCAGTCATCTGGTAAATTGGTTCTAATTGCGAAACTGTTACCGAAATTACGTACAGATGGTCATAAAGTATTGATTTTTTCCCAAATGGTCCGAGTTTTAGATATTATCGAAGAATTTCTTGTTGCACAGAAGTTAGTTACCATATTTGATTTGTATAATTCATAATGTTTGCTAATTGTGATTTCATGCAGGAATTCTTAATGTTTCAAATTGAAACAAAGAATTGGGACTTTAAAAGAAGAGTAGTTTAAATTCGGGCTTAAATTAACATTTTAGTTATACATTTGAACGAATTGATGGTAATGTTCGTGGTGATTTGAGGCAAAGCGCTATCGATCGTTTCAGTAAAAAAGGTATTTCCTTAAATTTCATCTTCTTTACTGCTTTAAATTCATGGTAGTGTTCCTTGAATACAGATAGATGCAAGAATTAGCATTATTTGATATTTACTGTTCACATTAAAACATGTTTATTTTTATGGCAAATTACAGATTCTGATCGTTTTATCTTTCTGCTTTGTACTCGCGCCGGTGGTCTTGGAATCAATTTAACAGCAGCGGACACTGTCATTATTTTTGATTCTGATTGGAATCCGCAGAACGATTTACAGGTTTTAGTTTCTTGTTTATATGTTTATTGGTTACTTTTATGTGATGAACCGAAGTTGATGTGTCTTGGTAGTGTTCCAGTTTCAGCAATATCCAGAAAACCATTTTTTATTTACATCATTTTCAGAGGAGTATCAGTATAAATAATCGATTCTTACAGGCACAGGCTCGCTGTCACCGAATTGGTCAAACGAAAATGGTGAAAGTTTACCGCTTAATTACCTGTAATACATATGAACGTGAAATGTTCGATAAGGCATCGTTGAAACTAGGCTTAGATAGAGCCGTACTTCAGTCCACTACTGCTTTGAAGGATACTTCAGTAAGTTTCGCCTTTTCTATTTCAGGAAATTATAGCATAAACATTATGATAAATTTCTATCACCCTTTTATTCGTGCAGAAAATGTGTCCATATTTCGACCTCTTTTATTATTTGTAGCAGCAGTTGTCACGGAAGGAAATTGAAGAATTGCTGAAAAAGGGGGCTTACGGCGCGATTATGGAGGAAAATGCTGAGGAGAGTAAATTTAATGAAGAAGATATCGAAACAATTCTTCTTCGCCGCACAACTACAATAACTCTTGAAGTAACTATCTGTTTCTTCATTTATATTACATTCCTAGAAAATTTTCATTTTCTTACGCTTAATTGCTTCAATCTGGTTTTTAATTCTAAGTTAGTCTTTTAAAATCACGACAATTTAGCTAAATAATCTTTTGTAATCTGCAAAATTCTGATTTAGGCCGGTGTAAAAGGATCGACTTTTGCAAAAGCATCCTTTAATTCATCCACAAATAGAGAAGATATTGATATTGATGACCCTAATTTCTGGTCTAAATGGGCTAAAAAGGCAAATATTGATACGGACATGAGTCAAGCAGATAAGCAGCTGATTGTTCTTGAACCTAGAAATCGCAAAAAAAGGTTTCGTCCTTTTTTCTTAAATATTAATAGAAAAAGAGAAGGATTTTCATCTTTCTAATTGCCACAGGTTCCAAAATGTAGAGATAAAACTGCTTATAGAACCACTTATTTTAATATCAGGTTTGAAGAAAATGTTTACAAGTCGGAGGGTGCTGATGAAACAGAAGGTGAGGAGAGCGATGATAGCAGTAAGGGTCGAAAGCGAGGTGAGCGGAAAGGTGACCGTAAGAAGCGCCGTGAGGATGAAGAGTATCGACCAGATGAGCTAGCTTTCAATAAAAGTGAATATTTCAAGGTATGCTTGCATTTATAGCCCTTACATTTTTCAGTCTTTAATTTCTACTATTATGTTTTCACATTTTTAATTTAAATCGTGCATTTTCTTGGATTTCTCAAACTTTAATACTTTAGATCGAAAAAGTACTTGGTCAGTTTGGTTGGGGTCGTTGGAAAGTGATGCGCGAAGCTTCCGATTTAAAGGATAACGTCACCGAAATTGATATTGAGCATATTTCAAGGTTTGTTTTGTTTTCTCTTGAAGATAGTATTAGGTGTCCTTGATTTAAAATATTTAAAAAAACGTTTTGTGGCTTTTAATCTTTGGGCTTAATGATTCATAACATTTTTGTAAAATATGAAGGCTGAACAGCATTACCGAATAAACGGATGTTTAAAAATTCATTGCTGATAAATGTTATTTGGTTCTCCATTCGTGTATCCTTTATATGATCCATTAAATATTATATCTAAATATGTCATCTACGTTTTTTTTTTTCTTTTTTAAATTTCTTTGCTAGTATCAAAATTTTCATATTGAGACATTTGTGCAGCAAGTTTTATTGAACTTTTCAGATATTTATTTAATTGATTTATAGGACACTGTTGTTACACTGTATTCGTGAATATCGTGGAGATGAAAAAATTCGTGAATTTGTTTGGCGGTTAATAATCCCAAAAGGAGGTTTAGTTACTGGCAAGAATACAGAAAAAATAAAAAACACTGGCTTGACATCAGTATTCCATGAAGGGTGGGCAGCATTACCAGAATATAATCCGCCAGCTTTTGCTGTTGATTCGTCCTTCCAACGTCATGTTCACAGACATTCAAATAAATTATTGATCCGAATGCATCAACTTCACATACTAAATACCGAAGTGAGCTCGTCTATGCTATTAAACTTTTAATATGCTTTATTGAACTGTCAAAATCCTATCAGTTATTAAAAAGTCAGTACTAGGTATTTTTATCAGATAAAAAAATTGTACTATTAGATGTCATGCTTCAAAGCTGACATTGTGAACCTACACAGAAGGCCTTTGCGTCATCTTTGAGAGAGGTGCACTAAGCTGCAAATTAAGAAATCCTAATTACTTTTAATATTAGCTGCTTGCATTCTTACACATCATTTCCTAACAAAATCAGTCTGTTCTGATTCAGGTAATTGGTAGCAAGAGTGAGGCGATAATGAATAATACAAAAGCAAATGACATCGATTTATTGGTTGATATGAATGATGCTTTTGTAGCCGGTTGGGATGCTGAATGTGATAAAAGTTTCCTTATTGGAGCATACAAACATGGTAGGTTGAACAATTTTTTTTTCTAGTGTCACTTTTTTTTAATGCTATTAACCTAATGAGTAAATTAATTAAAAATAGGTCCAGTAGTGATATTAGATCACTGATAAGTTCTTCCGCTATAATTGACTGGAACGGAATTTATTAAGTTTAGTTTGAACGAACTGTGTATTTTAGTTGACTAGTCATTTTAGAAAGTTTATAATGAAGTACGGTAATTTACTTAAAAATCTATTTTGTTTTTCATTGTTCCACGGAAAAAAATAGTTTAGTTATCCTCTTCACGAATAGCCAATTTTATAGCATCTATAGTGATATTTGAAGCACTTTTTTAAACTAATAAGATCAGTTTTATCGTTTTTGCGAAATGTTGTAAACGTTTATTTCCATTTTATTTTTTCTTTAAGCAGAAAAAAGTTTCAGGTCTAGAAAATATCGATGCGATGCGTATTGATCCAATGCTTTGTTTTGGTTCGAAAAAAATTGAGATTTTCCCCAATATCTCGGATTTGTTGAGTCGTTTTCGTCGTCTTTTAACGCATTTCCAGAGAAAGCGACATGATTCATTGACATTTTCAACGTAAATTAAATGGACTAATTTTTTTTTTTTTTTGATTACACGTTTTAAACTTGATAAAAGCTGCTTGTTTTATATGATTATCAAAAGTTGTATGAGAAAATTTTATGGATCCTAGGTTTTATATTATAAATTCTTTCGATATTTAGGTGGACTAAACGTGAAGAAGCGGAATTCATGCGTGTTCTGAGAAGTTATGGAGTTAAGGATGATCCATCAACAATTATTTCGTGGACTCGCTTCCGACAGCTTTCTCCACTTTTAGAAAAGAAAACTGATAGTGATCTAATGGAGCAATTGTACTGTGTATTGTCCATGTGCACAAAGCAGCTGGGAAATGAAATAACAGCTGTTGATTTACAACGTGCTCTAAAGGTTCCATTTTTATTTTAAGCTTTTTTTTTTTTCTGCAACAGTTTCATTTTCAGTAGATCTTCTTTGAATTTTTCCTGAAAATTTTGTGTCTCTTGTAGGTATAGCTTTTTCTGAAGGACATAATTTTTGAATCTTCAAATTTTGATAAAACTTTTTAATATTTGTTCTTACAATTGGTATTTATGCTTGCTTGACTTTGGGAGGATAATTTCAGGTGGAATCGATTTCGGCGCGTAAGGCCCAAAAACTGATGCATCGAATGAATATGATGCGACAGATTCACGATTGGCGAGAATCACTGGTTGATCGACGAACACTTCTCAAACTTTGTTCTAATGAAGCGATGCCAAGTGGTTGGTCGGTTGAACAAGATGAAGAGTTATTCAAAATAGTGGATGAACATGGTCTGGATAACATAGCTGCTAATATCCTTAATAGGACTGCTTTTCAAAAGGTTATAATATTTCCGATTGCTTTTTGTGCTTTGGTTTCAGTTTTGATAATAGGATTTTTGCATTATTTTGGTTTTTATAAAATTCTGTACTTTTTAGATAATAAGACCAGAAGAACGAACTTTGTTGAGACGTGTCGCTGAGATTTATACTACTCTTCAAACGAAGAAGTGGAATGGCGCTGCTTCCACTGAGTTGCTCGAGGATTCTGGTATGTAGGATGATTTTCTGACTTGATTTTGCATTTTTATTTGGAATTAAAGGATATGAAGGAATTTTTCGTTAATTTATTTCAGACGATGAACAAGGGACGTCATTGTTATTACGCTCAAAACGGGGTCGCAAGAAAAGTGCTATACCAAGTGCTTCAATGCAAGAATTTGTTGACACAGAGAAAGAGAAAATGCGTGCTTTAGTACATCAAACATTTCTGCAAAGGGTACGGCATTTCTCAAAAAATCTTTTCTAATTTAAATATTTTTGAAAGAAATTTAAGCTTTCATATTTTCCGCTGAATTCATTTATTATTTAGCTGGAACAACTCCCGTTTGCTGCTGCAGCTGCTATGGCGCAAGGCGCTTTTCTTCTTCCATCACTTTTATCAGGCGGTGGAACATCTCCGGCAGCTGCTACATCGACTCAAGCGCAGACAGCAATGCTTTCCAGTTTGTTTGGACTATCTTCTGCATCACCTCCAGCATCTGCTTCCACGAATACCAATAAAACAAATGATTATGCAGAGGATGTGCTAAATCTGAGTACGAAAAAACCGACAAGTAATAATAGCACCACTACTGGAATCTCTGCTCCTCCTACAAATTTTTTGAATAGTTTGAATTTTACAGAGTTGTTTGCACTGGCAAATCTACCACCAGGTAAGTTGTCTTGTATTTTCCTAAAATCGTGATTTCACAATGTAGATTAAAAGGTCAATTTGCGCATGAATTACTGTGTTTTATCTGAGCTCCTTTTTCGAATTCTTTTGAACTATAATTTTAATCCTTTGAGTTTTACAATTAGGTCATTTGCTTGAATTTTTAGGAACAAAATATTCCTTTTTATCTTTCAATCTTTGTTTCTATTTTTGTTTCACTTAGCTCAATCTCTTACTTTAGCCATTACTACTTTAGAGCTGTGACATCTAAGTATGACGAAAAGTTTAATTGTGTATTACTCTAGAAACCCGTGTACCAGTGATTAATATTGAAACGGGCACACGATTGGTTGGTGAACAAGCGCCAAAAGTGAAAAATCTTGGACAGTGGCTGTCAGCACATCCCAAATATGTGCTCGATATTCCGTCGTCAACATCTTCAACAGTTCCTTCGGTGCCTCAAGTAGCATGCTCAAAGCTAGTTGAAAAAAGTGATGGGAAGTCTGTATCAGCAGTATCAGATAAAATTGCTTCAAAGAAGGAAATCAGCAAAGAAGCCCATTCTAAGGTTTTCCCATAATGATCCATGGTTTTTATTTGCACATTTAACATTTACAATTTTTTTAGTGATTTAAGAACTCCTTATTTCTGTGATGAAAATCAGTTTTTTGCCGAAATCAAGAATTTTATGTTTTTGTATGCATGGATATAGAACTATCTTCTTATTCAGGAAACTGTAGTTCTGTTATTTAGGAAACGCTTGCCATTCAAACAAATCCAAGTTTATCGAAAGCGACAGCAACAGCATTAATTCTAGAACCTGGTGAAGTTCCTCGCTCTCCTAGTACAACCGCTGCATCATCAGCGACTTCCGTCGCTTCATTTAGTGTTAGTGATCAGCGAGTCGCCGTTTTCCAGCGTTCTACTGGTACTCTGATTCCGGCCGAAAAATGGCCACTGCTGAAAAATCTTGCTTCATGGCTGGACAAACATCCGGATTGCAATGTACACTCGAGCAGTACATCAGTGGCTACTGTGTGTTATTAATTCTTTATCATATTTGTATGGTTTTCTTTTTATATGTTTTTATGATTAATTTATTGATTCTGATATGATTTTTATTATAGCTTCATGAGCTATCTGTACTGTTTTTTAAGAGCAAAATAATCATTTTAAGGAGATGTGGATAAGATATTTGCAGACAATTTTACCGAAAAATTACGCTGATCGTTTGGGTGATGATACGACATCTTTGTCATCATCCTCAAGTGGTTTGGAAGCTCTACAAATGCAAATGATGCTCCAGCAGTCGTTAATGAATCAAACGCTGCTCGGACTTGGAGCTTATGGACCGCTTGGATCGTATGCAATGCTTGCAGCTGCAGCGTCTGGTTCTACTCAGTCGAATAAGGTTAGTGTTAGCATGTATAATGCTGTACTGAAAGCAGTCAACACCTAGGACTTTTCAACTTAGGGATCAGTAAATGCTGGGATAATTTTAACATTGTCCCTTCAGAAAACTGGAATGTTTGCAGTGTTATATTTAAGATCTAGGAACGTGAAAGTTGACTTTTAAGGGAAAGCAGAGAAAAAAGGCTCCAAAAAAAAACTTCAAATTTGAGAAAAATTACATGTTACTTTTTCTTTTTTGATTTTGAACAGCCGCACTGACAAGGAAAAAGGTATCTTGTTAAACTCGAACTTTATTAACCGAGTTTTCTGGACAAGTCAATTTTCAGAATTCATCGAAGGATGTGTTGAATCCGATGCTTGCATCACTAATGAATCCTTCACTACATTTGCAACAGATGCAATCTCTACTGACATTGGATCCATCATTATTGCTCAGTCAGCCATTTTCCTCCATTTCAACAACTAGTAATACACCGCCGATTTCTGCTTTAAACGTCTCGTCAGTCACAAAATCGCCGATTTCTACTACTGCTAGTACTGCTGCTACAGCTACTGCTGTTACTACTACAACTACTATTAGTGCTTCTAGTACTACCACCACTACTACTACTACTGCAGCAACAACAACAGCTAGTGCTACCATTGTTACAACTGCTGCTATTACTAGTATTCCCACTACTCCTTCTACTGTTTCTACTACTACTACTATCACTACTACTGCTACTACTACTACTACTATTGATTCTGCTGCTATTATTACCACAATGGCAAAGAAAGCATCTAGCAGAGGTCGTCTAAATGCTGTCGTTGAGAAACTGTCCTCGAACCAGAGTTAATTGTCGGCATATATCTTCCAACCAATAATTTCGTTTTTAATGAGCTTAGTTTTCTTCTCAATCAATATTTGCACCAGCTGATTCGGTGGTGCTACAGAAGTTTATATTCGGCATTGAAGTTAAGCGAAGAGGTGTAGAACTGAAATGTCAAAAGATTTCAAATTCTCTCTTCTGGATAGTATCTTACAAAAAGTGAAAAGAAACGGTAGTAATGAATTGGATCACTATCGTTTATGAAAAATAAGAAGCTGTTTTAGGTAGCTTTTATGTTTTTATTTCGTAGTTTGTTGCCGATCTCCAACTGTTTGCATATACCTTCCCCTCATTAGGTACCTATTATAATGTACTATTTTCTCTGTGTAATATGAAGCGGTTTAAACAAATGTACTCTGCATGATACAGAAAATAATGTAAAAGTAAGCTGATAGCTTGTATGATCTCGCCTTTTCATTTTAACAACATTTTGTGTAGATGGTTTGTGCGATCTTCTACTGTTGTTCCAACTTTATTATTGTTATACTTTTTATTTTTTACTGAGATTTTTAAGTGCAGTTATATTGAATTGTTAAATTCGAAAACATATTCTGGAAAATAAGCTTTTGATGATTATCTCTTACATGCTGTAATATAATTAAAGGAATCAAAATCCTGCTCAAAAAGAAGATACTGGTTTGTTGCCAGATTTTTAACTTCTACTTTATCACAGAATAACTTTTCGACATTTTACCCGCAAGATTATTAAAATATTCATGAAATGGTGTGTGATTTGTTCTTCATAAAGGTAGTCTGATCATAGTAATAATGTGTTTACCAAAATTAATAGACTTATTTCACCTTTTTTTTTTTATGGAACTTTTCAAAACCTGTCATACTATAGACATTGTTGCTATTTAGGTTTCATCAATCATTTTGTGAAGCTGTGTCAGCATGGATTGATTTGTTATGATTGATCTTTTCCTTTTTCCTCGCTGAATCAAACTCGTAATCATCTGCTATCAATTTCTTGAATAATTTAATGGCTTGAATCGTGAAATGATACTTGGCAGATTATACGAGTACTTTTTTTGTGAAGCTTTGATAAAGCTCTCAAAAAAATTCTACTACAGATCAGTACTACTTATCCATTGCCAGTTGCACAGTGCGGTAAATTTCGAGTTGAATTTAATGGTGGGAGCAAAACAATCAGTTTTCAAATCTCTTATTATTCGAGTTACAAGATTTTCTCGAAATTGTCCTTTATTTTGATTTGCTTTTGCATTGTTTTATGGATGGTTTTTATTGATTAGTTGGAATTGTTAAGATGTAAGTTGTGGTACGTCGTTAATGTTTTATGCTATACATGTGTATTATTATCATTATCATTATTGTATTCTATTTTAAAGTAAATTGAAATTCGTACTCCGTTGATAATTTTGGCTTTGAATGGGTAGTGATACCACTGGAAATATGTACCATTAACTTGATTTGAATCGTTGGCCGAATAATTAAAATATGCTTAATATGATTAGCATTGTTGAGGTGATCAACCAACAGTGTGCGCAGCAATCATAAACATATTTCTGATATTTTGATAATTAGTCTTTGAATAGATAGTAGTACCATAAAAGTATGTATTATTAACTTTATTTAAACCGGTAGCAGAACAATTAAAATGATATAATAGCTCTGATTTAAGAAATGTTAACGAGCAGATTAGAATTGGCAGCAAGAAGTATTCTTGTTTTTATTTCAGCAAAGTACAGCAAATATTCAGATATCTTGATTTCTGGTTCCATTTTTTAAACAATTTAACGACGGTGGATTTCATCTGATTGTGACTGTCCTATAAGTATCGATTCTTTCAGGAGGTATTATTACTTTGCTATTTAATTGGTGAGGCCGTTGTTTACGTTCAATATTTCCTCCATTCTCTACATCAGTGTTTATTTGCATGTCGTGGAAGGGTAAAGAAGTGTCTCAAACAATATCTCTCTACAAGTTCTCTATTCCTCTCTATTTGACCCTAGTTCATTTCTATATCATCATTTCTACATCCCTCTATTATTGATGAGCTGGGGAATAGTGTATTAGGTTAATCAAAAAATGTCGAATTATTACTTTGAAAAGATGAATCTTTTAACATTAAACTGATATTGATGGTATTGTTAGGATTATTTGATCAATTAGAATTAGTTCATTTACGATTAGAACTTAAATTAATTACACTGGCTGCCACATTAGGTTTTTATCGACTAATACGCATTAGTATTTTCTGGTCTTCACCAATCTGTGATAACATAGAAATTAGGTTGTGGTTGAAGAAATAATAAAAGTAGTAAGGACCAGGAAAAGATAAGTGGAAGGGGTTAGAATTCTGAAATCTGTCACATGTTCTTGATTTTCCTTCTATTATTTTATAGTGGCTTTATTGGTTGATATGTTCTCGGAAACTGAATACTAAATTAAGATCCAAATACAAAGAGACACGAAATTCTTCCTTCGCTCGTCCCTTTTTCATCACTCCCTCAATCTAAAATTGTGAAAGAAATGATGAATTGTCGATAACGGTGTGATAATAAAGCATTTTTCGGTTCTTCTACTTTTATGGACTATTTTATTATTATATAGTCTGTGATACTTGTTCAAGAGAACTATTCCTATTTCTAAATCTAAGCATAGTATTATTTAAGTTTTTTTAGATTATATTTTTTTAGTTGTTCTTTTGATGTGTGCGAAAAGATGAATGAAAGAAGCCCACAAACTATTGGTTCAATTATTGAATATATGTGTATGGTAGCATATCGAAAATTTATTACAAGGGCTAGGGGTGAAACAATTCGGAAACGGTAACTTTCAAACGATAATTTGAATGTCAATTTTGATTTGCAAGCAGTAGTTCAATTGTTAGTTTATGGATGTAATAGTTTATACTATGTAGTAAATTTAAGAGTAATCTGTGCATTTCTGGAAATTTCATCGTGATTATCTTCGGACTCGATTTTAGTTTTATGGAAAACTATATTTTTAAGCCTTTGCCAAAGTGAGCTCGCCTATTCAAGTTGTTATTGAATGAGTTAAGTCGGCATAATCTTGCTAATTCCAGAACTGTTTCTTTAAATTTTTGCTTTTATAATTCATGATTTTAAGACCATTTTTTTTTCACTTTTCTTAATTTGCTTTCATTTTTTTCTTTAGATTACTCAATAAAAAGTTTCTTTTCGATGTGTCAGACAAAGAGAATATGCAAAGGTTAGAAGGTGGTTTTTTGGGAGATGTAGAGGCATGTGAACTGAAAGGATTCGTTCAGGATGTAAGTCGATTCTCTTCATGAGGAATGAAATGTAATGGTTTTTTTTTATATTTAAATATTCAAGAAATTATCTACCTTTCTTTATTATTATCTTTGGCCTTTAAAGTTTCCCGAAGAAAAAATTATATTTTGTAGCTCCGTAAACGTGGAATTGCACATGATGGGCCTGATGGTATACATATACCTGCCTTGGAAACCATGGGTGAGCCAACAGAAGAGGATGATGCCGCTAGTAGTAGTAGCGATGCGCCTATTAGTGAAGCCGATGCGATTTTCAATGATGCAGCTGCACGCGCAGCTTTTGCTAGAAAAATCGGGTAAAAGTAAACTTTTTTTCCATCATTCTTTATTGTTGAAGTTATATGGAGAATATTTATTTGTTTGTAACAATGTTTTATGTTAATTCATTTTTCAGTTCCTCCAATAAGGTTCAGCGAACGTCACCCAGCAAACTTCGAGCGTATTTTGAAGTTGCCAATGCCGCACTCACTGAAGTCCCAATTCCAGTTCGTTCTTTTGGTTTTTCATTCATTCAGATTTCTTATTTTATTGATATCAAACATTTCTCTCAAGTTGAACAAAACATTCGATGACTTTTCAGATATCCAAACTTTATTGCACAGTGAGTTTTTAGCTTGCCTGCAGAAATTTAGTTGGTTTAAACAAAAACTGATAAGAGTTTTCTGTAGTTTATTGCTTCCTTAGGTTTGCTTGATATATTTGTGTGTTCTGTTGTCTGTGGATGGCTGCCAGTTTCAATTAATTAGTACTCGGAAAACCTTTAGGTTTTATATGTTTGCATCATTCAAATATTCTCGCGCTGTAACATATAGTCAATTTTCCCTGCTGGAAATAGGTTAATTTTTAAAATTACTTCCCTTCTAAGATTTACTGTCATGTTCATCTTTCTTATGTTATTCAGTGTATGGAGTTTCATCTAATTCTCGGAATAAATCCGGCCGGAATATTTCATGAAATAAGTTAGTTTAGCTATATAGCTTGTTGAAATTGTTAGTATTTTCAGAATGAGAAAGAAGACATCTGCATCCCACCGGAAGGAGTAACTGTTAAAAAATCAGTAGACGAAGACAGAACCAATGATGAGAATCAGCAAACCGTTGGAAATGATTCACCTTCTAAGCGTACACGATACTGTTGAAGGATTACCTTTCAAAATTGCCTTTTATTTGATTGTTACCAGTTTAATTCATGTTTTTGTGTTCTTTTAATTATGTTTCTATCCTTTTCATCTTTAGAAAATGTGTCTCTGTGGTCTCGATTGCTTTGTCTCTAACTTAGAATTGCTATAGTTTTTTAAGGTTAAAAGCGTGAAATCATATTGTTATATATAGTAGAGTCCCAGGTCTTAAAATTTACTTGGTTTTCAAAGTTTTCTTAAGGATCATCTTTGTATGACATTTATGCAAATAAATTTTTTGTGATTGCAAATTTCGAGATATGTCATAGTAGTGAATTTGTATATATGTATGTATAACAAGTGAAAAGTAGATTTCATTTATAGGCAAACAGGTAATATCATCTGTTAAAAAAATCCCTAAAATTTTTAAGAAATTTCATAAAGTAATGAAACAGAGTATTTTTTCCTGTTAAAAAGTCTCTCTTGTCTAATATATATAGATCGATGCTTTTTTAAATGAGAATGAGTGATCCATGAAAATCTTATGTCCGTCATTCATTTCCTCGAAATTTGACGACCTCTGATGATTTTCCATTGGTTTCCCCTCTATATAATAATGATATTTCACTTTTATTATATATTCATTCTTTTCTCATTAATCAAACAAAAGAATGTTTTTTGATACAGTTGATAACTCCGATCTCAATGTCCATGCAATCATTAATTGGCATCTTCGTTAGATAAATATTCCTATTTAAAGTTTGGTAACTGTAGATGAAAGTGAGTTCTAAAATTTGGTAATGCTATCGTTTCACTTGTCACTTACATAGCATCTAGTTGATATTGCACATCAGTAAATTTCCATCTAATGTCTCCAAAAAAGTAACAGCTGATCTACGAATTAATCTTAAAAACTCTAGACAATATTCTGAAATAAATTCTAGCGAAAAGTGACATAAATTGACAGTGATAAAAACTAGCATAAGTGGTATTAACCTGATTAAATTATTTATCTGTTTTTCGTTTTAGAATAGTTACTTTCATTAAAAGTTACCAAACGTTTGTTGTTTTTTATCTGTTTTATGGGAAATATTGAAACTTCATTATTCAGACTTTAATTAATGCAGGTTTATGAATTAATAAGATATTACTGTACTATAGCTCCTATTATGTATTTTTTACTATTTCCTCCTTCTGTTTATGCCAATTGTTTTCTGTTGTTTCTCCAAATTCTTTGTCATTATAGCAAACTGCTATCACTGATGTAATAACTCTCCTTCACCTTGTTAAATCACCAACCCTTAATTCCGTTTTAAGATTTTTATAGTGTTTTTCATTAGATCAGTTATCTTCTGCGGTTACATCTATTAATTCAATTTCCTTAATTATCCTGATATAGCCGATGTATTGTGTATGTTCAGGTTGTCACTTTCCATTTTAGAAATCTAATTATACCCCATTTCATTAGTCTCTCTTTATAAATCCAATTTATACTCCTTTTTGTTATTTCCTCATACTCTTCCCTTTCTCACTTCTATTCCACATTTATGACATACAAACGTGATAACATATCATATAGCAACAACAACAACAAAACAGCAAATTTTTGTTACAGGACTGATAAGACAGGGTGATCGTTGATTTTGACAGATTCGTGACATAATATCATTTAGTAATCGGTACGATTCATGTCACTTTAGCATTCAATCGGAAATTAGTCTTTTTCAAGATCTCATGCAAAAATTTTCCTTTCTATTTTTGGACATTGACATATAGTGGACCATTTTCCTAGTTTTTATTTCATTTTTCTCTTTCTCCCTCACTCTTTCTCTCTCCTTTGAGCTTCCTTATTTTATTTGGGGCAAAATTAGTATCACCGTTATCTATGTGATCACAGTTTTTTTATTTGCACGGGTAGTTTGATACTTACTTTTTCCTCTTTGTTTGGTTTTCTTTGTTCCTCTCTCTCTCTTCCTTTGTTCTCTTATTCTCCCTCTCTCTTTCTCTCTGTATTGTACATAGAGTTGAAATTTACATTATCACCTTGTTAGATTACTTTACCAAATGTTTGGACAATTGTTTTCTTAGCTGCTTTTGATACTGTAATTAATACGATATAAGCATTTGAGATGAGACACAAATCGTTTTGAATTTTTTATGTATAGAAAGAAAGATCTCCATCTCGCACTATTTTTTCAACATGAATCTGAGTTGTTTGCTGTGCAATAAAGACAGAGAATTATTTCTGAATAAAAAAATAGCTTGTAATTAAAGTTAACAATAAGCAGAACTGGAGCAGATGGGAAGGTAATTGATTAGTGACTAATGAGAATCAGAGAGTTAAGGCAGGCCAGTAACGATTGAAAACTAATAATACCGCGACCAGTTGTAGTTCTGTCTGGCTGTGCCAACACGGAGTTATCAAGCTGTTCTCGAAATTGTTCAGTAGAGAGCTGCCCTAGCTTAGGGTAATATTAATGCAGTAGCTATAAGTTAAGAATCAGATAAATGATACTTTTCAGTACCATTATCAAGGTGAAAAATTTGTCACTGTTTGAATTAAGTAGAACTTTGTTTTGAAGGCATTCAAGTGAATTTTTTTTAAGTTCTTTTTTTAAAAAGTTTAAGTAAAAAACAAATTTAAATCACTAGTAAACCGTCATGTGGTTTAAATTGTTACTCTTGAAATGCTATCAGGTTGGTGACCACATAAGTTGGTTTGAAGAGTCGAGCAATAAGATTAAAGCAGTCGTAATGTTTGATCAAAGGATTTAAAATTATTTTCAAATCATTACAATTTTAATTTACAGTACTACCTGTTGCAGCAATCATTTGATCAGGCGATTTTGACCAATGATTTCGATTGAAAATTAAATTACTTGCCATTATATGGTTTGGATTGAAAGTTAAGTTACTTGAGCCAATATTTCCAGAGTAAATAATTCTGTTGCGCTATTGCTACCCAAAAGTCATTTATAAACCACTTCATTACTAGAACTGATTAAATATATTTATTTGTATGTGTTATCTTTCAGATGGCTTATTTTCATCTCTTCATTTATATGTAGCAGTAGTTGATTAATTTTGTTTTGTAGTGAAAAGTTTGAATGCTGGCAGTACATGAAAGTGATATTATCTTGCCTTGTAGTGGAGAGAATCAAATGTGCACAGTTTGTCGAATTAGTTTTGATATTTAAACGAAAGAGAATAGAAAATTGTACATTGTCTTACTTGAATATTCTTTAAACAAATACAAAACTGTCTCAAATTTATATTTCAAATGAGAGATCATTCCTTTGTAGCTAAAGTTAGTGCATTGGTTAGAATGTTACAATTTACTAACGAAGAAATTATTGTTAAGATGCTTCAGTCTGACAGTCAAAATTAGATTTAATTGTAAGTTATTTGTTCGATTTATTTCCTTTGTTCTAAACTAATCTGCTATTCTAAAGATTATCCAGTCTGATAGTCACTCTTATAAGTAATTGATGTATAAAGAGTAAAGATCGTCCGATATAGTGACAGCTGTCTACTCACTCTAATTTGTGCTCTATTGTAAGCTAATAAGGAATAAAAGCTATTGTCCAGTTAGTTTCTGATATAGCTAATTTGTGCTTTATCTATTCTTATATCATCTACCATTTTTTTAATCAAAATTTTTTACATCCAAAAAAGTATTCTCATTAATTCTAATTATTGCACAGTTACCAAAACGTCACGTTTACCATTTAACAGAATTAAAGGTCAACAAAAGACTTTGCAAATATAAACAGAAGAAATAAATCCATGTTGGCTTGGCTCTCTAATTTTTAATGAAATGTTTCATAATACGAAATAAATATAAACTTCATTGTTGTCAAAACTTGGCACTACAATTAACTCCACAAATTCATATTAAAGCCAAATAAACCTACAAGGACTTATTTCTTTGCTACTGGCCAAATCCTTTCGTGGCCAATGATTCCATTGTGTGTTACGCATAGAGGTTCTCAATGTTGCACATATATCACAAACTACAGGAAAATCTAGCTAAATTATCATCGATACTTTCCTTATTCCTAATAACATTGAGATATCCTTGTTTCTTGAGTCGGTGCTATTTATCCCTCTCTTAGTTAATTAATCTCTCGAAGGGAGACAAGAGATAACTCTCAGTGCGAGAACAATCTAATGATAATCTATTTCATTCTTAGTAATTCCTAATATCTCATATTAATTGATCATTGTTACTTCTAAATTTATGAATGAATCTAACACACCAATTTTCTTCTTCCTGTTAAATTACATGGAATGTCTGTTGAAAATGATTAATTAATTAATTCATTCATTCATTCATTCATGGAAATTCCAATTCTTCGTGATTTGAAAAATTGAAACTTAACTTTTTTTTAGAAAAAGTTACTACCTTAGCTAACTTTCTATCTTTTCCTTAAATTAAAATCTTTTTTTTTTTTTGTAATTTGTGATTGATAAAGATTTTTTTAATTAATAAACAAGCAAACAATTAATTATTAAGCATAATTCATAGCATTTTCATTTGTTCATTTATCATCGAAACAAAGAAATATTATTAACAGAACTATAAAAGGTTGAAAATTCTCAGAGAAATATCTTCAGTTTGAGTATCTTAGTATTCTAACTAAATTTTCGAAAAAGAGATGTTTACTGGTTATTTTTATTAGAAGATTTTATGAAAATTAATTTATTACATCAATTAAAATGCTACATAGATATATTAGGATAGTCTTCAGTATTCAGTACTGCGGTTTTAATTAAATTAATTTTGGATTTTCACAATGTTATGGGTTATTTCAGTGGAAAAAAGGAAAAAAGGCCATTAATTGCATTAATTGACAAGCGCAAATTGCTGAGTAAAGTCGAGTCAAATTTTATTAATTCTACCTAATTTTTCATAAATTTAAGAAGCTTTTGCCCATTTCAGATCATCGGTGCGAGGCTTCATTCCCGTCAATCCCGTGACAACAAATTCAGCAGCACGCCAAAAACCGATCGCATCCAGCGGTCTATTTAGCCAGCCGGTAGTAATGCAATATCCACATGCATGTGGTGAAATATGATGAAGTTTATGTCCTTTACGTGAAAGTATCACGTGCCAGTTCTGTAGCATTTCTACCCAAGGTGATAATCCAAGATATGTATGTGACCATTTGTGAATCTGAAATCAGTTGAAAACGAAAAATCTAGATATTCACTTTTAAAATTATACGCTACAATTTTTCAATAATAGTTGAAAAAAAAAATAATAATAATAGTTGAAACATTTTGTTTAATAAATTAATTTTCAGAAGTTATTCTAAAATTCGCTCGAATTGATTTAAGCTAACCACCTGCATCATCTATTTCTAGTTTGCTAAAATACCCTGAAAATTTTATTTCGGTATTCTTAATCACTGCTAGAAGAAAGTGTTTGAGTTAGATTTCCTGGCAGATAATTTGAACTTTAATTCGTAACAATAATATTAACGACAAATTTTCATAAAATTATGTATACATTCATAAAAATGTTAATACCTGATTGGTGAGCGCAACATACATAGCCAAAAGTAAATAAAACCAATGTGATGTTGTCAGAGTATCCAATTCAAAAGCTGATAATGTTGCATGTTGATAAATAATATGCGTAAGCTTTGGTATTATTAACAAGAAATTATCACCGTTACATTCGATGAAATCATGACGTGTTATAGCGGTAGGATCCACGTGGTGCTCACGGAATGGTCGAATAAAGTGCTAAAAAATTTGTTGCAATTTAGAAAAAGTTTAATAATAAAAAAAATTTTTTTCCCATTGAAACTCTTAATCTCAGCAAATAAAATTTGCATAAAAATTTATGAACAAAATGGTTAAATGAATTTGAAAATTTTTACGGGAAATAGTTTTAAGGCTTTAAAAGTGATAAGATTATGGCGTACTATGGTAGTGATGTTCACGTGATATTCACAGAATGATGAAAAATTCCCATTGTTTATTTTTTCTCTTTCAAAGAACAAAGGATGTTTTGAAATTGAAGATTTCAGAAGGGTTAAAATTAAAAAAAAAAAACTTTATGGTGAGAAAATTTGGTAAATGGAAAAGAAGAAAAACTAAAACGAAAACTTGTAATTCAATTATAGAGTCTCACTATTTCTTCCCAAATATTCTTAAAGTTTAGTCAGTCAATTTGTTCTAAAGCAGTTTTTTATCAAGACCATTAATGATAATAATAAAAGTGGCGACGGTGCATAATAATTTGTTAATTATTATAAAATGGATTAGTAATAAGGTAAGGATGAAATTTGTGAATAATAAAAGTGTCTGAGAGGAATTTTTAAAGTACATTTAAGGACTTATTAGCTTAAACGTGATTTCTTAACTGTTGAAATTTGTTGAAACTTAAACTCATTAAAAGGAATAAAAAACGGACCCTGCCGATGAATGTATCGACGGTGCCAAAGGAATCGGCAGCCCAATGTACCAGACCGGACAACAAATCAGCTGTTAAAATGCCCAAAAATGCAAAGAATAGTATGAAAGGCAGAGAAGATAATTCGAATCGTCGTATTAACAAATATATAACAATGAGCAGTTCGATAATACCCAATCCGGTTGAAATGATTTCTTGCAATCGCTTTTCTGGAAATTGAATTGTGAATTATGTTATGCCTTTGATTAGAATATTATCTTTTTTGGTTCTGATTCCTGAGTGAACTTTATAAAAATAATAGTTTTAAGGCCTTATACCACAGGTAAACTTCATGAAAAACAATGATTTTCGGAACAGTCTTGATTCTCGATGAAGACTTCGTAAAAATTAGTGATTCAAAACTGCTCAGTCATTCATTGTTTTTTCAGCATAATAAGTTTTATACTATAAATTAATTGCTTAGTTGCTCTTATAACTGTTTTAATTTGTCAAATGCTAAATTGAACTGAAAAGCAACGCATTCATTATTTATTGTCATCCTATGAATAATTTTTCACAAATTATTTCAATTTTTTTTAAAAAATGCTCACCTCGGCTATAAAGAGCAGCTAACTTCTTAGCACCAGTATGATTTGGTCCCCAGCGTGGCTTAAAAACGCCTTCCGGATTAACATTTCCATTCGGATCATCTTCCGGCATAGCATCTCTTGCACTAATCATTTCCTTTCCACTAATTTGATCAATCACTGATGCCTGTTGCATTGTTCCGTAATTTTTATCCATATGATAAAACCACAACAAATGACTAAGCATAAAATTGAATAATGAATAGAAGTCATAAATTCAAATCAAGTGAAGTATGAAATATAATTGGAAAAAAGAACAACAAATGCCAATCATTTCAGACACGGATAAACCAAATGAATTATTATTAATTAGATATCTTGTAAATTACCAGATGTAAGAGTGGCCAACTTAATCCATATATATGTGACGAAAGAGAAAAAAATAAATAAATAAATAAACAGCTCGTAAGTAAGCCAATTGAATGACATGCAAAATTATCTATACAATAATTATAAAAAGCATATTACAAACAAATTCACCTATTTGCGATAAAAAAAAAAAACCATTAAACAAAAATTATTTGCTAATAAATAAGTAAATACTCTTTCGAAAAAGAAAACAACAAACAAACAATCAATGAATGCATCCAATAAAATAATCCAAAGAGGGAAGGAAATGAAAAAGAGGCGAAAAGAGATGAAAGAAAGCGGAAGAAGAAGAAAACGAAGAAGTAACGTTACTAAAAGCACAAATAATCGGTGAGTCAATAAGTAAGCTTTCAACAAAAAAAAAGAAAATAGAAAAAAAAAAAAAAAAAAAAAACAAATTGAGGAGGGGAAAAAAGCTTTGCTAGCAAATATATATGTATATGATGAATAATGTAGAAAATTGCCAACTGGCAATAAAGTAACAGTTGAAAGATTGGCTTGCTTCAATGATTAATTGAAGATGATAAGAAAAGAATAAACTTTCACCAATCAAACATTCAATTCAATTTAATTCAATTCAATCCAATTGATTAATTTCTAATGCTGTATTGTAATGTGTTGTGTGTACATTGACTAATATATTATTAGACTGATGCAATGAAATATTATTAAGCTTATGAAAAACTAACTATAACAAATGAAATTATTTTTAATTAAAAAAAAAAGAACGAAAAATGAAAAATGAAATAATTTGAGATAAAGTTATTTTTTCTTTCTTTTTTTTAAAAAAGAAATATCACTTTTGAAATATTATACAGACAGATGCATATACGCACTCAAATAGTTTAAGATTTTTATCAAATAGCTTATTCAACTTTTTTTTCTTATTTGAAATATATTAATCTATTCACAATTTTACTTCCTCTTTCTCATTTTTATAAATTAGAATTTCATTTCCGCTCCTTTTCGCGTAATTTTGTAATGAATTATTTCTTAAAAAATAAATTATGTATTTAACAATTTTTCAATTTTAACATATTTTTGTTATGAAGTTTATTTTTGCATTTTTAAAGATTTTTTTCAAAAAAAAAAGGGATGAATAATTTTAAAAATTTGAAGAGAGCACATTTGTTAAGTGGTAAAATGATGGTGGTATCACTGATTAATTGTTAAGTAAATATAAACTTGCAGGTATTAAATATAAACTCGCAAGTACTAACTAAGTTCAAATAAGAATAAGTATTTAGAATATTGTAACTTAAAACACATTTTCCAAATAAACATTAAAATTAGGTAGGTAATCATATCATGTAAACTTTAGATGAGTAAAATGATAACTACTAATTTAAATTAAGTAAACAAACCATTACAAATTATAAATCAATAAAATCACTTTTTTTCAGCAGTAATGAATTAGCATGATAGTATGAACCGAGGAAAAGAGTAATAAGAACATATTTAAAATTAATAAGATAAAAATGCTAAAGTTTTTTTTTTTTTAATATATCTAGAAGTAACAACGGTTCGCTTATTCTCCTAGTAAACAAATAAGTAATACTTAGAAATGGGTGCTAATAAATTCATAAGCAATTCAATATGCAAATTATTTCAATTTCTTCTCGTATTGTTTCCTTCAACATTTCCCGAGAAGATAATTTATGAAATACATAAAAAAGAAGGAAATAAATACATCCAATGCATTTAGTCTCATTTTTGAAATATTTCATCAATTCTATTTTCTCCTTTTTCTATAACTAAATTACCAATTAATTATTTGTTTTGAATTGAAAAGTTTTCCCTTTTTTTTCCTTGCTGCTCATATTTTTTTTTGTTTTAATATTTGAATATATTGTTCGTCGATATAATTACAATTGTTGAGGAAGAAAAGAGAAGGAGGAAGAGAGAGAAAGAAAGAAAGAAAGGGAAAGGTGTCCTGAAAAATGTGACAAAAGCTTTGATGGAGCTTTAAATGAATAAAAAAATTTGAATCATTCTATCTCATAAATGTATAGATGCAGGTTAAACGAAATAATACTAATGAATTACAATTGTTATGTTCATTGATGTTCACTTTTTTTAAAATTTACTCAAAAATATATTTTCATCTAATGTATATATCATAAATCAAAATTTATAATATGTATTTTAGCTTAACTTAAATATATGTTTATTTAATGTATTTAATATATATTTCTTAACACATAAATCTATATCTTTAGAGAAAAATACATTCCTTATTCAAAACCACCGAAAAACTTTCAGCCATTTATTTCAGTTGACGTCATCAACTAATTATTATAAATGTTTCATTTAAAAACAAAACAAAAAAAGGAAAAGAGGAAGAAACAGGCCAGCTGTTAATTTTTAAATGAATAGAGTGATAAATTATTTGAACTTCTATGCAATATCAATTAAAATTTCAATAAGCTATGATGTATTTCTCAGAAAGATTGAAAATTCATTTCACATCAATCAATAAATATAACATTTGTTTTTGACGATTACTAAATTACTAAATATCTTATCCGTAGCTTCGACTTTAAAAAGAAGCTTCTTAAATATTTTAGAAGAGATGATAGGGTAGTCTAATGCAATGTAATATGTAAATAATTATTGTTAATATTTCCGCAACTTGTAGAATATTTTCATAGTTTTTAATTTCTTTTTAAATTCTTTTTTCTCTTATAAATAATCTTAAAGTTTTATTAGACACTCAAATGAAAATAGATTCAAATTTAGCAAATAGCACATACCACTTAAAAAGCACAATCAGAATGAAGCAATGGGAATCGATCAGAATGAATCACAATTGGCAGTTATATAATAAAAGTTTCATTATACTCTTGGGTATGCTAAAATAAAGTGTTTAAAAATGGATGGCAATGTTTTTTGGATGAAATATGGTAGCATTGATTGATAATGATGATAATTAAATTAATGGCAATAGTACTGGATGCATGGACAGTGATAATGATTGATAATGATGGCAGCAGTTGGCAATTTTGAAGATTTCGAGAGGATCTCCTCTTTATCTTTCTCGTTATTATTACTTTTATCACACCATATTAATGTTATCATTAAAGTTTATGAACTTTGTACTTTCATTCTGTCAATAGCACTATAATTTTTCATAATGATTGATAACATTCTTTTTTTGTGATATTATTATTGATATATAGAAAATTCATTCGATTTTAATTGATTTCTATAGTACGAATGATTTTTATCAGGTTATCATTATGAGTTAATATTAATGTCATTTTACTGATAAATGATATGCCAAATTAGTGACACATCATCGATTCATTTATTATCAGTCGAAAGATACAATTTATATCATAAAAAATTCCGTTTTAAATAAGATGTGCAATGCATATCAATCACTGTCACTGAAAGCTTCTTTGACGTATAATCTCATTTCGCACTAATATCTGTGACATCGACCACTTTCATCTCACATAGTTTTATTATAAAATGCGGAGTAGTGGTAAGATTCAGGCGAATGTGTCACTCGCAATGATGCAAAGGAATGAATTGATGAAATTTGTGTAATTGTGATGTGGAAGGCATTTAGAAACAAATGCAGAAGAGAAAGGTTTCATTTGAAGAAATTATCATCATCGAGTTGACAAATGACGAATTGCATGATAAATTTGTTTAGTTGGCAGTGATAAAGTTGTGAGTGTTAGATAGATAGATAAAGCATTGAAGAAAGGCGAGAAGTACGTCAAATGAGAGTAATTTAAACTTTCATAAATGGCTTTGTACTTTATTTGAATGAAATCCGAAGCCTTCAATAAAAAGCAAAGAGATAGAATTAAATGTAAGTTACAAATTCATAAATTTTAGGAAAAAAAAGGAAATAGTAAAAAAGTATGAAAAGTAAAAAGTATGCGAGAAATACGAGTGTTTATACGATGAAAACAATGGATGATAGTTGGAAATATGATAAGAACCAAAATTTTAAGTGTATTTTAAATAAAATAGATAAATAAAAGTGCTGCAAAATGACCTCTGACCTTTGCTGTTATCGCAATATGTGTCGATTGTATTTTGACCAATCGATGTTTGGGAAGGGTATTTAAGATCTGACAACATATACAGATCTTATTTAAGACATGATTACCTGAAAAGAAATGGCGTGACTGGATGAAAAGATCAGGAAGAAATAAAAAGAACGAGCAGTGATGACTCGCCTTTTATCTTGCCGATAATTCAGGTGTCATTGAATTTGGAACAAAGCACATATCAATTTTTCCAGACAATACTTTGAATTTCAAATTTTGTTTCAGTTTATTTTTCATTTGATCGATAGTGTATTTCATGATCAGTCAAAATTTAACACCGAATCTGCTAATTTTAAGCTCCACTTAATTTCAATTTGAAAAATAATTCTAAAAAAAAAAAAAATTTACTCTGAATTAAGTCAAAAATATACTATAGATTGCTTATTGGTTGATGCATTATAAATAAGCAGTTCAAAATATTATGACATGTACAATCTGTGAGAGTTAAGTCCAGTCTAAAAATAGCCAGTTAGGCTAGAAATGCTACGATAACATGAATGGTATATCTTATCTCTGACTTATCACTTTACTTGTATATCATTCTAAATATTTTGATTTCATTTAAAAGCATTATACACTTCTATCTCACTAATATCTTCTTTCATGGGTCTTATCAATGGAAATTGTCGACTTTTTCCAAAATGAAATATTGAATTACTTCACTTAATTTTCTTTAGCTTATCAATTAAGGTCTTTTTACATCGACTGATAAGCAATTTACATGGTAAAACTACATGGTGGTTTAAGAGAAACGTGAATTATGAAGAAGTTGAAGACAACGCTTCTGCAAATTATTCTTTTTAGATAGCAATTTGAATTTTATATCTTATTTAATCGATTCTCAGTAAATTGACATTGACACTGAGTTAATTTACTAATATCGATTAAAATTAATTTCAATTTTACAATACTCTCCTGCGAGAAAAAAGATTAAAATTTGGTTGATCACAAAATAGTTTCACCAGGAAATACCATCAAGTCTATTAATTTTAAATTGGCGTTATTTTGTCCATATGATAGACAACTAAAATTGCTTTTTTCCTGAATCATTAAACCAATGATCTCGTCAAGACAATTACTGTTTTGTGCTATTAAGTGTTTACTTCTTAAACACATTTATTAGAAAAATTTTCCAGCTTTAACAACAAATTGATAAAACATAAAATGCAAAAATATGGAATAGATTAAAGTCATAAATTCCGTTTTTCGAAACAGTCGCAAATATTCCGGATCACTCTTTTTTTGTTGTTTTTTCTGTTTTAAAGTATCACAACGATGTCAACAAAGAGGAATGATTCATTTAAATAATTTGAAAAAAAAAAAAAAAATCAAAAGAAAATATTATGATCCTTCTCAAAAGTGTCAAAATTTCAGCGATATCAATAAAATGTACCTTTCATGATTGGTATTAAAATAATGAATCATCCGTTAATTAATCACAATTCTAAGCACTGCCCTTAATTTTGAATGTTCCAAAAATATTAATGTGATAATTAATAAAACCGTGGCAATCAAATTTATAGATAATTTGTAAAATAAATTTCTACAACAATTAATTATTTCTACAGAAAAAAGATCTATATTTGTTTCAATGAATAAGTGGAATAAATGGTATCAAGAAATGGTGGCGGTTCAGAAGCTTTTTGAAATTTGGAACGTATTTCATCCACAGACCAATTCACTTCCAGTGGTTCCATTAAAATACTTCGAGTCTTTTTTCGGATTCGAACATTACTACTTATTATTGATTCACGTTGCTGAAGTGATATACGTGGTCCTAAATCGTTCTTAACGGATATTGCAGTTGCTTCAGTGCTATTATACTTGTTAACTTCTTCTTTAATTGGTGATTGCTTTGGTGATTTTGGTTGAATTCGATTATTATTTGTGATTGCTGCCTTCTTGACCTCATTAACTGCTAAATGACGAAATTCAGCGGTCGAAGTAATCGAGATTTCCATTTTACTATCACGATTACGATTTTCTAGATTAGACCTAACTGTGATATCTTTAGGATTATTAACTTCAGATTTATTGGAAATTGAATTAATATTTATTGCAGAAGTGCTACTCTGTTTCAAATCTGATTTAAGTGGCGGTGATTGTCTGGAGAACAGTTTTGATACAGTAGTTTCTGCGTTCCCAATACGCTCCGATGCACGTCGAACTAATAATTTATTATGAGTGTTAGTTGTACGAAGAATTGGTGATGCTATCACTGGCATCTGAGATGTTTCTAATAAAACACTTTCCTTGCCATAATGATATGCACTCCCCTCATCAACATACCATATTTTACCCTCGGGAAATGAATATTTACGAGTTACATTATCACGCATACTGGATGGTCCAGGCTCGCTACTGTTATTTTCCGATTGACGTCTGAAAGATTCATGTCGTACTTGTGAAAAAAGTGATTCCTTACGACGTATTACTGGAGAATGTGAATTGGTTTCTAAATCTTTCCGTCTAGTTAAGGATGAATTCAATCCTTGTGCTTCCACTTCTCTTCGACGAGGCGGAAGTGGCGAAGCAAAATGAATTCCTGAATCGATCATCGAATTCGTCGTCTTTCTTTGCACTATTGGACTTCTCTCAGCTCGCTTTGAACTACCTCTACGTAACAGAATTGGACTTTCTGGCAAGTCAGTTGGTACTACTGTTTGCAACGTTGAATCGGAATGTAGCGATCCTGTACTTATTGTCGAACTTTTACGCACTAACACTGGGCTTTCTGGATCAAATGTAACGGATTTCCGGTTGGAAGAAGGACTCCCTTCCAGTGTACCTGATCGATGAAGTGAAGCTGGACTTCCCTCAATTTTTCGACGACATGGCGATGAAGTACCAAATTCCCGCCGAAGCTTCCATTCGGTACTTCTATTCTCATCAGTATTTCTCCTGGATGAATTTGAACAAATCGATGGACCACGTGAAAATGTCTTTTCTTCAATTTTTCTTTGCTCTTCACTTTTTTTCCATTTCCACATTGGTGTTATTACCTTATTTTGTACATCAGAATTTTCACGTGAAAGCACTGGAGTCTTATCGTCATCTTGTTCCACTTCTGTACCAATCTCTTCTTCTTCACCTTCTGTTGAAACGCTACTCACAAAACATCCTGCAATTTTCTTCTCTGTTAAAACCAAACATATCCAATTCTACCCTACCTTTTCAATAAATTATGCCCGTGGCACTTGTTACACGACTGATATTGATAAGCGCAATCAAACATGTTACAATGAACAAAAATCTTCTAATGATAAAGAATTAATTGATAGGTCAACAATAACTTATGAGAAGGTTTCGAGAGTTTACAAAGTATCACTTCTCAATGTATTTCACCACTTTCATCCATCGTAGTAAAATTTCCAACGATCAGTCTGGTTTAATGACAAGAATAACTTCATCACTAACCCGAAGATGATGTTTGTAGAGGACGATGCTCCCACTTGCTATAAATTAGTTTAGGTGATTGTGATATGCCTAAGGAACAACTGGATGCGGGTGATCCGATTACACCTGAATCTGAATTACTGACCGATGTTTCCAAGCATAAATCAACATCTGATAATCCTTAAAGATTAAAGCTTTTATATATTTCACATATTTTTTCATTAAAATCAAACATTAAATTTCAACAACACTTAAATTATTGGATTTTTTTGTGGCTCATTCATACTTAATTGATGTATGCCTCATTTCCTTCTTTAGATCTGAATCAATTTTCCAAAGGCATACAGAAGAATGAAATGCACAAACCGGAATCATTGGAAACGGATGATGAAATAGCAAGTTGAATATCCTTGAATGGTTCGAGTAGAAATGGTGCATTAACAATAAGATATTCGGCCAAATCTGGTAACCAACTTGTTGCAGAATCTCCTTCTTCAAAAATTACATAATAATGACCTGTTTACAAAAGTATTTGGAAACAATCATAATTTTAATAGTTTCATCAATCAATGAATACATTAATCCAGAAATTTCCCCATCATAGTTTTGATGCAATTAAAAATATTTGATGGAATGAAATAATCTACAGTACAGAAACAATATTTTTGATCCAAATTTTCGAACTGCAAAACTATTTTTAATGCAAAATGTACTCTTCCGAAGATGTAGAATGGAAAGCTGTAAAGATTTTAAGAGTTTATTCAAATCATTTACTTGATAAAGTTACCATATGATTTCAAGTAAAGATAAACCTTTATTGCATCAGGAAAAGATATTTTGTCCACTATTAATTCAAATGTTAAAGTAACGAGCAAAGAAAATGTAAATCCTTGTAGTCAAAAAGTCCACAAAGTTTTAGTGTAAAGAGACTAAACGACTCACTCGGATTATCAAGAAGACTGGGCGCAACACAAACAGCCAACGATTGAGCGGTCATTTTTGACTGTGGCGAATTTGAAATTGCTCGAAGTAATTGAAGAAATTTGGAGAGAAGAGCGGAATGCGCGGAAGGTAGCATATGCAATAATCTACGGATGGATTTTTGACAATCCAACGTTTGTTCCATTGCTGATGCCCATAACTCGAAATTTCCGGATAGGAGTAACTTCCCGGGAATCTCACGAAGATATTCCTGAGAGGTGACAAAGATTAAGAAAAATTTCTATTTGTCTGCAATTCCAGGTTGTGAATCACCAAGAAACTATTGCCTATACATATATGTAAACTATTACATTAACATGTTTACCTTCAGAAGAGCAGCGGTGACATGTGGATTAAATTGATAGAAATCCGGTACTGAGCCACGATCAAGTTGAGCACGTAGCATACGTACAGTACTCTGTTTGGGTGATTTCCGAAACAAACCTTCGATGTCTACTCCGTGAAGCATCAAGTGATCAATCATGGTTAATACTGGTTGAGGTGGCGATGAGCCTTCCAGTGGTCGTCCAAAGAAGCGTCGCGATTCCGATCGACTTAGTACACGCCTTGAATAAATATTACCGGAACTGTTCAATTGTTCTACGGAAAACTCAGACAAAACAGTGTCCATACTAATTGTTAGCAAGTTAAAAGTATTTATTTTTAAAACAAATTTCTAATTTTACATACTGAAATTAAATTGAAAAAAATTTCCTTTTCTTGAAAATGACAAAATTTTTCCTTTCGAGACAAAAAATTTTTCGGTTTTTTTAAAAGATTATTCCTGTGTTTTAAGATCAATTGTAACAAATGAAAAATTGTACTTGAAATGAGAAACAATGGAAGATGTCGATGAATGACTGTTGCCAACGGAAGCCAACACTAAACGACATTGAATTAACGGTATAGCATCGATCTTTTCCAGCTGTATCTCGGATAATCGATAACCGGTATTCTTAACATGTTCCATAACAATACAAAAGACACATTCTGGTCCTTGAAGTGTGCTAATACCATCTCCATTACCCGCATCAAATGACAATTCCACTTCTTCCTCCATTGGTATAGCTAATTCATTGATAAGTTCACGTAAAATTTCATTTGTCGTTTGTGACATACCAATTTTCTTCTTCATCACCTACAAAACGACATGTAATATCATGCTTAATTCATTAATTAATACTTGTTTTAACTCATTTTCATTCATTAACAACTTTTTATAATTTAATCTTTTTTCCAAAATTAAAAACGATTAGATAAAGGATTGAAAACAATCTTTTATAATTTTATCACTTAATAGTACTCATAGCATGTCATACTCTTGTCATCCACTGATCAGTCTTCATTTAATGCTATGAAATATTTTAGTCGACTATCAATTTAATCAAAACCTCCAGTCAAAAAAAATGGATTAACAATAAAAAACATATTCTTTCTTTTCTTTTTTATTCAATTTGAAAAATTTAATTTCACATAAACAATGAACAAGGAGCGATTAAAAGATAAAAGTGATGCATTTAATGTGAAATATCAAAAATATTGTGATTAATTGACTGATTAAATATGGTCAAAATTTTCACAGCCAAATGAAAATTTCATCATTTATGCATGGATAATTTATGTCAATTTGACAATGGAGCAAAATATAGAAAAGAAATACCGGAAGAAATAATGTATACTGTTAAAAGAAAATATAATTGATGATAATTGTCACTACGGTTTTCTAATGTGCCAATTTCTATATCAAATCTTTAACATACTTGCGTACGTCCATCGATTAGTACCGAAACTGGGATCGTTGTAAATTTGGGTGAAAATTTCGCACGACTTCGTAATATTCGTTGTTGCAATAGCATCTCCCATTCTTGTTTCTGATCTTCTGTTCTGTAAATCATTAAACATTTTCCTACACTCTCATAATTTTTTAAAATACATCTCTTGGTTTTTTTTTTTTTTTTCAAAATTTAATCTTTAAAATTCTCAACTTTCAAAAAATTTGAAAAAAATGAATTTAATTGCATTTTTTTGGACAAAATCATTTCAACTAATGTATTAAAAAGGCTTTCATAATTTAAGCAAACCTAATGTTTCAAATAAAATAATTTGAAGAGAGAGGAGTGAAAAAAAGTGGAAAATGTTAGGTCTAATTTAGAAAAGTGAAGGATTTTTATTTTAAAAAATTTATATGTTTAGAAAAATTTTGTTCACAGACAACAATAGCTATTAATATATCGAAATTGCTCGAAAAACTGGCGCAAAAGTACAACTATTCTTGCTGATGTAATAAAAGATTAGCAAAATAGACTGTTGATGATTTAGAAATTAATAATCGAAAATAATAGCATCTATCGATCATTTTTGCTGTACTTATTGTCAATAAAATAGATGGAAATTACACTAATTTAATTTTAAATTCATTTGTGGGAAATTAGAATTGCAAAGAATGTCACAGCAGAGAACAGTATAATCTTCATCAAACCAAAGAGAAATATCTAAGCCGGAACTGGTAAGAAAAAGAAAGATGTCCAATTAATAAGAAATAAAACGGAAAAAAAGGATAAAAATAGATTAGAATTTGATTTAAGAAGTAAAAGGCAAAAATAGATGATTATATTAACTATAACTATTAGCAAACAAAAAATAAGGAAAAAGAAAAAACGAACGCAAAATGAGCGATGAAATTATAAATTGGCCATCCGATAAGAAAAGAATGTGGGCAATCATTTGATACCAACCAAATTCGATCCAAGCGAATTTTTTCTTTTAATTTGTAACTATTCGCTGCTCTGCAAACAAGAATAAAAGGAAAAAGATAAATAAGAAAAAGAAGAAACAAAAAATAAATTGGACAATTGATATAAATATCAACTAATACAACATTTTTTGAAAAAGATGAATTATATTCATTACCATCAAATATGGAACAATTCAATTAGTAAAATATCGCCATTTGTTTCATTTATATACTAACCTTATAGTTTTTTTGTTTTTAATCCATACCTTAACAGATAATAGTCAATGCTTTAGTAGCTAATATTTCCAGTTTTTTGTGAATTTTTCTTTAAAATAGTATAAAATATCTTTTTGCGCTTTTTTTTTTAAATTGTATATTTAGGATTTCTCAAAATTACTATTATAATACTACTTGAAATACTAATGCACATGAAATTTAAGCGTTTTATACGTTATCGTTAAGCATTAAATTATTTTTGTGTGTAACATATATTTGTGATTTCACTTCTTATTTGAAAATTGTATATATTTTACACGTGCATACAATACATCCCTATCATTGGACATTTGATTTCATTGAAATTATGAGAATTATATTATTGTGTTGCTGGTATTGCTGATATATTGGTATTTGATGCTGTACCTGTTGACAGTATGGTAGGCTCACTAAGCGGACTAACAAAATTTGGGTCGTTAACGTACGGAGTGATTGTCAAGTAAGATTAAAATGGATGGATGCAGTGGAGTTATGATGAACCCCAGACACCTCTCATTCGTTGTGACCTGTCGCACCTGTCTCATTTGCGCTCATCTTATCATCATTCACCAATATCTACCATTTCATTTCAATTTTATTATAATTATATATACATATGTATATCAACTGATGATTATCAGTGGATTAGCATGCCCCATCTAAATCAAAAACGTCTTTTCAAGCAAATACTGGAATTAAATTTATTTTTAATTTTTCCAATCAACAAACTTTTCCTTCAAATGTTGCAACATTATTATCATTAATTTTAGAGCTAGAAACGAAAAGAAGCATTAGTTGAAAAACACAACATACATCTTAAAAACATCAAAATTTGCGCAGAATTAACAAATCAGTGGATAGTTGTAATTTAAGAAAAAAAAATTGCAATTTGACATTTAATTTTCAAATTTACTAAGGAAAGAGAAAAAAGACCATTAAAAATGGTTACCAAACACGATACACTGAACTATTCGTGATGTTTATCATCCTACACGAAACTTTCCCCGACATCGTACTAATCATCTAATCAAGTCTATTCACCACTCATTTACCCATCTTCTAAATTTACATTTACATTTACATTCATAAATATATGTTTAATCTTTTTCACAAAGAAAGATAAAAAGAACATCCAATTTGCAAAATCAATTTATAAAATATCAGAAGGAAGTGACGTTTTGATATTAAAAAAAAAAAAAAAATTCAAGTGAAATCAATTAATAATGGAATGAATTCAATTATTCGCTGAATTTGTGAGTGTTGTATGAAAAGAATAAACATATATTAGATAAACTGTTTTCCAAAAAAAAAAAAAAAGGATTTGATTTATTTCAAAGTTAAATTTGAGCTCAATTTAATTCTTTTTGGAGGAAAAAAAAAGAAAGAATTTGATTGAAATTTTGGTAAAGAATTTGAACAATCATTTTTTTAAAAAAAAAAAAAAATATCATTTTATAAGAAAGTCAAAAAATTTTCTCATTTATTTTCAATTCTTCGTTTTTCAAAAATTTTCTTAACTATTGAAGACGACTTTTCTCATTTTTGTATTGGCGGAATTTTAAGTAAGAAAGCAATACAGACAATCAGAAATGTAAGATAAACAATGGAAGCCTTTTTCATCTAATTAATTAGTTAAAATAAATGCTACGATACTTTTAATATCTTATTTCTGTTTTAGTAATATCAGTTGTTATCATTTTCATTTTATCATTTCTTTTCGTCAAGTTAACCAATAAATGAATCAATTTTTGTAGTCATTATTGAAGTTTAATTGAAATAGAAATGCAACATACTTTTGCTTGGCGATAAGAAGAAGATCGGAGAAGAGGAAGAAATACCGCGAAGAAGTGAGTAGCGAGTCCAAAGCTGTCAACTGTACAGCACCTTCCTTAATATATGCTCGTTTCATATCTATTCCAACAAAATGACACTCATTTGACTGAAAATATTTTGTTGACTGAATTGAGAAGATTGAATTTTTATGTTTGCTAAGGTATGGAAATATTTAAAATGTAAGTGAAAGAAAGCTAAGCAAAGAAGAGAGAGAAAGAAAAAGGCTATTTGATATGTTTGTCATTAAAACATTCTACAAAATCAATGAGCTGACAAAAATTCATTGATGAACAAAAAGAAATAACTTAGTGAAAAGTTTTTTACTTTTCTTTTTCCTTCTTCATTTAAAGAAAAAAAAGATTGTAAAAAAAGGAAAAAAAAGCATATCTTTAAATATTTATTATTTTAGATTTATCAATTATTTTTAGATTTATCCAAAAAAGAAGTAGAAAAAAAAAGTTACCACAGTTAATCAAATTTTTTGAATTTGACTAATATAGCTAATCATTTTATTAGATGAATAATAGTTGCAGTAGCATAACCATCGATAGTGAGAATGGTTAGTTTTAAAATAATTTAAACAATTATAGTACTTGAGAATAATATTAAATTAAAGAAAAGAATAAAGTACTTGAGAATAATATTAAAAGAATAGTCTTAAAAGAGATAATATAAAAAAAAGATAGGCCTGTTTACAATCATTCCTTCTTGTGTCATTTTGAGAAATGTGTAAGAATGTGAACTTACACTGATCGTCCAAAAAAAAAAAAAGAAAGATGAGAAGATGAACAGTGTATGTATGCATAGGGTTGAAGAGGAAAATGAAATGAAATGTAAATGACATCGAAACCCATCCAACAATAATAATAACAACTATAAGAGATCTCTCATTGTTGTTATTGTAATCTATAAATTTGAAAAATACATAACATTTCGTTCTTTATCCAACATAAAATAATCTTTTTATACATAAAAAGAAAATTTAATTTTCAAGAAAAAAGAAATTTATAATCCATCGAATAATTTTTAGAAGTAGGACGAATTAATTATTGTTAAAATATATGAATAAACTTGAAATGTTCATAATTTTGGTTGTTTTCCTGAATGATATCAGTATTTAAAAATTTAGCCAATGCATTCCATATAGGAAGACAATTGGGCAATTGTGTCATATAATCCAACATGAATTGATCAAGAAATAAAGTATTTAAATGTAGGATGAAGACATATTAGCTAGAATCTGCAAATGTAGATCAAAAAATGACACATCGTAAAGTTTGTTCTGAATTATTCTAATCTTCTAAGCTTAATCATTACGGATTAATGTTTGTTGATTAAAATAAGTGATAAAATTTGACAAAATTCATAAATTTCATCTTACTTCTCAAAGGAATTTTGCTCCCTAATCTTAGTTACATTAGAAAGTGCTATTTAAGATTTAGAAATTTTAATTTCTCCTAACATAAGTAAGAAAAGGTTTCATTTTATTGATTTAACATTTCTCCAAGGTATACAATTAACGCATAGAACAACATTTGTTAAAGCGAATGAATTTTGTGAAATTATTTTGAAAAGCAAAAGTAAAAATAACAAAACAATAGATATCAAAGCAAATAGTAAAAAAAAAAAAAGCTATATCTTTGCTATTTAATGCAGATAATCCTATAAAGATTTTATGACTTCATTTTTCTAATTTTTTAGTAGTAGCAGGTAAAGAGTAATAAATCACTGATAATACCTGGTAAAATGATGTCAATTGAAAAAAAAAGGACTTAAAAAATGAAGCGCTTTATCAAATAATATAGAATGATATTTTCATGTCGATAATCACTTATTTATTCCCTACTTAATCATAAAATTTCAAAGTAAACTTTCTCATTTATTATGATAACTATTAAAGTGGTTTAAAGGATTTTGCCAAATTATTAAAAGAATTATTCTTGCGTAGATCGGATTAACAACCAAATGTATTATGTATAGAAATGAAAATTGAGATTTAAAGAGTGTAACAATGATTGACATTGCATTCAATCTATGCTTGCACTTTTTCTTTTTCTTTTTGGTCTTTAACAAAAAAATAATATTTGTTTTAATTTGTAATCGAAAAATAAGGGATCTAAAATAACAGAATTAAAAGATAAAAAAAAGAAAAAACATAGGATAGAAAAAAAATGGATATTTAAGGATAAAATAACTAACATAAAACAATGAAAAAAGAAATGCAATTTTTATCTTAAATGAATTGCAAGAGAGTATGAAAGGTTTTCTTTTTTTTTTTTTTAGAGTGAAATGAAATGAACATAATAAACTTCAAACAAAAAATAGTATGGGTTTTTTTCTGAGCAGAATTGAATTTTATTTTAAAAACAATATTTTGTTAGGAAAAGGATACTTCTCAATTATCTGATATTATAAAAATTTTTTGCTGTTCAAATGTTACCAAATATTGCAAAGAAATTTTAGTTTCATATAAGGTAAAATGTAAAATTATCATATCTTCCACAACATAGCATTTCCAAAATCAAAATGTCACAAAAGGGTAGTTTTTTTTTTTCCCGAAACTGGTTGCAATCTAACATGCCTATCAAATATGAAGAAGATAGAAATAAAAAAAAGTGGAAGAAATAATGATACAATTTTTGTTTGGAAAACATATTTAAGGATTAAAAGAAAAAAGATAATAGAACATTAAAAAGCCGGTTTTTTTTTGAAAATGGATGAGAAGAAGGACAGGCTGAATTTATCTTTCTTTGGTTAACTTTGAAGGAAAAAAATAATAACTCAAAAATTTAATTAGTAAGAACTGTATTATCTAAACAAAAATTGCCACGTATTTATAGCAAAAAATTTTGCATGTTATTAACAGCGTTACTTTTGCAAATAATTATTACATACCGAAAAAGTAAAACAAAAGAATTTTATTTGGAAATTTAAGTGAAAATACTAAAAATTCTGAAATAAGTTTATTTCATTTTTTTAACATAATATTCCTTCTAATTTAAGCAATTTATAAATAATAAAAGAGTTACGATTAAATTTATCAACAAATATTCAATAACATTTATATAATTTACACTATTAGTTCAACAGTTAGAAAAGCTATTACTTCAAGAGTAAAAATAGAAAAAGAAAAATGAAGAAAGACGTAAAATAGAAAAATGATAAAATAATTATGATTATAATATGTTTGTCAACAGTGACAACTATAATTGCTTGTAGCACAGCAATGCAATATCTAAATGAAAGAATAGTGAGAAATATAAATCTCCCAGAAAAAGAAAAAAGCCAACCAATGGTGTTGTTAGAAATTTTGAAAGAATAATATCATTTTCTCTGACATTTGTTATTACAATAAAGTCGCCGAAAAATATTTGTTCTTTTAAATCTTTCATATCATTTTTCACTCCTCCTTCTTTTCTATCTCTTTCTCTCTCTCTCTTCCTTTTTTTATTTGATTTGAAATTTATTATAAATGTTATTGTCATTTTAATCCTATTCACAGAATTATATTATATACCATCAGGCATACAAGTATAAATTAATTTATTCAGGTCAAAACTTGATTTTCTTTTTTTTTTTTTACTGTTGTTTTCTTGAAATATATTTCTTAACAAATTTCATTAAATGCATTAATACTTGAGACACTTGTAATGATGATTACATGTTATCATAATTCGGGATATTGTAAAATTTTGAATTTATTTGAAATATGCACATATATACCTGGGTGCATAATTTTGTTGCATCAATTCGTATAGAACTTGAAAATCGTGGCGCAAAACGATTGCGAATTTCAAGACGTGTGGCCGAATGAGAGCGTCGCCGATTATTCATCATATCAACAATACAAGATCCGGTCATTCACCAGTACGAACACTACCGATCTTTGACAGTACCCGAAAAGGTGAAGATAGAAGAGCAGAACCTCTCCTGTAAGATTGAATATGTCAACATTACCGTTCAGATGGAACCCACCTCTTACAACAGTTAATGAACCGTTCAATGCAACTGGTACCCCTTTTCTCAACCTCCTATTTACAGTTATTTACTAATTTAAACGATACGAAAGATCAGCAGGGAGAGACGATACTGTGTACCTCGTCTTTCTCTCCTAATCTATCCTTCAATCAACCCAATTTACCAACTATTAAACTCTCTCCCTCTCCCTTTGCTCCACCTCTTTCTTCCTCATTTTCATTCTAAATTTCTTTTTAATGCAAATGTTTTGTTCATTATTATCTAATTTTTTTTCCCATTCTTTCATAGACTATGTAATGCATCACATATTCATGAAATTTCCTTTAATCAATAAACAATCGTCAATAGACCATCGATTCCCGAAGGCACCGTTGATCATCTCTACTTTCACATCAATTTCAGAGATGAACACAGTACCAGTGCAATAACATCATCCACATATATACTGTTTACTGTTTATAGCTCATAAAAATGGTTTACAGATCATAAAATCACCAATGAACCTAAAGGGGGTAAAGGAGTCGATAAAAGTGAAAAGCACAAAATACAAAAACAAAACATAAATTTGTTACTGTTTAAAACAGAATAACTAAAACTACAATAAATAAATAAAAACAATCTGACATAAAATGTGACGATTTATAACTCGACGTACTGAGTAGCATGCGTTTTATTGAAATTCAAAAGTAGAGAAAAAAGGTGTAAAAATGCCAAAAGATCCAGTTTTACTTCCTCTTCTTTTCGCTCAAAAGGTCTGATAGGAAAGGTCATCACTATAAAAAGCTGAATTCCTTTTAAACTCCTCTAGATTGTTGAATTTTATTTCTTTCACTTAAAGCATCATGAAAACACAAGAACATGAGAAAGATAAACAAAATAAGGCTTGTGAGAAGTTTGGTTTTGAAAAGAAAAAGCGTTCCAAAACACTTCATCAAGACACAAACCTGTAAGTGTAACAAGAAAATAAAAATACTGTTAACTAATGCGTCCTGCCTTATGAATGAAAAATAATTTCATTTTAAGGTTACATGAAAGGGCAAGTTTATTCGATACGACTTCTGCTCATCATCAACGCGCCAAACCAAACTTCAAAAAGTAAACATTAGTCAACAAATCAATTACCCACTATTAAAATTATTAATAACAAAGCAGTATTAAATCGATTAAAGTAGATCGTAATTGTAAACACTTAGCAAACAATGACTCTTACACCAAGAATATCACAGAATTTAACTTTTTTGCACCAAAAAAGTGGTATTCCCAATTCCGCAAAAAAGGTTACCAGACAACTTTCATTTATCTTAATCAAACAACAAACTTTCAAAGAAAAAAAAAATTTCTATCTCTTCCCTTAACAAAAATTTTAAAATCCTATCTCTGTCTAAAAAAAATTTATTTTCTCTCATCTCACAGATTCTACCATTCAACTACAAATGTGTTCGTAGCAATCCTCAGAATAACAACGGAAGTGTAGAAAGGGTTTGCGTTTCGAAAAATTCGTTTAGGAAGCCACATCAAGAGTGTAATACAAATCAAATGATTATTCATTACTTTGTATTAAATGATTATTCAACTTGATGAAATTTCCTTGCAAATGTAAGTAAGAGATCACACAATTTAATAAAGCTGTTTCGTCCAAAGTTTGAAGGTACGGTCAAAAGCAACACTTGCAACCCACTTTCCATCGGGAGATATGTCAACTCCCATCACTTTCGTATCATGACCCATGAGCTGCCGTAGAGGACGCCAACCGCAAGTTTCCCAAACCTAAAATCTTGATAAATTTTTGCAGAAAAAAAAAAAAACCATTACCTCTGTTTACTTCCTTTTTAGCAATTCCAATGTTATTTCAGAACACTTACTTTTAGAGAGTTATCGAAGGATGATGTAATAATGTACTGTCCTTTTGATTATTGCAGAAACCATAAAATCTTGATAAATTTTTGCAGAAAAAAAAAAAACCATTACCTCTGTTTACTTCCTTTTTAGCAATTCCAATGTTATTTCAGAACACTTACTTTTAGAGAGTTATCGAAGGATGATGTAATAATGTACTGTCCTTTTGATTCTACCCGAAGACCAGATACAAGAGAAGTATGTGCAGCAATTGGTTTAAGTGCACGCCTTATCCTCAAATCCCAAACCATGCAACTATTGTCCGCAGAACCCGTGACCATCTGATAACTGGAACAATTAATTGATTTACTATTTCATCTCAGCTTTTTATGTACAACATTATCATGAGAAAAGCAGTTTGAAATCATTTTAACCGATAATAAAACACTTTTCCAACTTACCCATTTGGTAACCATTGTCCACAGTGGATTTCTTTCTGATGGCCTTCCAAAAACATAATACAGCGCCCTGTTCGTAAATCCCACACACGGCCATAACAATCCATTCCGCTGCAAAAATCAAATTCATAATATAATAAAATATATAGGATAATAATCTAATAGCGTACACTGTCATAATGAGTGATCCATCCACTTGAAAATCGGCATGAAAAACCGGCCGGCTGTGTCCTTCTTGAAAAAGAACTTCCTGTCCATACTGCAGATCAAATAGTCTCCATGAGCAATCAAAACTGAAAAGAGAAAATTATCAACCGTCTAATAAGCTAACGAATCTTTCACCTGAAAAACATTTAGTAACGGTACAGATTTCCTAACGAGTTTCATTGTATGTGCATTCATTAGAGAGAACTCCTTATCGTTAAAATCACATACCAATGGCTGAAAATGTTAAAAGTATGACAAATAGGTTTTTTTTTTTTCCCATAACCAGTTTCAATCTTAATGGCATGAAAGCATACTCTCATTATTGATACAATGTATTGTTATTTCTGTTTAGAAGGATTTTAAATGAGCACCAGCAAGAAGCAAGGAATCGTCCAGATGGATGAAAAGCAATCCGAGAGACCCGCTGAGAGTGTGGTTCCAGTTCAGATAGTGGCGAATCACTTTCTAGGCTCCATAATTTTACCGTCCCATCATGGCTGCAACTAGCTGCATTCAGTGCATATGATTCCTGCGAAACATATGCCCCTGGATGAAATCTAGCGCATCCTGCTTGGCTGGCGTGTCCAACAAATCTTCTTTCACGACTACTTTCTGGTATCGACCAAATGCTACATTCTCCTGACCTAAAAATGAAATCACCTAAAGAATACAATTTTGAAATAATTAAGGAGAAGCCTTTTAGAATTCACATGTCAGCAATATATTCATCTGTTACAATGAATGATGGTAAACATTAAGTACTAATCATTTCAGCTTTTCACTTTTATTCAGCTCTTATTCTCAGTTACAACTTCTACATTTTACCTGTCATTGACTTTAACAATGAGAGTTTAGGAAACGAATGTTTATCACGATAAAATCTAAAACACACCATCCAGAAGTGATTAGATGTTTCGAGTCAGGTGAAAATTCACAGTAGGAAACAGGTCTAACATCTGCCACTTGTGAACCATAAACAGTCAGCGCTGCGACCCACCGATGCATTTCTTGTGCACGCACAGCAGCATCATTTGTCGTACGAGTAGCTTCTTCGTGAGCCTGGAAATCAAAATTAATCATTAATATCAGCAATAATTTCAAACCAATAATAGTGACCTTTAGACAGTATACCTTCCGTAATCTTTCTTGAGCTCTTCTCAAAGAAAAATCAGCAATCGCGACGCGGACATCCCGAAGAGCTACTGGCCCTTTATGATACCATGTAGATGAATCTCGTTGTTGCACGGTTTCTGTTTCTTCAGGACTGTGCAGTATCCTTGTAACTTCTTCTTCAGATAATGTTGATAGCAAAGCCCGCAACCTTTCCTTCCGGTCCAACTTGTCCTCTCCAAAAAGACCTAAAATATTTGGTTCATCATTTGAAATAAGTCATTAAAAAACAGGAAGAACGAGTAACATTTAATAACAAGTGGAGAGATTCAAAACGGACTGACATTTTGACGATTTCTAATATTTAGTTGTTACGTTTTGTACTATCACTATCTCGGTTAATTTACTAATTCTAATTGTTATTCTCTCACCAGTTTTTGGCCACTAAAGTAGTCAAAAAAAAAACCAGCAGGAGTATTTAGTCATAACTGCATAGATAATTTCGTCTTTCCCTAGCCTATATATATGTATATATAAAACCTATGAAGTCGAAATAAACTTACAGATTGGTTCATCAAGTTTTCGCAAAAGAAGTTTAACATGGCCATCATCCGTAGGTAAAGTTAAAGTACGAGCTCTTCGTCGTCTTTCAAATTCTGCCATTACTTCCCTTTCCATGGGATTATCCACCATCTCCAAATCGAACTGATCATCTTTTCTTTCAGCTTCACGTTTCTCAACTTCTGCCTGAAATGCAGTAGCCATTTAAAAACTTGCAACTTTCTTCACAAACACTTTCAAAATAGTAACCCTACAACTTCGCAAACCAATAGTAAATGATAGATAAAAAACTCATTATCATTATATGACTAGCACCCTTATTCGGTTCGAAAAGAACTTTTTTTTAATTGAATTTATCACTCACTGAAAGAATTAGGCATGAAATCTTCCTCAACACAATAAGTTTCTTGCTTTTTCTCATCAGCAATAGTGGTGAAAGGCAAAAAGCATCATGTGTTTAATATTTGTTTCATGAATTGAATTTTTTTTTCAAAAATTCATTTGTTGAACTCTTATAATCCCTATCTTATAATTTACTCCCATAATCTTTTAATTCAATAGCTTACCATCACTATCAATGAAAATAGAAAACTTCCTCCTGGGATAGCACCTGAGAATTCAGTTCTACCAAACAATACAGGATACACCGAATAAAGATATACAAATTACAAATTTTAAAGGCCAAAATAGAACGTAGAGCACTGATTAATCAATGAATCAATTTTATGGTAGGAAGACGATTTCCCAGTTTTTATTAAATACACAACCAGTACCTGCAATTTATGAACAACTTCTTCATTAGCAAGACTGCCGAAGTGCACCTTCTGAATTACTGCTGGAATATTTGATTGCTGCGCCTCGCCCATCCTGTTCAATCTCTCACCTGCAATTACACTGAATAAATTCCATCAATTCAATTGTATTTAAACAAATTTTGAAAAATCTCTCAACATGACGCAACTGTATAATTTTCCGAATCGTGTGTGTTTAAAATTATTTGAAAGATTTAAGAATTCATTTTCAAGTTCTTTATTTTATACAATGAAAAGAAATCGTGATGGAAAACAACTGAAAACAGGTTAATGTCCAATTCCATGCAAAAGTTTCACAACTTGTATATTTCATTTAAAAAAAAAAAAAAAAAAAAAAAAAAAAAAAACAACATTATATATTAACAAAGTGAGACCCTCAGAAAACCTTACATAACAAAGTTAAAAAAAAAATTTTCATTTCAACATCAGGTCTGAATATATTCGTGCTAAAATTTGTTGATTGACGAATGTATCACACGAGATGGATGAAAACTTTAGTCTCTCACTATACAATTTAATCGAATTGTATCTGATATTACTTGAGAGGTCTGAAACTTCATTTTTAAGTCTTTTATTTTATACAATGAAATGAAATTGTGACTCAACAGTTCCAAATAAACGAATCTTTATTGATTGATTAAAGTAATGTGAAATAGTTAAATCTTTGGATGTATATGCTAGACAGAATAACTAATTTAAAATAATAATGACTTCGCTGTTATAAGAGATAAAGTTTCTCTGAAACATTTTGCAACAATGTATATATACTAAGCAAGTAGTTCCTTACTATGTTGAGCATCCCTCAAAATAATAATTACAACTCCAATGATTAGTCTTTCAACTTTCCATAATATTTCTATCTATCACCATCTCATCTTACTAGAATTAAAAACATTTCTTAAATACTCAGTGCTTTAATTAAATAAAAATCAGCAATACAATGTTTGATTTTGAATTTAAAAGTGATCTCTGAATTTAAAACACCTTTTATTTTTACATAATCCACAATTTAAAATTCTACTTGACTGACAAATATTAGCTTTGATAAAGTAAACGACATCACTTTACTTCAGGAAACGGAAAACATAATAATCCCGAAACTTGACAGCCCATCTGAATACCACTCCGACCTTTCCTTCACCGATTTTTCTCTTCTCGGCCTAAACTTCCGCTGTGTATTTCACGGTTCATACAAATCTGTTCTAATTTTACTGTTGCAGTTATGCGTGGCGGTTTGGGGAATTTGATGCATGATCTGTGTGGAGGTGGGCGGTGATCGCTTTTCATCATATCTGTCCTTGTTGTTATCTTATCATAACATTCTCTGATTATGTTATCACTAAATCAGTTATACCCTTGTATGCATTTACATGTCTCTTGTGGTCAGTTAAATCATTGAATGTATAACATCATGTGGTCGTCACTTTTAATCTTTTGTAATTCTCCTATTGGCGTCACTGTGCGTTTTTCACTACATCTCATACTTATCCTTTCCTTTCTTTGTTTTTTTTTTCTTATAATATATGACAAACATCAACTGATTTATCTATTTTAACATGTGTATTGAATATGATTAATCATCATAAAATTGATTATAGCTCATTGGGGTTTATATTTTGATTAGCTAGCAAAAGTTTCTTATGTAAAAAAAATTATCAATGGGATTGTAGATTTTGTGAAATCAAACATTATGAAGGCTCCTGAAGATGTTCCGGTACGACAATTGGTAGCTGACTCCAATGCGTTTATCAAACGAATACCTTTGCATGTAAGTACTGAAATTGACAGTATGCTAGCAATAAACTTTATAGACGAATTCTTTAATTGTCATCAATTTATCGTTTTGCAAGGTTTGAGCTATTTTCTTATCTAGGATTTGGTTGCCATTTCTCATTTTTTACGAAAGAAATTTTAGAATTTGGCTTCGGAGATTTACACGGTGCCGGGAGTGATCAACGAATTAAAGTGCGGAAAAATGCGTCATCTTCTTGATAGTCTTCCGTATAATATTTACATTCAAGAACCTACTACTGAATCTCTCCATATCAGTTGGTTTCATTACGTTGAATCAAACCTTATGTCGATATGGCTTAGTAGTACATCACGCATTTTTCTTTATTTAAGTTTATAATAACTGGTTGTTGTAATATGGCATTCGGTGACTATAATTTTTATAATTTTTATTTGGTGATTCTTCTGAAAAACGTTGGCTATCTGTTCAGACTTCCTCACTTGTGTAGTAGTTTTCTCACCTACAGTTCTGACATACGAATTCTTTGTGTCCTGTAAAATACAAATCATGTATTGAACGATTGTTGAAATCATCGTCAATGTTGAGAACACACAAAACTTTTGCGGTTTTCTGTATTAGTTGATATCTTTTATATGTTTCTCATTTATGATGTTAAGCTTATGCGATGTGGTTGCATTGTTGATTGCAAATTTAATTAATACAACCAAGGCTGGACTTCTGTTTGAATATGTCAAAAGTTATTTTAGTAACTGAATTTGCGAAGAAAACCGGTGATTACCCCTCATTATCAGCGGTAGATTTAAAATTACTTTCATTGGTGCATGACCTTCACTTGAGACAGTATGGAAAAGATGGTTTACGCTATGATCTGGAAATTATTAATAACAAGTCAGTAATTAATTGTCGACAAACAAAAGACACAATAGTAAAACTGGATGATAAAGATGTCCAAATGGATGAAGTAAGTATTACATTATTTAATTGTTTAGAGCAGTGCATGTCATATTACCGATTATTTGGGATATGATTTTTCTTTTCTTGTCTTACTAGATATCTCTCCGTCATCTCTGTAACTTTACTGCCGAAATAAGATAATTAATTTTATACTATTACTACACATTGCAGGATGCTACGGGAACTGAAGGAAAGGCAGTGTCAACAGAAATAGAAGGCATCAATGATGCTATTGATAGTACTAGCATTAGCAGCAACAGCAGTGATGGTGGTACTTGGTTAAAAGAGGATAATGTGGATGAAATATTAGGACATATAGGTGAAATATCAATGCCGGAGAAAGAAATGAAGGTTTCAAACTGTTGCAGTCGAATTGACTTTTCAAGCTTTAATTTTACGTTTATTTAGAAGTGCTTGCAGTTAGCAACACATCTAAAGATTATATTTAGGTGGCTTGTGTTACAACGGATTTTGCTATGCAGAACGTCCTTCTTCGTTTAGGCCTTTATTTATTGTCTATTAACGGTTACAGGATACACCGACTGAATAGTTATATTCTCAGGTAAATTTCCCAGTCAAGATTCGAAGCTTGTGCATTTTAACAAAAAAAAAAAGAAATATTTAACGCACATCCGTTGAAGTCATCAATTTTCACATTTTTTTTTTTTTTTTTTTTTAATATTTTACATTAAGATGTATTTATGCAATCAGTAGGCTTTGAAATGTCATTATTCAATTCTTATGGAAGATTTAAGAATTAGTAATATACAGCTTACTATCAGAGAGAATAGTAATTAGGTTCTAAAAATTAAAAAAAGTTTTAAAGAAAGAAAAAGATTAAAGACTTTAAAAATTAAAGAAAGAAGAGAAAAGGAAATAAACAATAAGGGAAAATTATTACCACGAACAATTTTATGCCCTAGTTAAGACCACATAGTTAGTCTATCTGAGGCTTCCCTAAGTTGTTCCTTTTCTCAGCTGTGAATAGAATATGACTTATAGATCGAATAAGATATTTATCTTTTTAACGAATAATATTAAGCTTTGCTTTTAGAAATAAATAGAAATTCTTTTTTAAAGATGTTGGGCGTGCTTTGCGACAACAAATGTAATGACAAAGCGTTTTTGTCCTCGATGCGGAAATGACTCATTGCATCGAGTTGCTGTTAGTATTGCTGATGATGGAATGATGCAACTTCATATTAATTGGAATCGATTGCAGTCTTCACGTGGACTCAGATATTCCCTTCCAGCTCCGAAGGGTTTGCTTTTAATATTGCAAGCAAATTGTTTGTTTTTTAGAAAAATGGAACCGTTGTCATCTTGATTTCACTTGTGATTTTGCCTGTGACAGGGTAACTCAATTACAGAAATTAGAAACTTATTTGGTAAAATTACAATCATTTAGTTGTGCGTAACTTTAGTAACTTTCACTCATTGTCTTTCAAAATTTTTTTCAAGAAAAATGTATCGTACAAAACAAAAAGACGACCTCTATCTTTTAGGGCTAGGATTGCAAAATTGCGAGGTAGGGAAACATGGTTCAATTCATGGGTTAAACGACATTAGATTAGTTGCATAAGAAATAGAAATTACATTTATTATTTTAATAATATTTAGGTGGAAAGCATCCTGGTGGACCACAGCTTTTTGAAGATCAACCCATGCCACAGAACAGAATGGCTCGCTGTCATCAGGATCCAACGGAACCTGGACCATTCATTATAAAGGATGTGATGAGCAGGTGAATTTTGACTTAGCAAATTTAATAAAAGTATGGGGTTGTAGAAATTTTGACTTAAAAAATTAATAAAAGTAGTTGTAGAAAAAAAAAATCTTTTTGTGAAAACCAAAATTTATTCAATTGTAGTTTACATATGTTAGGGATGCATAAAATTCCTTACATGATTTGAACAAATTATAAATTCTATTCAATAGTTACATCAAATGTAGGTGTGCTTATCAGTGGTCTTCGTTAATAAGTCTGCTTATCAATGGTCTTCGTTAATAAATTACTTTTGATTTTAGGTCAGCAGTACTAGGTATACGGTCGTTGCAAAAAGCTGGGCGGAATCCAAATGTCCGAACACATGGGAAAAAACGAGGAAATAAGCGACGATAGATTTGCTTTGTTGTTATAAAATCTTCATTCGTCTAATATCAATTTCATTGTTTTTTGAGTACGACAGTAGTGAATCTCCAGTAATTTGATTGACTGATAAACTGTAAGAAATAGTTTGATGTGACTACCATGAGTAAAAGATGTTTGACAAAGAAAATATCGGAGTGGTAAGTTATAGAAGCAGACTCTCTGGAATAAAAATTTGTGGTCATTGTTGAGAATGATTAAAATTTATTATGTATTCTGTTGTTGTTGTTATTATTTCATCTACTTCTGTTCACAACAAATAAAATGTTCATAACAATTAGTCAGTTGGACAATGCGGCTATAATCCTATATTTATCTGCTTATTCCGTTGGCTCTTATCAGCTTAAGCAATTTAGTAAATGAAGTTTCAGCAAATTTTTATTTGTGCATCGATCTTTATTCTGATGTGGTGAAGCTAGTTAGAGTTCATACTATGTTTTGCATCACTCCGAAATATAACTTTTCTACAGTGGTCTTGGATTCTGTGCTGTTTGGAATTCAAACATTATTGAAATATTAGAAATTTATGGCCAGGTATCTACTCTGAAATTCTCTGTTAAAAGATCTTATTGGGGATTCCTTATCTGTAAGCTGTAGTTAGCTTCGGTCGCACTGATTCAAAAATATTTGAACTGCTAATTTCAGTTCTAATTTCTTCCAGTTGGCTCAATTATCATTTGGGGAAGAAATGGTATAGTTTGAGATGCTTAAGCCAACTTATTGCATATTTTTGAATGCTATGGTATATACATTCCAAAATACTGGAAGTTTTTTATACCGAATCGGGAAGCCGCCCTCAAGAAGGTGCAGTTTTCTCTTAGCAGCTAATGAAGCATGAGATCTAGATCTAAATGCTGGAATTTGAATTGTTCGTTTTCCTTAGTTACGTGAAATGATTTAAAGCATTTCACGACATGTCTCCATGAACACAATGTTAATAATAAGCCATTTTCTTTTACTTATTTTAATTCTCTTTGATTATCCAATTTTCTTTTATTATCATTGAAGATGCAAATGAAAAATGCTTTCTTAGAAAATCCATCATCAATTTAACGAATATATTTCGGTACAAACTTGTTCATAATGTATAACGATTTCGTCAGTTCATCGTTGATTTATATCATGTCATAATTGACTTTTCCGCTTCAGCTAAGCAAGCTGGTGGATTATCTGCCAATTAAGGCAGCTAATTTTCATTTTGATGTCGATGTCAATGTCGACATATTATTGTCATAACTGTCAACAAGGAGTGACATTAAGGGATGGAGTGAGTTTTCTTTTTTTTTTCTTGGCAGTTTTTATATATAATAAATGGATCCTTAAAATTTGTCGTATTGGTAATATGACCATGATTTAAACTTAACTGTTCATAAAAAATTAGCAGATCAGTTCGTCGAATCATTCTCCATGATCTAACTTCATTGATTTAGCCCCATTTTTACATATTCGTAGATTATTTAAAGTTTAGTTTTGACCGTAGTCTATGTGATTCTTGTCTAGCTTAAAGTGGAAGGTTTCAAGGATTTTGTTTGTGCGAGATGTGGTAGCGAATTCATTGAGGAGCTTTCCACAGACAACAGATCGTACATGCCACCATTTGGGATGGTATGTTCGCTTTATCCTCTTACTATGTGAAAATTTTTTAACTTTTATTTTGGTCACTTTTTTTTTAAAAAAAAATCTTGCTTATTGCCACAGTAAACAAATAAAGTTTAAAAAGCTGATGGAAACACATGAGTTTTTAGTTCCTTGGCCAGATGATCTCAGATGGACAGCATGGAAATGCAGATGTAAGTTCTTCAAGTAACGCTCATCAGCAACAAGATCAATACCAGCAGCCTTCATCAATACGATTTATGCATGGAGCTTCTGTAGGTGGTGGAGATGATGAAAATATTATACTGCTTTTCCTAAATCAATTACTGACGAATTTATCGGCACAAGGAGCTCAGATACAGCTTCAAATTACTCGTGACCCAAATGCTCACGGAAAGTAAGTTGCTGCTTTCAACTGTTATTAAGAATTTGATTTTTCTGTAGCTTCTCTTATTATATTATATTATTGCTTCTTTGCCTGGCTTTGATTTTTGTGTGATACATTGTTGACTAGCATCATCTTTATTCCAGAACAATCAAGATCTCACGTTGACACTCATGTGAATCGTGTTGTGCGTCATTATATTTTTTCGCTTAGTAGTTGCTGATCTTGCTGTAATGAATGTGCTTTATCGGAAAAATTCCAGTGTTCTTCATGGTCCCATAGCAGATTATGCATGGGGAGAAGGTGGCTTAGATCAAATTGTCACACAGCTTCTGAATCAGTTTGAAGGTGGTTCAACACCCGTCGATCCTAAATTGCTTGCTAACTTACCCATGACAGTGGTGGAGCCGAAACATATTGACAGTGGGGCACAGTGTACCACATGTATGGAAACTTTCAAAAAGGTTAGACTTAGTGTTCATTTTATAATTCGAAGATTTCGAGTTTGTCTTAAGCTTTATGACGCTCCGTACATATTAAATTTATTAATTTAATGAGATTAAAAGATCAGTGGTTACTTCATCTGTTAATGCCACAAAATTTGCGACGTTGCTATACCAGCAGTCTTTTCTTTATTTGATGTATGAGAAACTAACACAAAAACTCAACATTTAAGTACGTTTCCCATTGAAGAAATCAAAATTTGTTCATGAGAACATTCAAATGTACGTAAGGCTAGAAAGAGATGGTTTTGTCAGCCAAAAATTCACTGCAGTGCATACAACAGCTGCCAATGACAGCAGATGAGTCGCTTGTTAGCGCTGCTGCGGAACCGGTCGAACACACACCTGATAGCCAGATCAACCGAATTCTAAAACTGTGATCCTTATCTGAAAAGGGCTAGAAATAATATATCAACCCATTGTATATGTTTCAGAGCTCCAAGCTTTTTTATTATATCTGTAGTGATAATGAGAGCTATTGCAAAATATTTATAAATTCAGGATGAATTGGTAGCTATCCTAGAATGTCAGCACATTTTTCATCGAGAGTGCATATTACCTTGGCTTAGGAGGCACAATACTTGTCCAATATGTCGGCAAACAGTTGATGCAACAAAATGGTCTAGCAACAATCCATTAGATGAACTGGATTGATGGGAGTGGAAAAACCATTAATGCAATGTTTATATATTGACATTGAACGGTGTGAAATCATTTGTAGCACCCATTTCTTTGCGATTTTTCACTTTTTGTGTTTGAACGAAATAAAAATAGTTTTTACATCCATTAATGAAATAATACTTCTTTGAAAGAATAGAAGGAAAAACATAACTGGGTTTCATTTTTAATTTTTTTTTTTTTTTTGTTTGATTAGAAGTATAGAGAAATATATGACGATACGAATATGTTGTTTCAAAAGCAAAACTTTAGAGAAGCAAGGTTTGAATGGACAATAGAGCTCATAATCAATGATAATAAATGAAAACTTAACGAATCAGACGGGGCAAATTTAAGGCACAAGAATGATACGAGTATCTAATACATTGTAAGCGCAGTTGTAAAGGTGAAGTGAATTGTGATTAAAAAGTAAGTAAATACATATTGAGTGACTTTATGAATGTGAAATAAGAGACTGTTGCTGAGAGCACTAGAATGTACAAATACTTCAAAGAGCTGAGAAATCTAAGTAAAAGTTCGTTTGAAATATTTCAGCTAAAGTCTTACGTAACCATGCTTTGAAGCATCTAGAACTGCGCTTAATAAGGATTTAGGCTGTAAAAGATCAGAACAGCGTCCATTCACATAATTCAGATAAGCACATAAGGTCATGTTGTTGAGCTATTTTCCCAATCGTTTCCAGGTTGAAGCGAAGTTCGGCAGGTGATATAATGTTTTCCTCAACACCGCAACAATCGCAGAAAAGGGAAAGGTTATGTCTTCGAACCTGAAAATGATTCAGTTATGCGAATAACTTATAAGTCATATGGCGCCATTTTTCTGAAAACATGCTGCACACAATAATGCATGAAAACTTACCGCTCCACAACGTGTACACTTTAAATCTTGTATTGTATAAGCGATCAGAAGCTGATTCACTCGTTCTATTAGAAGTTGTTCAATGGTAAATGAGTCGAAATGTTTCCCACAGCTTGGACAAATCCATGCTTCTGATTGGCATATATCCAAATCATTTGACTGGCAACAAACGGTACAAAATAATTGGGTCAAGGTGCACGAAACGTTCAACGATTGCCATGTACCATCATATGATGCATCATTCACATCCAACATACGTAGAAGTTGATAACGCAACTAAAAATTTTATTATAGACAATCACTTAGGTATAACCTAATAAAATAACTTATATACATGAGATTACAATGCATGTTCTTCCGACATTACTATAATTTGACATGATACTAGAATTAAACCTTCAGTAATGTTAAAAAGTAAGTGAGGTGAAGAAAAAACTACTGAATAACTGGACTCCACATAAACATAAATTTGACATTCCTGTCTATCAAACTTAGCAAGTCTAACCTTTTCCAGAAATTGGATTCAAGTAATTAAAGAACAATCCTGAAATCCTGCCCTTAAAACGAAGTCTACATTCAACAGAACCTTTGAAATCGATTCATAAACAATACAGTCGAGTCCAATGAAATGCGATATTCCTTTCACCATCAAAATAATTGAATCTCGCAAATCAATATTTTCCCGAATATCAGAACTTAATGACAAATTATTAAGGAAATCAAACATTTGTTCTGTAACCTCGTTCCCCACCAGATTTAAGCGATACTGTTGCTGCTCCTCTACGCTGTTCTAAATATGTAACAATTAAGAAGAAAAAAAAAAAAAAAAAACAACATTGAAAAAAAACATTTCAAAACATTGAAAATGAACTAATAAGAACTTCGTTAAACTTAAAAAAATTTGGACAGAAATTGCGCTTTGAATTTCTTTATTCTGAACAAATCCATTGCTTAAAAAATATCAGTTTGCTTTAATGAAAATGAACTTACAGTTGATCTTACATTCCGAGCTACTAAGACAAGATATCCGATTAATGTCTGTTTGAACAAATTTCGATAATTTTCTCCCTCAATAAAATTAGATGTACCAAGTTTCACAGTGACTTCGTTGCCTTCTTCTTCTTCACCCAAAAGAATTCCAATATAATCATTCTGAAAAGATAAAGAAGAAATAAACTTACTGGTAAAAGACAAAAAAAGTTGAAATGAATTGAAGTCACGATTTAAATCAATCGTTTAAAAAACGATATAGAAGACTACCCGAGCGAGAGTACTCATTCTTGAAAAGACTGATGAAAGCAGCAAACCCAAAGATACGTCAATCAAATATAAAAATAGACATTCAGGCAAAGACGCAGAAATTAGAATTTTATTAAGTAAAACACAGAAAATTAGAAGAAATTTACCGTATCAATCCACAATAAAATATCCCAAAATTTAATTGCTTTAACATTCAGTGATGCAAAAATTGAGTGCTCTTCAAGTGATAACAGCAAGCTGTTTACAAATGATTGCGCATGTTCAAGAGACGAGCGTTTCGTGCACATAATAAGTCGTGAATTAGATGCGTAAATAACACGTCCGCCCAAACGATTTAGCTAAATGTAGAAATACTTCCTCGTTATTCACTTTAAATGTGTCTCAGAAAATCTTGTTAAAGAGAGCATATCAGCTTATCTTATGACCAAGTAGAATAAGATATATATAAGTACGCTGAAACTAACAAAAAAAACGCATAATTTTGATTTGTTAACATCACTAAGAAAGTAAATCAATTAAAAATTGAATAAAACGCTTTTATATCTCATTGTTACAGCTTTCAGACATGGGCCATTGAAATAGTGTCATTATTAGTGGAAAATTTTTGCGCAATTTATTAGCAAGTTCAGGTTGCTTCCAGGGTGATTCTAGCTTGAAATATATTCCATCAAGTTGACTGAAGATACTGAGTTAAGAAGATTGAAGTCCAACTTGTTTAAAAAAAAAAAGAGCCCGTTTTGGTAAACAAAAAGCCCTATTAAAAGTTATCAATCATTGTTCCCAATGAGAAGTATTTAACGTACTTCAGCAACTAGCAAAAGGATTAGCTTGGTGATTAGTATATCAACTACGCGAACAATTGCAGGATCATACATTAATGCATGTTGTGTGCGTAACCAGCTATAAAGAAAAAAAAAGTAGTTTTATTCAGAATTTTCCTTGGAAAATTTTGAGGAATGAGGATGCATTTGCAAGACACACAGAAATGATCCCAGAAAAAAATTAGTGCGTAACTTCATTTTCTATAACATTTGGCAGTTCTATGGATAAAAAATTCACCAACCGATCAAGGCTAATGATTACTTGATCAGCAATTTTATTACCATATAGATGAATATCTTTGATGCAGTCATGCAACAATAGTCGAAGGACCTAAATATTAATATAATTTAAATTATCGAACTAAAAAATAATTAAACAAAGCTAAATGACTAATACCGTACTACAGCCTTAAACCAAGATTAATAGTAGTTAGAGTAATGAACTAATCTCTGTTTTGTTTTTTTCATGTCATATCAAAAATAACACACTTTTAATGGACCTGCCACCGCGGCGCCTTCATCATACTGTGCAATACTTCGGACATATCCAAGAAGCGCATCTGCTGACAAAACAGTTCCAGTCAAAAATCCGACCGAATCCACACCACCTTCTGCATCAGCGATACTTGCTGACTGCACAATTGCTGTGACATCAACTGCGCCCAATTCCAGCTCAACACATATATCAGTTTCCAAGCTTTAAAAATAAAATGTAAAGCTTGGAAAAAAACTTAAGCATTCATGAAATAATAGAATTAGAAATTAAGACGCTATGTACACCAAGATTATCATCCCTCTCACCTTAATGTTCCTGACATAATTATTTATTTAACATCAACATTAAAAAGACCTAAGCATTTTCCCATTTGTTTAGAATTACTAGTGCAATTATGGCAACAAGCATTCATTATAAACCAATCGCTCCAGAAATATCAAAAAATATCACATTACACATACCAGGACTCATTAACCACACAAATTGATTGCTTATTGACGGAAAGTGATGACCAAACAGCGTTTAGACGGGCATCATCCAGTTCCTTACCACCAAGATCCGGTCGGCTAAGCGGTGATGCCCATAGAACATATCCCTGATTGATCAAACTTCGTGCAAATAGTACATCTGGACCAAATGTAGAAAAATCTTCTGGTATATTACCAATCGGAACATGCAAATAACGGCTCACTTCTACATATTGCTGAAACAGTTCATGTGCATAAAATTTAAAGCTATTATAATAATTCAATGTATAACTAAAGAAAACATCTAGAACGTGGAGATTTTAGGAGATAATATCATTCCTTTTGTTTTTGAAAATAAACTATTGTAACCACATAAAAAAGCATTGTTATATTGAACTTCTGTCCCGATATAATATCCGAACTGAATTTAATGGATTCCAGCAGAAGATTCTGAATTAAAATTAAGCTACTAGTTTTAATAAACGTCGTGCTAGCAATATTTTCCAAATTGAATGTTAGCTCTTACATGCAAATATAGAAACATATTGAAGTAATGTTTGATAATTCTTCTCAGGACAATACGTTGCCAATCCAGAACATTAAAAAGACCAGATGGTTCACAAGCATGAATTCGCACAAGAGGATAGTTATCAAGAGATGGCAATCGCTTAACCAATGCAGATAATTGTTGTCTCGATTGCACAGCAATCATTACTGGGTAACTGTCAACATGATGCAAATTTCGAATATACTGTAATACATTTATTCTCGTTGCACAAAAATTTTTATAGTCGCAATCAATAACTTACAAAATCTCATTGTTCACTGAATGCTGCAAGCCATGATTTCGCATTTCACCGCTTAAATTTCTCTGGTGAACATAAGAGTCTAACGGTTTTTGAAGTATTTTCCTATTCAACTAGGACAACGGGAGAAAAAATCTCTTCATTTTTTCATTATTTTAAAAACATATTATTATTCATGAATAATAGCAGACCGAAAAAAATCCTACATTTTACAATTTTGATGTACGTTGCTACAAAAAGCAATTGCATTTCTTCTTAGAATGTAGCAATTTACAATAGTCAAATCCCATTTTAACAAACATTAAGGAAAAAGAAAGGTATAATAGGAGTAGAACACATACTCTATGCTAATAAGTCATATGGAATAATGTTTCATACATAAGTCTTAACAAAGAAATCACAGAAACATCTATTTCTCTTTTTTGCATTTCTAAACATGGGTTTGTTAAATATACGAGTAAAGAAAAACTTACTCTCTGAATTATTCGATCAGCCCTTTCGACCGTAACGCACTGACTTACAATGAAATTCATATCATTCTTGCGGTTCAAAAAGGAAACACCAACATCAGAAGATCTAAAATGCGATATTTCTAAAAGTTTTTCACAAAAAACAAGCTCTACACTCCAAATCCTAATGAATGAATTATTAAATAGCAGAAAATAAAGATAAGCAATAGTTTTACTTTTGTTACTAATACAAATTTCATTATTTCCGTAATGTTTCCAGTTTACTTCTAAAATATAATAATGTGAAGTGAGCATTCTAGTATTTTAAAACATCATTAAGTCATACAACAATTAAAGCCAATTGTACATTTACAAACAATCCTGCATTTGAAATAAAAAATACCAATGTACAGTACACCAAAATACTTACAAATTTGTTTTCTCGCTGGCATACATATTTGATAAATTCGGCAAATTTAATTCAGTTTTGTTCACTACAACAATGTGCGCTTCGCTTGATGCTGTATTGAATACCGCTATAACACATCGACTGTCCTGCTGGTGCTCATAAAAGAACAAGGTGCGAATACTATTTTCCGGGAGATATTGCACCGAGAAATCCTAATGTACATTAAAAAAAATATAGTGATGTACATTTTGGATACAGAAAAACGTTGTTAAGGATGCGAACAGATTAATTTTGCGATCCTTTTAAATGATGGTTGAAGCTGAATTTCTTTGTTTTCGGAATTAAAAAAAGTTTAATCATCAGCACCAACCGGTTCAAGTTGTTCGGAATCATATGTGGAGGCTGAATTTGTTTTAAAATTCGGTTTTAATCGACAGCTACAGCCTAAGGTAAGTACAGCTCGGAAGAGTATCGGCATCTGTGACTCATAAACACCTTCAATTCTCATCGCACATAGCTCTTTGTTCAACTGACTGCAATCATTGTTACTGTTACTTTCGACACTTTCCGCATTAATTACAAAATGGTAAAGGAAAAAGCAGTTAAAGAAACCAATTAACTTTATTCAACTTCTTCAATCAAGTTCATTTAAATTTAATTCCTCATCGAATTTCTTAAAACTGAAAGCGCTATTTCGAAAAATGAAAATAATATGCAATACTTTAAACTTGATTCAAATATCCTTTCATCGATAACATATCGTCGTAAATTAAAAACTGGCTTCAAACGTGGGAGAATGCGCTTAACTAGAATACCAGAATTACCATTTTCTTCACGATTATTTACATAAATAATCCGTGGCATTCGCACATTGAGTTTCACCATTTTATCAAGAATTATACACCACAATACCATCAGACCTTTGCTTGGAGTTTCTGATATCTGCAACTATTTCATCAGTTTTACTAACGGATGTTTTATTAACAATGACACTAAGTAATGTTAAATGTTATTTTTACGGTTTATGATATATATTTATATGAAGCGGGAAATTTCCTCCTTTGTTCCCACACTTTTTCTCTTGTACAACAATGAAGATTCCTTAAAAACCGCACAATTATTTGAATATACGCTACTTCACATATAAGTAAATCTACCTTTACAACTTGCTGTAAAACATTTATAATATTTAACCTTAATAATTTGCCACACTGTATCTTGCATCATCTGTTTACCACGTTCAAGCACTGAAATAATTGGTGTAATACCTTTAGATAAAGCATTTTGCCTTTTACGCTTCTTCTCTTCTCTTTCTTTCTTCCATTTCGCCTTCAAATATCTACAAATTTTTAAATTTCTGATGACAGCTATGAAAATAAATTTGGATTTTTGTTCTCTCAGTTATAGCGAAAAGTTTGACTACAACAACCCATCTATCTCGTTCCAACAAGTTCATTGATACCATTATAAAAAAAAAAATGGAGAAATTGCTACTTTTACCAATTTTACCATACGTCGGGGAAAAAAAGTGATCAAGTTATATAAGTCACATACAAGAACAACAAAAACAATACCGTAACCATTCTTCAACTCCATGTTCAACAATTGTTTTTTTTTGTATCACCATCCACCGGTCAGTCTTTTGAATAGATATTGAACCCTATAATTGCTTAATAAAGGTTGCATATGGTTGCTTCCATGCGGAAGACTCCTGGAACTAATTAATATAGTAAAATAATTAATAAACTCTGTTTAATATGAAGATTAAATCATTTCACCTTCTCTAAGTTTTGTGAATCGTTGAAGAAAGTAACATTATCCAATGAACTGTAATTCGTAGCTCTTGAAATGCTAATACTTTCAATATCAGGTGTAAAAGCCGGTGCAGCGGTTTTTTTGAAGATTTCATTGATTTTAGGTTGTTTGTGATCATTTTTTCGTTGTTGCCGCTTGTTCTCCAACCAGTCTGGAAATGGAACGCGTGGAACTGGATTCGGAACATTCTGCAGAGCAGCTGGAATTGAGATAATTTTCTGAATGGTAGCTCCAAAACGTTCAATATAATATTCCCAGTCGATAATCTGCAAGTTATGAAATTATTCATCAGTATTCTAAATACTTTTAAATCTGCCAACAACTCTAAGATTCAGTCGTCTTGCTTGAAACAGCTATTTCGGATCAGTATCAGAAAAACACAAAACATCATTCTAAAAAATTACAAATTTCTCGAAATAATTCTAACTTAAACTTTAAGAACCAGGATGATGAATAAGCCTAATTCTGACTCTTAGAGTGTAAATCAACACCAACATTTCGGATATCGATATTATCTTTGGTAATTTTTGTATCTTTGGTCCATTTTCGAAGATAATGAGCACAGACGTTTGGTGTTGCTTGGAATATAGCCAAAGGGATAGCTCTTTGTGCGACAGGTGCATCAAGTGGCATCTTTGAAATAATAAAACGGCAAGCAAGCCCAACATCTTTAACCATATCATCACCAAGAAACTGAAAACTTTTTGATAGCTTAATTCAATTTCTTTTCTGAAGTAACGTGGGCAAAGTTTCGCAGGAATAAAAAAAGAATACGATATAAATTGACAACTCGGACCTAAGTTTTCGTCTTTATTTTTATTAATGAAAATTGCAAGTTTCTTAAAATAGCTCACCTCTGCAAGACGCTTCGCAGTTGAAATAGATGTTGATTTTTGTTCACCGTAATCATCAAGTTTTTTTGACATGCTCCGATTTTCCGCAATTAGATCAAACAATTCGTAATCTGGCAGACTAGCGCCCTGGAAACTTTGACAAAACTCAAACGTGAGAGGTGAGACTCAAAAAACTGAAGCAGTAAAACCAGTTTTGACCATAAATTATTCTAGATTAACTTGTTGCAGACAACATGATAGTATTACATTAAAAAAAGTGCAAAGTTATTAATCAGTATGATATTTTTATTGCTTATACAAAGCAATAAAAACAAATAATGAATTATGATTTGAAAAAGATGAATTATGATTTCAAGGAGGGTCAAATAGATCAATTCATGAAAATCAACTATTTCCATCATAAATTAGGGTGACGAATTCTTTATTATACAAAAACTAAATTACTTACTTTCGAAAATAATACATCCAGCCAATAGTTGGCTTCTTTTGCAGCATGCTCATATGCTTCTGCACGACTTTCGCCTTTAAGAAATGCTTTAAAAACTGAACTCTGGAAATACTTAATCAGTGCTAATTCGCCACGCCGTTTCACTTCAAATCCTTTTAGCTCAGCAAGTGAACCATCAAAATTGAAAACTGCATATCTGGAAATTCAAAAAACATTCAATTTGACTCAGCCAACAGAGAGAAGAGAGAACTTTAAAATTCAACGCACCTTTTTTTCAGTTTTTTGCCTTCTTCTCTAGAAGCTGGAAGAATCATCGCCAAGTATGGCCCATCTACTTCGAAAAATATGGAATTTTCGGAAGTTACAGAATATGTTCCATCCGGTTCAAGTTGATGAAATTGATTGTTTGTAAATTTGTCATGAATAAGCGCATTGAGAATTGCACCCGGATATGAAACAGTTACCTATAATTAGTCCATATTTAAACTAAAGGAAGGAAAAAAAATTTAGAAATGCAAAAAATCTTGCGGACCCTTAAGAAATCTACCATGTTGCAGTAACAGTACCGTTTTACGCTTAGAACTGTTCAAAGTGAAAGTAATATTCTCCGGAAAAGTCCCCGGAATTAAGCACCATATTCCATCTGTATCAAGTTCCAGAGGTTTACCAATACGTTCTACAAGCTTCCGCGCTTCGGTGATAATATTTGCACCAGTATGGCAAACTATACCAGCCATTTCCATTGAAAACCATCTTGCTCCTAAGAATGATATATTGATTTCTTGGGGTGATGGAGAGTTTTCTAATTTTCTTCATAAACTTTTAACTAAAACCTTTCCGCATGACATATCCATAAAATGAGTTTAAGATGCATTTATGTGCAAGCTGCAAACTTTCGTAGAGAACAATGCGTCCCTGGGCTGTTTTTAAAGCATGAATATCATCCTCCGATACTTCGTCTAGAACAGCTTTAGCTTTCTGAAATATGTATTTTTAAAAAAAAGAAAAAATACAAATGAAATATAAACTTCGTTCTTCAGTAAAATCGGAGAATAGGAAATGATAATCAGCTAAATACGGAAAAATATTAAAAAAGAATAAAATAATATTAAAAAGTTTTATCAGAACAAGCAATGATTTGAAGCAAAAGAAATGAATAAAAGCCAAATTTACACTTGCTTTAAGCATTGCTTTGTACTCATATCGTCTGTCTCGGAAAGATTTTACGGTATCCACATAAAATGCATTTTCCCGTTCACAAATCGTCGTATAACGATACTCATTCCTCGTTATGTGAGTTTTACCGTAAGCACGTTTACAAAAATCTAAATGGAATAATCTGAACAAATGTGTAAAAAATATGACTTGGAAATATAAAATATTTTACACTTTATTATTGTAATAGTATATCCGACAATTCAAAAAATAATTTGGGAGGCTTTAATTATGCTAACGGGTATTGAAGAATTTAACCACAATTCTCTAAAAAAAACGAACAAGATTTCTACTTCTAATTTATCAAAAAAAGTTTCTACTTAAAGAAACTAAAACTTACCTTTTACCCGTTTTGCTTCAATTTGAACTCTTTGCTCATAATCTAAGCTATGAAATGCTCTTGGTGGTTTACCAAATGTTTCATTTTCTAGTTGTTGCAAAATGCGTTCATATTCGCCTCTTGAGGCAGGCACTATAAAATGATTACACTATAAAATGAATTGTTTTCGAAAAAATAATGAAATAAATTTGTAATACAACTACCACTATGAACACTATATTATTATGATACCCATAATTATAGCTATACTATAATAAACTTACTGATTTCACCACGCCATTCCCATCGCATCGTTCTCTGACATTTTGCTTCTGGTGAATTATACACACAAGCAATACAGTCTTCATTTGTAACAACTGCTGATGGCTAAAAAATTGCGAAAATCTGGAATTAAAAATCTGGACTTCAATAAGTTTCAATTGCCTAGTAATTAAGATAATTAACAAGGAACACAATTAAGATTGTGTTGAAACTTCCACTGAATGTAGCATTTATTGAATTAAAGCATGAATTTAAAGAAGAGATAGTGAATAGGTGATCTCAAAAACACTTTATCTGAACATCAAGAATACTAGCAAGAATGGGGCATAATTTGATGTTGAAGTGAAAAAATAGAAACTAAAATCAATTATGAGAGAAACATGGAATAGGAAAAAAAGATAGAAAAACAACCTGAAGACGATTGGTAAGTATAATATTGGGATACATTGCACCCACATCCAAATGATAGATTTTAGGAGTTTCAAGGCGTAAAGGTCTCTTAATAAAGTCATCAAGTTGTGTTTCAACCTGAAATTTATCACATAAGATCCAAAGAAAATGTAATCGTTTCCAGTTCAAACATTTATCTATAATACGCTTTAAATAAAGTATGAAAAACAATATTTATTGACAAAGTAGTACAAAACACGATGGTTATATTTATATGGAAATACTGTTGTGAAGTTTTTGAGTGTCAGATCCAAATTATTCAATGCAATTCTGTGATCGAAAAAATCATGCTGAATGTAACACAATTCGAAATGTTCAATAAATGTTGAAACAATTAATTTATATACCTTACTTACAACTTTGTCAAAATCAATGACTTCATCCATGGTAACACCGAATTCACGAATCAATGAATCACTTAATGTTTTTCTAACATCTCGTTTTAAATCTAGAATTGCGGCCGGGATGATTCGAAATCTGCAAAACATTTATGCCTAACAATTTCAAAATCTACGTGTCTTGAAAAAAAAAAAAAAAAAAAGGTAATTCGAACTTTTCCGGAATATCGGCGCGGAAAACACCAGATTCCAAAGCTTCAACATGGCCTCCAACATATGTTTCACTTTCAATTACATGTCCATCAGTGGTATATTTTGTTCCATAATGTAAGGATTTATTCGGGAAAATGATATTATTCTGGAAAGCTTTAACCATCAAAAGTGCTTCACATAGTGTACCGGAACCTTTGCGAAGTACCTGAAACAAAATTGTGGAAAAAGGATTTTAATTTCACGTTAAATAAGTTCTTCGGACTTTTATGTCTCCAAACAAGTTAAAGTTTAAGAAAAAAACTTAATGAAACTACCAGTGAAAGAGACTATTAGTGTTTTTTGAACTTTCAGCAAAAAATAAAACTAAGGACAAATATAAATGTCGAAGTAAAAAAGATATTCATACAAAGAGAAAAAGACATACATCATCGGGACCCAGAGGTATGATTGTACACAACGCAAAAATGAATGGATGAACATATTTAATGTATAAATAATAGGTTGCAACAGCATCAGACACTGAATAGTTTGCCAACATCTAAAATTTCCAAAAATCTAATAGACGCAAATAAACAGACATTAAACTCTAAACTCGAAATGTTTGATTCCCTCTCATTTCTTCCTTCGATTGAAGTAAACGAAGCTGAACCTGAACTATCAAACTAAACTATACTTGAGGTTCGTCTTTTGCCATTGCACACATTTGTTCAGGATCAAGCTCAACTGGATCATACCGAAGTTTAGCTTTAGTACAGGCTTTTAGATTCTGACTTCCCACCGGTAGATAACTATCACGTTTCACCCACCTGAACATGATAAAAATGTAATAATTTAACCGTTTGTATTCAATTTTAATACATAGTTTCAATTGTATAATTCTCGCACTCTATTTGATCTCATTCCAAAATAATATCATACAAATTAATTCATTTAAATATAAGGGAATCCTTTTAATACTCAAAATAAAGTCAGTATAGAAAAAGACTAAAAAATTAGTTTTGAAACTACATTCTGTAATAAATGCACATATTATTCCACAAATCAAAGAAGAGATTGTGCTTACTTGAACGCATCAAGATGGACTGCATTTGTAGCTCTGTATTCTCCGGAAGAATTTCTCGAAACACCAATTTCCGTCTGCATATTCAAATTATGCACTGCAGCACGAGCTTCTACGAAAGGCCTGCAATTTGATTCTTGACGGATTATGGATACAAACTGGGAATACCTAATTAGTGGGACACACTAACCAATCAAATGAATCGCCATTGTAAGTGACGAATACAGTTGGACGCAGCCGAATGATATGGTCAAAAAAATATTTGATAACGGTTTTTTCATCAGGCAAATTGATAACCCGGAATATTCCCTTAAAGATTTTTAAAAATTAAAACATATCAAAAAGAAAGCATAAAGGGAATTCTGAGATAGTAATCCAAACAATTTTTTTACAAATTATTCGAATTATTTGAACAAATAAGTCCAAATAAAACATAAAATTATATACGATCAATTTCAACAAATTACCTTATATTCTGGTCTTGGAGTATACTCAAAATCATCCACATCTGAGGAAATAATTTGCCTATTAATAATTAAGAAACCGTTTCCATTAACCATATAAGAAATCATCATGATTTCATCAAAACTGCTGTCCGGAAATTTCAAAGGAAGCTTCGTAACTTCAATATCATAAGCTAAAACAACTGGTTCCGGTGGATCAATCAACGTTGGATGACGAGTTATTTTTGGCTTTCGATCGAGATCTCTTCCTGTTACCCGATACCACAGACCTACGAATACTTCCAGATCAATGCACACCCTCATTTGGTAGGGTAAATCATGTTCCCTGCAATTGTAAGCTTCTTAGTGGTGGAAAATTGGTAACGCCTTATTCATCAAAAATAAATTGATAAATTTCATAAGTCACACATCGTTTGAATCTTTACATAACAAAAACCATAAAAGTAGACTTAAAGTTGAGAGCTGCATCAATCTTATCTTTAAGAACGACCCAGTTGAGTAATCAAATACTAACTGATTTGTGCAGTAATATATATATATATATATATATATATATATATATATATATATATATATATATATAGTCGTCCTTGTTTCAAATTCTGTAGCATCTCACCAAAGCGGGCTGACCTCACGCTTCAATTTCTCTAAGACGTGTATGTCTTAAGCAATAATATCAAATACATTAGTTGCTAACTATTAGTGGACCAAAAACAGAAATGGCACTCTATTTCCTATTGCAGAGATGACAGCTGACCTTTTGAAATGAGATAAATTTCGAAAAGAAAAACCTCAAATCAATAATTTTTTCTAAAACACCGCCTTCATCGGACAGCACTTCCTGCAGACCAAAATGTCTGAAAATTATTGAAATTCGTATTATGTCGAAACAAACTATAAAATATTTTTGTAAACCCAATTAATAAAAATTTTTTTTTGCTAAAATGGAACAAATGAACCTGGTAAGAAGATTAGTATATGAAGTTGTTTGCTTTTCTCTTTCCTGATTTCTCTTGAGTATTGGTGTGATATCTTTTTTGAACTTTAGAAGTTCACTTAAACTTGGGAATGAAATCTTCAAATATGTCCGTTTTAATCCTGATAGATGATTTTTCTGCAAGAAAAATAAATTTTCAAGAAATTCGTCCATTCTTTCTTAAAGCTTTCTTCGATTCAATAAATGAACTTACTAAATCAAGGTCTTCTTTTTCCACGATATTGGTTGTAATTATACTTGCATATTTCTTGGATAAATATGATAGGACCTGATGTTCAAATGAAGGAAGCGTTGCAATATATAGATATGGACGAAATGGATAGGATATCTAAATGAGAAATAGTTATAATATGAAACTATCTAAATAATTATTGTGTGAAATTATTTCCTCAATTCCAATAAAAATTTCAAGTAAAGGTAAATTGCCCTATTACCAACATCAAAGTTTTTAGATTTGTAACCTTAAAACGTCCTCCATCTTCTTGAATGAAATAAAAGTCGCACACTGCAATGATATTTTTCGTCTGTTCATCTATCATTTCCGCCTGCAACATTAAAGACCAATCCCAATCTACGTAATTTGAATTTTTTAGTTTATTTATGATTAGGATTTCATGGAAATATTTTAAAAACGACATATTTTCAGGCAAAGAAATTTAGACTATCTTTAACACCCAATGTGACACAGTATATATTTTTTTATCGAAAGTTTATCAAATATATGTTATAATCCATGAATGATATTTTGCATTCGCCGCTCTTCGAATTCAATGATAATTTATGATCGGTAATGTTTTGAGTAAAACCCACCGACTGAACATTCAACAACCAGGCATCCTTCCATTCTATATCAGTGTAACGTTGGAAACCAAATTTTTGATCCAAAAATTCTGCTGAGTGAATTTTTTGCAAACGAGAACCATAGCTGGAGTCAAATTTTAAAAATCACTTTGTTATCAAATTCTCGCTAAGTGAAGGATTGAATTGATAGTCAGAAATATATAAGCAGAAATAAATAATCTGAACTGAAATCTTGTTTTATCCGCCAAAGAAGTTTTAAGCAAACCGATGGGCGAAGATGGCGTGAAATGAGCTCCAATTACTCTGTTTTTATAAAAAATTGAAGAGTGAAAAACAGTGCATTGACAAGAAAATATTCGTTTAGGTTTGCTTAAGTGAGGACTATCTCGAGATTAGGATTTATATTAATGAAATCTCAAACAGTTCTCACTTTTCTTGAATGTTGTTCGTCTGCTGATCCATTCGTAAATACCAATCAGCTTAATGCGTTTCTATCATTTCAGTTTTTCCAATCTAAAATAAAATAACTCATTTTCTCCATTTGCTTCTGCTATTTCTCTTTAACAATCCATTATTACATTTGACATAAACATGAAACAAACGAACTGATGACGGCATCCAAAAACCTTCAACTTTTTATTATCTACATTTCAAACTGTAATTGCCTCATTTTTTTATGTGAAATGTTCTAATGATCTATAATGTTCTTAGAACTATCTTCTAAGGTTTTCTTTACAAATATTATTTTTTTCCGTGGTATCATGATACGGTCTATTTGCAGTGAGTTCAATAATGCAGTGTTAAATTACTTTGTCAAAAATTTACTAAATTACCAAAGACAAGTTTCAAAACTTAAAACATAGTGTCCTTTTTGAAACCTGTGAATTCGGAATAGATATATTATTTGTCACTGCCACTTTGATACCAACAGGAAAATTACCAAAGATCGTAATTCAAAGAGCACTGGAATAGAAATTTAAATACCTCAGAGTAGTTTACTGAAATAGAACAATTAGTACGTAAATGACAGTTGTTATCGTTTACCAGTACATAATAGGTAAAAATAAATGAGAAGGTAATTAGTTCAATTAGTCATTAAATTAATTTGGTAATGCACATAGATTTATGATATTTATTTAACAAACGACAACGATAATACACTGTGAGGGAAACTGTGCAACAAAGAATCTTGAAAAATTAAATTTAAAAATTTTGGCGCGTTTTTACGGTATTTTGGTAAGGTAACGTTGATATTGATAAGAATTACAGGAAGATGTTTGATAAAGAATAGCGATAAGAAGTTGAAGTGAATTAAACTAATGAAATTAGTCAATTATAATTAGTGGTTTTATATGAATTTTAAATATTTTGATGGGATGAACAGTTGTCATAATACACCCAACAAAAAAGTATTTGCATACCGAATCGATTTTCTTATTCACATTCACCTGTTAATTGTCCCGACTCGCATAGTTCACGTACGTCATTTCATTTATGTGTTATATTTATCATCCGAGTAAAAAAAATGTTACGGAATGTTTTGTTTTGTTGCCTTTTTTTCTGACAAATTTATAATTGTGCTGTTAACATTTCATTTGTTGTTGTATGCAGCCATTACTATTTAAATTTACTTGAATTGTGATTGAAGCTTTCCTCCGTACTGTTCTTAGTTTAAAAATCACAGTTAATAACCGATCCCGCTGTCATCGTTTATTCTTCTTCATCTTCACTTTCATACATTGAAATCGAAGATTTTTAATGGAATGTGTGATGGCTTTTTTTGTACTGCAGGAGGGATGGTAGATTTTTTGCAGAATGGACTAATTAATAAATTTGAATTTTCCTTGAGATGGCGTATGTGTGTTTTATATATATCCACAAACTCACATTTCTGGCGTATCCGCTTGCACAGAAAAAATCTTGAAATATTTATAGATGGCGTAATTCTCGGTATGAGGAATAGATCAGGAAATGAAGGCAAAGAAGGGGAAATACCGGACAGCGCTAATATGTGGAATATATTGGCAGGCGTGTGCATATATTATCCACTCTCAATTGGACTTACTTTCTTTCAGAAGTGGTTCATTAAGGTTGCAGCATATAAATTGTTTTTTCTCAGATATTTGCATGAGTAATCCCTAGAAACTGAGCTAGACTTTAAATAACACTAAGTTTTGTTAAGTTAAATGAATTTGAAAATCTGTTTTGCAGAGTTACGAATTTCCACTACTTGTCGTTACTTGCCACTATGCCATCAAATACTTCTTTGCAATGATTATTCGATTTGTCATGGAATATCGAGCAGATAAACGCACTCGGATTTCATTCAAAGATCAGCTCCAATGGTTGGTACCAATTGGCATATGTGCCTCGCTGGATATTGGTGCGTTTTAGTTGCCGTGTTCTGAAATGATCGACATAAGCTGAACATGTTTAATAGTTCATTTCCATCTGAGTTCCTATTTTGTTGCCAGAAAAATATTAAGGAACATATTTCAACTTATTGGAATGTAAAGTGAAATTTATATTATTTGTTGCATCTAACAGTTAAAAGCAGTTAAAATACAAATGTTTCACGAATTTATAAAAGCTTCTAATGACAGCAGCATTACTAGGTTTGAATTAATTTTTTTCAGGTCTATCAAATTGGGGTCTTAAATATGTAACAGTAAGCTTTTTTACAATGGCAAAATCAAGCAGTATTTTGTTTATGGTTACATTTGCCTTACTGTTACATTTGGAACGATGGCGACCTGTTCTTATCATATCTGCTGGACTTATTACATTTGGCTTATTTCTGTTCACATGGAGGTTCACTTGCTTCTAGAATTATTTTGAAGGGGAAACACAAGATCTAAATTTAATTATTTTTGTTGATTGACTTCTGTAACGGTCATTCTTTCAGATCTTTATAGAAATTATGGAACAAAATGTTACGAAATGTAGTATCCTATAATCGTTTATTTTTATTCTGGGAATAAATTATTGCAGGAACCGATCAGTATTAAATTGATTGCAGTGAAAGTGGTCTATTTCTTGCATGCAGAAGGAAGAAAGACAGCTTAAGCATTTCATCCTAAAAAGTTATAATACTTGTTAACATAATAATAACTTGTCTTTTCAGATCGGCTCAGTTCGAACTTCGTGGTTTATTGCTGATTGAATTGGCAGCAGCATGTACAGGGTTGAGATGGACAGTTTCACAAATCATTATGCAAGGAGAGGAAAAATTGCTGAAACATCCACTGGATATGGTTGCGTACGTACAACCGTGGATGTTTCTTGCTATTCTTCCTCTTTTTTTTATGTATGAAGGTAATAGATAAACAGAATCTTCAGTTAACTTCAAGACTATCTAACAACAAAAATTTTGGATTTCTCCAGAAAGTCACAATTTTTCTTAGCTTAGTCGCTCGATTTTTTAAAAAAAGACTGAGATTTTCAATCAACTGAACGTATTGCAATATCTTCATTTCTTAGTTATCAGAGATCGATTGATTGCATGATTTTCTTCGGTGTGATTTCTGATGTAGGCAGAACATACTTCAACTGAGTGACATGTTTTATCCATTGCGGCACATTATTTCCTTGTTATTTGGGAATTTGGGATTTTTTTTCCAATTCTACATTTTTTATAAAAATATAAAATTTTTCATTGACATCTTATATTAATCGCCGAATTTTGTGAAGCACTAGTATCTGCTATATTATATGTAAAATTTTTAAACTACAATCGAGCTGAATTAGGTTTATAGCGTACATTATTACCAAGTGGAAAGTAATTTGAGATTGACAATTTCAGGCTCACAGCTCTCGTTTGATAAAGTGACATATTACCGTAATGAACATGCACCTTTCTATGTTTTATTTTTTATTTCATTTGGGGGTCTATTGGCTTTTGCAATGGAAATGGCAGGTAACATTTGCTATCATATACTCTTCAAATAGTCATTTGATTGAAAAACTAATCAGTATGTACACTGAATGATTTTTAAATCATTCGCTATACCATTTCCAACCTGGCCCGGGAAAGAAATCGATCGGGTTATCTATCGACAAACATATAGTATGGTATTGAATGATGCTTTCTTAGTAATTGCTTTCGTAAAGTGTCTTACTACTTGAAACGTTTTAGAATATCTTCTTCTCGTATATACATCGGGCATCACATTAAACATATTCGGGATAATCAAGGTAAGTCTTTGTTAAAACACTATTTCCAAATGTTCATTTAATTTTATGAAACCTTGTTTAAAAACAATTAAAAAACCACTCCTTACCTTACTAAATATGTTTCAGGAAGTAGTAACATTATCGTTGGCGCATTTTGTTAATGGGGATTATTTTTCCTTGGTAAGTGAACTTGCTCAAGCTAGTCCGCACTCCCTCACTTCATTAGCCAAATGCATTATGCGTAACCAGAAAACCTCAAAACAGTTAACAGCTACAGTACACGGTGTAGACTGTAATAAAGTATAAGCTGCGATTCTTTATTCACATTGCAGGTTAACACAATCGGTTTACTGCTGTGTTTCTCTGGTATGCTTTTGCACGCTTTTTCAAAAAGAACATTACTAAAGGCCCGCACAAAACCACGAATGCCGGACAGGAGAAGACTGTTGACGGATGTTGATGCATAATATCATGTTATTTAATCCTTTCCTGTTCAGTCTCTGAAGAGACTGAAAGCTGGACCAGATTCTAATAAATAGGAGATTTAAGTTGTTTGATATCGAGTGCTACCTCCATTTTTTTTGTTGTAGTTTCTCTGTGCTCCTTATTCTTGTTATCGTTTCGAGCACAGAAAAGAACAATGAAGTGTGCTGAAAGATGAAATGAGGTCTAGCATTGCAAATTTTATTATATCGTGTTAAATGGGACATATACTTTAATTCAACCTTTTATTTGACATCATTCCATGTAGGTCTACATTAAACTTGCTATGCGTGTATATATATATATATGGTGGCTAGACTGTCAATTGTACTGCCATTAACTGAATGATGGTGCTTTTAGAAATTGTTTGAAAATTTGAAGTGTTTAGCCGTTAATGTATATGAGGTGATTAATCTAGATACCACACATAGCAACTACTCAGCTGCAATTTTTTGTTTGTCTTATTTGGTCCTGTTTTTCCAATTGCATATTGTACATCATTCCGGTTTTACCATTTGTCTATTTATAAACTATTTTGTAATCGGTTGTAACCATTGCTTTACTAGTCACTACCATAACTGTTAGCTAGCAGTCGTTACTTTCACTTACATAATATAAGCGTGTCGCAAAAGTTAAATTGAACACAACTGTGGCAGTGATTAATAAAGAGTACCGATATCGATTAGCACAGAAAGAATCAGATCAAGATTATGATAATAAAGCAAAGCTTGCGACATTGATTTTAGTAGTTTGGATGTCTTTTCAACTTTACTTGCTTGTTAAATCCCAGTTTTCTCGCATTGCCCTCGGCATGATCAAAAGATTAATGTATGCCAAATTCTTTTCACCCCATTTTCTTACAAATAAGGTGGTAGTGCGCGATATGCGTGCAATACCAGGAATGGAGAGGTCACGATTAATTAGTAGAAGAAATACGAGGAATGATGAGCTTTTCTGGCATTTGATTCGCATAATTTTACGGACTTCATTCATTTTGCAATAACTTTCATCGCTCAAAAAACAAAACATATGGAAGCTTCACACTATGAACAAGAAAGAAAAAGGAAATTATGAAAAGGGTAAAGTTATGAAGAAAGTTCACTCATTTCTTAATGTAGGAATGTACAAATCTGTGAGGAAAGAGATGACAGTAGAGTCTGCTAAAACTGAGGATGAGGTATTAGCGATTTTTTCCTTAAGACATGGGGAAGATAATCAAGTCAGGCATCGATTAATGATATCCATAAGCGAACTAATCAAGAAATCCAATCCTAGCAAGTAGCCATCATCAGGCCCGATATATCTTATATCATCCAGCAAAGTAGAGCATGTTGAATGAGCAAAATCAATCATTCGTAGATCAATGGATGTATCGTCGCGTTTTTTACCATCAAAAGCAATCAGTAAGGAACTGGAAAAGAATCGATAGCCATCAGCTTCGGCTAGTCGCTGCAAGATAACTAGTGGTAAGTTAAAGAAACGGGAAACGAAAAGTGACACTTTAAACAAAAGCCTACGTCACACAGGGAAAATAGTCGTTTCGCCAAATTATGAAGATATTTTGCATTAATTTCAGTTGATCAGCTTCAAACAATATTAATATGCATTCCTTTCTTCAACGTATCTTACGTTATGTTTGCGCTGTCACAATGCAGTCACGCACCTTTCTTAGAGTGGTTAATTTTTTCAGCAGTGCGGTGCTTCGTATCTTTCCAGCATTAATAAAATATTCAGCTAATGTCTCGCGAAACATTTCACAATTCATTTGTCTGCCCGCATATTTGTTTACATAAACGTATGTGCCAATTTCTTCCCTAAATACTAAGTTGAGCTAAACTCCATGTTTATATATGAACAATTCCGAGTGAGGAATATCAAATTTTGTTTTTTAGAAAAATCTACAAAAAAGGTGAAAGTAAATTTTGTTCACCAGCGTACAATTACTAACTTCAAAATATAATACAGTTAATATTCCTAGCTAAATAAAAACGGGTATGAAATGCTAGCAATTGAAACAAAATCACCTATATAATTGCATTCCAACAAGCCGAATCCCAATAGAAGCGCTTGTGGATTCACGGCATTTATTGGTCTGGGATTGTCGTTTCTGATCAGTTGCATCATCACCATACTGTCGTGTACCCATTTTCAAATCCATAACAGATGGACGTGAAAACCGGGATACCGTATTTTCTAAGAGCAAAAACAATGCGTAACCCTATAAAACGGAGGTTATACGATAATTTATTACGAAACAGAAGAAACTATATTCCATCAGGATATATAATTCGAGCAATTTTTTTTTTTAAATATTAGCAACAATAAATAGAGCACCAACACGATTGAATGGACACTTTTAGCGGGTATCCAACAGGAACTGATGGCAAGGGTATTCTTCTGTTTCTAGAAGAAAGCGTTAAGACCGTTTGCTGGCTGCAATGATAATGTTAAAGCGAAAACACACATATAAAAAGGAGGAGAAAGTGAAGGAGGAGGATTCACCCTTCACGCTTTGCCATAAAATGCTGTATTCGTGAAATACTTCAACCGAATAAGGCTTCCTTTCTCCTTTCTTTTTTGTTTTTTTTTTTTTTTTTTTTTTTTTTTTTTTTTTTTTTTTTTTTTTTTTTTTTTTTTTTTTTTATGGAAAGACACTCTTCAAAGCTTACCTTTAACAACTTTTGTACTGATCTAGTCTGACATTGCTTCGCCCATTCATTGAAATGCTGATCCGATTCAACTCTACCATTTTTGTTTAACCGAAAAATAAGCTGCCTTTCACTGGATGTTGCATTTTGATGGCATAAAACGGGTCTATCTGTAGTTAATATCAAGCCGTCGTCTCGAGAATTCCGCGGTTGAATGCTTACTGTACCTGAATTGCAAAACAAGCTTTTAAATTTGGAAATTCGAAAAAATTAATGTTCTCCATATGGAACAACAATGTACGGCGAATTATTTAACTGCGCACAAAATTAACGGAGATTGTCGGGAAGTGATTCAACATATCATTCAAACGCACCCGGACAAATAAAAAGCTATGCCCCTGCACATCCAGTTTTTCTGTAGGAGGAAAAACTGGAATAATGAATCGACAGAAGGTTCAACAATGTGAAGTTATTAAACATGACGTGTAGCTACTTCCACCATCTGGAAACGCCGAAAATATTCATTACAGGAACGGCAGAATGACATACATGATTTCGAGAAGGTCAAGACCGATCGATGGGAATTACTTTACACTCATCGCGCAACCTGCTTAATTGTAATAGTCGGCTTCATTTTTATTATAATACATTCAAAGAGATAAATAAAAAGGAAGCAAACTCAAACCACAACAATGCGCTGTGAATGGTGCAAAACGGTCGCCAATTTCTTTATAAAAAGCCAATTCTTTTGAATTCAACGGCTTACAAATATGTCCACCACATGTAAATATTCCAAAATGTCCACCAACTTGATGCGAGAAGCCAGTCACATTCATTTCTGAAAAGTGCAAACAAAGTGCTACTTTTGATATTTCTTTAATCGATGAACACGTCATCATAAAGAACAACTAAACAAAAAACCCATTTAAACAATGACAATAAATAACGGTAGTAGTAGTAGTAGTAATAGTAGTAATAGCAGAGACTCATATGCCTATATGATCATAACAATATGTAAAATTTTCTCTAATTTAAAGTCAATACCACTTTGTGAGTGTATTACCCATTTGCACCTTCATAGAGATAATTATAATGTACACAAATGGAAGAGAGGCAAAGAAGTGCAAAGTGCATACAATACTGAAAATAATTATCTCATCCACAAATACATCATTAATTACATCAAATCGACATATATTTAATTGTATGCACTCATGAACATTGAGCAATTCTTTTCCTTTCTTTTTTTATGGCATAGAAAACACAATAGCCACTGGAATGGTATAAAATCGTTGCTCGTTACTGTAGTGAAGGGTAAAAGTTACTCTAACAAATGTTTAATACTGACGAATGCTATAAATGTTCACAGAAACAAAATGCGAAGGAAATGATCTGAAATGCTGCTTTCTCCTCGTTAATAGAACATTTGATTTCAATAAGCTAAGAGCAATTGCCGAAATGAACATCACAGAATATGCCCATAAACAAACTCCCCTCCGAACTGAACCTTCACTCCAAGCAAGCCAACCAGAATGGGCAGCTAAATCCTTTCCAATCCGATTCTCAATCAACGATGCAGTTTTTAACGACGGCCATTTCTTCAGTCGCGATTTGAAGAAAGAAAATTCCATTGAAGTAATTCAAGTGGCTAAGTTGCAGGGAACGATGGAAGAAGGGAAGGAGGGGGCTCAAAGGACAAGGGCGAGAAGGCCGGGGAGAAAGAACGTTAGTTCATCGTATACGTAGCGGGTTTTTACCTCTGCGGGAAAGTGTTTCAGAATACAGGGCAATATCATAGCATCCTACTGCGGGATTTCTGTACGACACTACAGCACTCATTTCAGTCGCATAATCTGATATTTTAAAGTTTAACTTTTAAATTTTACAAGGATTGCAGATTTTTTCCTAGTAGATATCAAATATTTCAGAAATGAGTAAGGGTAACATTATTTATACAAAAACGAATAAATTATGATTAAAATAAATCGTAATCAGAAAAAAATTATGGTTGTAGGACATTACACCAATTCACAATTGTTAAAAGGGAGAAGAGTGTAATTTTTTTTTATTTCGTTTACAGGAATGTGAATGCAGTAATTAGACATTTTAAGAGATACTAAATAGATAGTTTGAGAAAAAAACCAACAAATCATTCGCAGCATACGAAAATTGTAGTGAAAAAAAAGTACTACTGATTATTTTCTGGTTACAATTTTCTGAGCGATGCATCATTTATACTCAATTACAAGTGATAACGTATTATGACAAGAAGATAAGATAATAAGACATCATTACTTTTATTATTCTAAGCATTTAATACCGTATGCATCATCAACATTCTTCAAGAAATATTCAGTCCTAAAGGAGATTCCTTTTTGCTTCATTAAATTACATCGATCTAGGTTAGAGAAAGAATGTTCGAATGCAAGGCCCCTCAATTTATTAAGTCTTTTTCATTTCCTTTTCTATTTCCTTGTCTCTCTTTCTTTAACTATAGTGCAAACTGGATAAACTAAGGATACTTGCTTGGTGTTTTCCCTTACATAGAAGAAGAAAATAAGTCGCCTATTGAATAAAGATATGTCTCCTCTATTTGTTTATTTTCATTTCCTATGAAATGTTTCCATTAATCTATTCATTTTTTTTCTGATTTTTTAAAACTTGGAGGAACGATTTAAAAAAAAAAAGAAGGTTTCACGGGTAAAACTACGGAAAGCACGCAGCATAACGAGACCAGATAAACCTGTTGAACCGCTAGGGAAGAAGAAACTGGAAATTCTTGATTGCAAAGTCTTATCTGATTCCGGGATTAAGAAATGCGATATGTAAAGGTTGTTTACTTTGTTAGAGGGTATTAATATGAAATGAAGAAACAACTGGGAATGACTGATGTGATATGTGATTTTGCAGAATGATGGAGATGAAAGGATGGCATCAGTGAGAGGATCTTTCCTGGATGTTTACATTGATGGTGAATGGGTCAAGGTTTGTGCAACGTTGGATGAAACAGCATTAACACTAAGCGTACCAGCAGACGCTGATCACGGACAGGGCGCAGATATACGTACGGTTCGAATAGTGAAACATGATGGTAGTGGCCTGGGTATCAGCATCAAAGGTGGCCGTGATAATGACATGCCTGTTATCATTAGGTTATCTCTAATTTGTTTTTATTCAATGCTTTTTTTATTCTGATTCTTTTTGATTCATTTTTCAAAGCTTTTTCTGTTTAGTACTCATTCTAAAGTTTGATTGAAAAGAATATTTTCAGCAAAATTTTCAAAGGTATGGCAGCAGATGAAACAGGGCAATTGTTTGTTGGTGACACTATCGTTGCGGTAAACGGTGAATCCTTAGAGGATGCTACACACGATGAAGCTGTTAGGGCACTTAAGAAAGCTGGACGTATCGTCGACTTGCATGGTTCAGATTGATTTATAAACCAATAGCATTTGTGGATTTTGTTAGAAATTATTTTCATTCTTGTTAACTTTTCCGCAGTGAACCTCCAGGTTTGAAACTAAAATCCTAGCATTTTTTTCAAGTTATATTTAGGACATTTTACTACATGTATGACTTCTTTTTGAAATTTGAAATTTGGTAGGAAAGTTGTATTCTGTGGTCTCATAATTTTTTTTTTTAATTTTAGTTCGTTTCATGCGGGACATGTGTGCTCAACGTGAAAACTGGGTGGAACGTATTCAATGGGATGACGCTTCGCACGATCGAATTCGTAGCATTGGTTTGAAACTTGCCTTTGTGACACGTACAACTCTCCAAATTGAAGATATCGAAAACAGAATGTTTGAAATAAGATCGCCTTCGGGACGATATACGCTTTTATTTAGGTTATTAGTTTATAAAAAGATAACATTGATGCATAAAATAGCACTTTAATATAGCCTCATCTCACATCTAACTGCGCTATATAAAAAATTTTATTACTATTTTAATTTTTCATTTAAAAAAAAGCAGAATAAAAGTACTATGAAAGTGAAAAAGTAAGTTTCTTCTTGAAAAATGCACTTTTTGAAGTGTTATGAACATTTCTTCTAATTTCACAAATTACTTGCAGCATTCGTTTTTTGTTTCTTTTTAGATGCAGTAATTCATTAGAAGCAGATGCCTGGTTCGAAACTGTACACACTTGTTCATGCGCATTATTAACACAAGCGTTGGCACAAGTGAATTTGATGCTTGGAAATAATCCACAAGTGCGCAAAATGGGCTGGATTACTGAACAGGTTGGTTCGAATTAACTGTGTGATTTTCATAAGCGATATCAGGCTGGTTTCCAAGAGGCAGTGATGAGTCGTCTAACTGCGAAGTAATATGAAATGTGTTCTTTAGCTGGAAATATACAAAATAAGTTAATTACTCGTAATCCACCATTTTTTTTTTTTAACATTAAACATGCTGTGATATCTTTTGTAAATAATTCCTTTTTATAGATGCTTAATGAAAATGGAATAACCGTCTGGAGACCAATGTTTGCAGCATTAACTGTCAATGATTTACTGTTTTATGACTCCGTCCCGATGTTGAAATCGGAATGGGCTTCTCCAAAAGTTACCAGACCGCTCATCGCTACACGCGTGGTACAAACAACGTCACGGTAAGTGTTAAATTATTTGTATTAACCTTGATAATTTAAATTTACAATCGAATTCACAAGGAAAATATTTCATCAAACATAGTATCCAACAAGTCCTAGTTGGTCATGATATTTTTATATTTTCACTCAATTTCAGATTAAAATCACTAACTTGCCACTCAGTGGGAATGTTTTCTTGAAATTGAGTTGGATAAATAGTGAACTGTAAATTTTGTAGCTATCAACTGATGCAGTTATTAACAAGCAAGCACATTGCACTCTATACAACAAATCAAGTTTAGAACTGCTCCTGTTATAACTGGCTTATCAGATGTGATATCATTTACAACGAGAACAGGTACACAGCAAGGTGTCCGCTCACATGTGTTACGCGTGGAAACACACCGAGACTTGGCTTCATGGATAAGAAGTATCGTTACATGTACATATGAGGCATGCGCCAAAACTGGTCAAGTATCATGTCGTTAGTTGTTTATTTCATTTTACAAGATTTGTGCAATATACGCTATGCGATGTAGTACAACGTACAATGACAATTTTTTTTCAGCATCAAATTCTTTTTCAACTATTTTTTAAACTTGGCTACTATTTATAGTATTATTCTTAATATCTTGCTATCACCAAAAGAATTTATTTAAATTGTTAAAACAGTGAACACTGAAAGACTACGATTAAGGAAGTTCAAATAAATTAAAGTGTAAAATCAGTCTTTTGAATAGTAATGCCTCTTAAACGATAAGTTACAGCTTGTGTTTGGCAAGACGAGCAGTGCGAGTTAGTGTTGCAGCTTGACAAAGGCTTAAGCCTAATTAGTCATGATGGCCAAATCCGATGGCAGTATCCATTTGAAACCATTCGAGCTACCGGTGACGACGGGAATAGATTTCTGTGGATCGATTTTGGTCCACCTTCCGGTGAACAGGTGCATGACTCACAGGTTCTCGAGAAAAAAAAAATGGATTTTAGCTTAGGAGCGCAACCTCGATGTAGAATCATGAACATCAATTCACTACTTTTCAGGAAATCGACTTGCTTTCATCACCAAAACCAGTTGTTTTTATTCTTCACTCATTTCTTGCCACAAAAGTTTATCGGCTCGGATTATATGCATAACATGCAAGAGAATGACGATGTCCAGTCAACTGTTTCGTAGCTCTCTCATTTAATAACATAATTTATTTTAGCATTAAATATTGTACTATTTGCTCATGTTTTCTTTCTGCTAAAGCATTTTTCTCTCCACTTATTAGCTTCAAATGTTTGTAACTTATATCATATTTCAACCTACTTATAAAGAGCTGTAACTGTTCTTAATATAACATTTTTTATTTAAACAAAAGCAAAAAATGTAACAAGGAATAGTGCCTGAGTGGAGAAGAGAACAGCAATATCGGGAGCATATATTAAAGTTGAGGACTTAATTGATAGCAACAGTTTGTTCCCGCTGTCCTCAAAAAGTATTTCAAAAGACAGATTTGTATAGTCACCTTTGACAGCAAGTTCTAGGTTGCATAAGAAGTGGGTTCACTAATCAGTATATAGTTTATTTCCACAAGTTTTTTTATAACGAATAGTGACTTTCGTCATTCAAACAAAACAAGGGATGTTAGTTCACGGGAGCACCGTATGCATCAGGCATACGTTCTATTGAGAATCGATGTTGCCTAATATACAGAATAGGAACACCTGGAATTTTACGAATCCGTCGTTTCAAATCCTTGTCACATGTGGCAACCATATAACATTTATGCTAAAAGAATGATGAACAATGAATATGAAATTCAGGACATGCACTTTTGGTGGGAATAACTTTCATTTCGATAGGTTTGGATGTTTCTTGACGAAAAAATAATTTTTTCAAAGAATTCCTTCCGAAAAAAAAAAAAAAAATTCTTTTCTATCCTAATAAATACTTAAAATATGAAGATATAACGCGTCCCTGTAACATGATTCTGCACGGGTTTGAAGAAACTATGACTTTATTCGATTCTACTCAATCATTTAATCTATTATAGGATTTCATACGAGTCAGTGTACTGCGCCTTTTCTTCAAGTCTTAAGAATACTGCAATAAAGAAAGCTATTGGCACACCTGCGTAACCCTTTGTATAATACAGTCGTCGGCGTAAATCCCCTTATGAGAGCATGACAAACGTTTAAACCGATTATCTTTAATAATTTTTAGAGCAACTTTGCATCGCTGTCCAAGTTTTTCCAGTTCACCCAAAACGCAGTCTGTTACATACGGTATCGCTAAAAATTAAAAAATCAAAAACTATTGGAATGTGAATTAATCAACCCTTAACTTCCTAACTTTCAAAAAGCATTAACGTGGAAAAAAATTAATTTACTGTAAAACAAACTTTTCGCATACAAACAGTCCATAAATCCTTGCATAATATCGATCCTATACTTAATAGAGAAATTGACAAAATTCGTATCGATGATTACATGAAATGGTGGTCCAAGCTGGGTGTTGTACTTCAAGAACATCGCTGTTGATACTTGAGGTCTGCAAATTATGCGATAAATATGAACATATTAAAAATGAAGTACTAAGAACTGGAAAATGAAAATTATGAAAAGGGAAGAAAATAACACACGCTTCGACAACTTTCAACGCCTGCTTATCATCTTTATTTTTCTTCCTGATAACGCGATCACTTTCCTTACTGAAAGCAAGTAATTAACTATTTTATGAGACCATTTCTTGTAACATATTTCCTGATATTGACAAATCTGCATAGCGTCACGCTGAATTGCGGTACTACTCCATCTAATAATTAATAAGGAATGAAACACATTTAGTTGAACGCTATTCAATCACTACTAACGACTTAGCTTTTCACAACATGTCTCAATTCGGTTTTATTCTTTAATACATCTGATTAATGAAACTATATAACTTTTTTTCCGAACAGAACTACATCTTTAAACACTTAAACAAACAAACATTCGCGAATCGGTTGGCTTGATCATTTTTGCTATTTTCGTGGAAATTTTCTGAGTTTTCTTGAGCTTACCCTGAAAAAACCCAATGATATTTACTATGTATAATGAATACGGTCATGATTTAATACAATAAATTAGCTAGATATTTATTTTTTTATTTTTCCTAACGAATACTAATAAACGAAGGAACAACTTACCATATCTTTCTATCTAACTGATTGCACACTATCCTGATTAATTCACACTCAGTAGTGTACCTCAGCTAAGATATAACGAGCCGCAAAACCATCCGTTAAATCTTGGGGCCAGTGGTTGTATAAGATTTTGATTGTAGAATTTGCAGGAGAGAGGCCGAGAAGTGAGCTATTCGGTGTGGCGGTCTTTGACATTTCGATGGAGGAGTAAGAGAATAGAGAGGGAGTATTTCGACTAGGAAATAGGAGGAGAGAAAGAAGCATATCATTCTCTCGGGAAAGATCATCAAGCAGTTAATTTTAATCTTTTAAGTAAATCAGGATTATACTATTCAAGAGTATCACAATATTAAGCAAATTTACCGCAAGTATGACAACATACTATTGATTTTAATATGTATTGTATTCAGAGTTCTATATATATATATATATATATATATACAACATACAATTGTTGTCGAAATGCTATTCACATGCACTGTTCACCATTTGCGTTCACTTGGAATTCGCTGCCTTGCAAATAGTGCCGGTGATTCACACACTCACTATCCGATTTCAACAGTAACCCGAAAATCGATTGATGAGGTATTGGAACCATCACAGGCACCAACAAAGATTAAAGTTTCAGATGAAGTGCAAAAGGTTTTGTTTATTTCTAGGTCAAAATTTAAGATTAGATTAAATTTAAGATGTAAATGTAATTGCCACTGAAAAAGAGCATAATATATACTAAGAACAGAGTTATGTATTTAAGAATTTATTTTTAAATTACGATAACATTGTAGCAAACAGTAGATCTTTCTGGTGTACCTGTGGATTTTTTACGCACTCGTCGAGTACGTATATATCGACCAGCGCGTGAAGCAACTCAGTCAGGTTGGGCGAGAACCAGAACGTGGAAAATTGAACTGGATAATCTGGAAAGATGGGAGAATTCACTGATTGGTTGGTCTAGCACGTAAGTTATGTTATTGAATACTCGAATACTCGCAGTGTTAGCGTTAGACTTTTGCATAAATTTTTAATTGATATGTTGAGCTTTTAAAATACAGCTTAGATTCAAATCTCATGATTTCATGGATTCGTGTATAGTTAAGTTATTATTCTACTTAAGGTTTTTTTTTTTTTTTTTTTACTTTATTACTCTGCCTAAGAATTTGCGTAAAAGATTAAAAGATTTAAACTTCTGATAGGGAGAATTTAATTTCTCTAAAAATAAAAAAGTCTCGATAGAGTACGAACGGTCAGTAAATTATTAGCCAACCAGTAGCAAAAAGAATATAGCTTGAAATACTGACCTTTTCGTTTGTCTTTGAATGCTGTTAACTTCTTTCGTATGCTGTTAATAGCGGATGAAACACTTATTGAAAAAGTCACTGTGAATGTAAAGTGAGTTATAAGACATAACATTACTTTCTTGTTTCTTATTTATAGGGGTGACCCTTTAAGTAATATCTCAATGGCTATGGATTTTGCATCAAAGGAAGATGCTGTTCGGTACTGTGAAACAAACAATTTAAATTATGAAGTGATCGAACCAAATGAGCGAGTAATTAAGCCAAAAAGTTATGCAGAGAATTTTTCATGGAATAAACGAACAAGAATTACTAATAAGTAACATGTGCACATCAGTCGCTTGTAGATCAGATCGAGTTGTATTACACCAACCATTTTTAGATGTGTGTATCTGTTAATTTCTACCTTTAACTGAGAAAGTTATTGACAGTTAAATAAGCACCTTTCCTGTTATGACAACATTCAAGTAGCACATACAGTATGTATTATTTTGTTATGTTTTAAAACTCAGCGGTCTTCCGCTGGGTGATTATAAAATGACGACCCTTAGTCCTATTCAGTGCAAAAGGACACAGGTTTTAGGTTTGGAACATCTTTTAAGGAAATTGATTTGTACATTTGTCTCCGCAATATTTTATACAAATAAAGCTTTCATCATATTTAACTTTCATGTACATATTTCCTATGGTTATTAAACCAAAAAAAATTTATTGTCTCAATTTCTTTTTGTTAGTTCAGTGTAGAAAGAAAGCACTGAATTAGACCTTGAGGTAAATTGTGAACAATTAAGAGTGAACTAAGTCATGTAGATGAAAATATTAAAAATAAGTTTAAATGGTCTAACCCATTGCGAAGTTTGCATGCTTTTATACATTGTAGTTTTTTTCTTGAGTTGTTCACGCTTTGCTACTACTATTAGTACATTGGTGTGAAGTGTGATGGTAAAAAACTTAACTGTTTGAAAGATACATGGAATTTCCTGTCAGTATAAAAAACTGGATGTGTAGAATATGATGACTTCTAGATTCTTCATTACTAAGCTGAAACGTTTCATGCGTTTGAATGACTTTTTCATGTCGAAAGAATGACTGTAGGAAAAATGTCACTAACATTTACGGGAAGCGCACAGATTGGAGGAAGACCGGACAAAGCTACGATTCAAAAAATGCTGGATGAGAATGGTCAGTTGATTAGAGTTATCGTACGGTACCAGAACATGGGAAGGTTAGTTTAAAATTATGAAAGATCTATTGTATGATTTCTTATAAATTATTCGGTTCTGATAAATGGACATTGAAAAGTAAAATTAGGAACAAATATCTAGAACTGCTGGTTGTGTAGTACGGTAATTTTGGTTGAAGATCAGGCTTCCTGATTTTAATTTACTAGCTAATTAGAAAGATGTGCATTAATGCACGAAGGTCATAGTTATTTCCCACAACTGACCATTTATCTTACTGTGCTTACGGTATCATCCATACAGTGATGATGAAGTTATTAACAGAAGCCAAAACAGAGGTACTGAACAAAGAATTAATGACAAGACACATTTTTGCTTCAGGGCAAATGATGCGCTACAGTACCAGCAACTTCTTCATCGAAATCTCGTCTATCTCGCTTCATTAGCTGATGCTAGCATCCAGCAGGAGCTTACCCAGCAGGTATCATTGTTTCCATCATAACTTTTTTTTGTGCCTTCCTTTCTGAGTTTTAGATCAGAAACTCCCAAATTTTCAGTAGAATAGGATTATTCTCCTAATCTTCACTTTTTTTTTTTTTTGTAGAATATAAAAAATAGATTTTGCAGAACGACAATATAAAAAAGGAGGTTACAAGGCAAGATCTAATTTCAAATCAACAAAATACTTAGGACGAATTATTCACAGCTTCATATACCATACTGAGCATTTGTACATGATTTATGCGTTTTACAGTCTTTTTTGAAAAGGACTTTGTTTTATCCGTCGATCTATCTTTTAGTAAGAAAATCGTTTTCGTACTGTTCATATTTGCAACAAAATAAACAAATGAGTGCGTAATTTTACAATGAATAAGAATTTAAAAAGATGAAAAATATACGAAGCGGAAAAAAATCTGATTTAAAATTTGAAATAGTATACTATTAAGAAGTCTGAGACATGCGAAAACAAGAGATATAATGTGTGAAATAAGGTTTTGAGATAATGAGCTTACTATGACGTATGATTGTACAAAGTGTGCAAATAATAACACCAGGATGGATTAAAGTACTGAGCATTATAAATACCAAACAACCATCTGTGATTCTTTTGTTCAGATGACAAATATTTATCAGTGGAGTAAAAGTGAATATCAAATATAGTCACAAGCGATTATAGTGGTTCAGCAAAGAAGAGCAGTAACTTTCATTTTCGCTGCATCACTACATAAAGAAAAAATTATAGAGACATTGAAGAACACTAAAAACAGCAAATGATAAATTGTTTATTTGACAGTGGTGCGTTGCATGGATAAATAGAGACATAACACCGGAAGAGAAGAGTTCATAGTGAATGACTAGGATCTCGGCAGTATGTAAATTTAAAACTTCGCAAGTTTTAAATCTAAAAGAGCTTCATATGAAGTTCATTTCCTAAACTAATGTAGCGTCATTTCAACACAAAATTATCAAGTGATGAATATCGGTCAGCAGTTATGACAAAATTCAAATCTAGAAATTCATATGAAGTTTGGTTTTCATCAAAGCAAGTTTTTAAAATTAAGAGTCTTAAATCTTTATCAAAAAGAATACAATGCTTCGGTAAGCAGTGGAAGAGAAAATGAGTCCATCAACATCAAAAAAAAAAAAAAAAATCGAAATAAAGTTCAAGTTCATTCTAAATAGAAGTTATTAGAAACATCGATTTTTGAGCCTTGAGGCATTCCTGGATGATGAAGATATTTTTGGTTGAAATGTATAACAATAATAGTGATGTCATCTCTGTACCTACGTGTTACATCAGGCGGTAACTGTAGCATTTCAATCAGTCGTAGATACTGAGCCGAAACCTCTCCAGGACCACCTAAAGCATGTCGAAGTAGATGAGTAGCACTGTTTTCATCCAGTGGTTTCTTACTTGTTCTGTGCAACCGTTGCTTCAAGTCTTCGTGAACCTGGAATAAAACTTAAGAAATGGTACTATTCAAACTATTTAAATTTTCACCATATAATCTAACAGTATATATATATATATAAACATCGCCTCAGATTATTCTATGGTTTTGTGAGTTCAATATTCAACCAAGGAAAAAAGTAATACGTGGAGAAAGCAAAATTCAAGCACCTGTGACAATATAGTTCCTGTAAAAGGTGCATACGAAGTGAGGGTTTGCATGCCCAGTGTATGATCGAATACTAGCCGCACCACTGTGTCAGGGTCAAGGAAATCCCAAAGACCATCCGTAGCAAGTACCATAAAATGATCATTAGGAGTCAATTTATGGTACAAAACCTATAATACAATTGTTGAAGTTGAGACTTCAAATCTTATTTTCAATAATCCATTAAAAAAAAAAAAAATAATAAATGCTATATATTCTTTTGCAAGACCCGTTAACAATTATTCCTTAAGCGTCATTCTCACCGACACAACCTACAACTGTTATGCATTAACATTAATTTATGCGCTTACTTCTGGTAAAGAGCTAAGGTAGGGCGGTGAGTCCATTCCATAAGGCAGGGAATGACTCTTGGCACCAAGTATATCCTTTTGTAGCTCAGCTGACCATTTGTATCTAACATCACCAAATGCCCTGAAAGGAAACAATTCACCAAAAAGCCGACCGCCGACTATCAAATTGTTCGTTTCGCTATGTGGGTGAGCGTCTCTAATTCGCTGTACCTAAAAATGGATCGCCCTGTGAGTGAGTAAATGAAACTTAAACTAAATTGATTCCATTTAAAAATAAGTTACAACTTCCTATTTAGTACTGGTTATTTAATGTTTAAAAATAAATTACGACTTACTATTCAGTACAAGTATATTTAGTGCAAAGACCGTGATCAAATTACTTGACTAGAACAACTTACAAGTCGAACTTCCATTTCTAAGCCTTTAGCGTACTGTGATCACCATTTCATTAGCATGAAAATTTTTGCCTTCCTTTAGAAATTCCAGTTAAAACTTCATCCTATCAATTTTTTTTGGAAACAAAAGCGAAACAGATCTACCTCATCAGCATTATCAACACAATGTGGCTTCGAAAGAGGCATAGCTGAGATAACACCTTGGCTATATAATCCTAGCACTGCCGCACTGTCACCAACATTTGCCACATGCAAATTTACACCACGAATGTGAGCTACAACTGCACAGGAGCCTGCCATCACCATTCCAGTATACTGCCTTTAATAAATCTCTTCGAAGATTTTCCAAAATTAAGTTGGAAATTTCTTATCCAATATTGAAATTTAGCTCTACTTCATGAATTACAAAATATTTCTATTTTTTTCTCTATTTCATAAAAAATACATCATTAAGCATCATTTCCAGAAAAAATTTAACCTTAAATACACACTATCACTATTACCTTTTTTTTCTGCCCTACTGTTGATCACTTCATGATCTATGCATTTATGGAGAAGCCTAATTAAAACAAGTGAAGAATCGAAATGGAAAGCTTAAAATTTAACTCACTTTGACAATTCACTGTGCCTTTCGTCCAGTGCATTAGTAGACAAATCACTGTCACATGCACAAAACGAGAGTTCTAGTGCCTTCCTCACTGTTGTCATCGTCGAGTCGCTCACTGCTTCGTTGTAAAAATTTTCGATGTTTTTCAAATGGTTTTCTCTAAAACATGAATGTATTTTTCAACATTTAGTATTTGCATTATAGTACACTCTCATTATAGTATTATAGTAGAAGTATTTTTTTTAGATTTCTAGACTCTGAAAATCATACGAAAACCGATTTCAAAGTAATCGATTTAAAAGCAAGAAAAGAAAAAAAGAACTGCGCAAATTTTTTAAAAGGAACAGGAAAACGAAGTTTCATACCTGTACATTTCATCTAGTAAGTCACCATTCGTAAAAAACCAGTGTAATCTGTCTCTGATGGGTAAATCAGTGACAATATGTTGTTTCAATATAGAAGCAGATATGTAATCAAATAACCGTGTTGAAATATAACGGCTGCAAGAATTACCACCATGTCCATCAAATACACCTAAAAAAGCACTGCGATGATACAAATCCTAAATTTACCAATGAAACTAATTCAAGAGTTTTTATTTATGAACTATAATTCGTAAAGCTAATTTCTGATAGTTAGAGGAAAACTATAAAAATCTCTACTTTTTCGGGAAAAATCTTTCACTTCGCTCAATTCCTTACTTAACTGAAACCAGTAACAGACATATCTTTTCGAACTTAACTTTATTTCTTTTATATCAAAAGAATTAGAAAAGAAAAATAGTCAACCAAAAAGGAAGGCCTCAGATGAAAGACATTTTGCAGCTGCATAATAATCTTCTGTAGGATGATTAGCAGGTAAATGTGCGATGTCGATTCGAGCGACTGCTCCATCTGCAACGGTACAGGATTGTTCGCTAGACCGAAGCTGTGCATCAGTATAAGCTCGTGACGCTCGCAAATGACGGCGTACTTCTCGCCATACGTTGCTTTGAACTTTTTGAATCATTTCACCAATAACATGAATTCATTTTCACCTGACATTTAAAGAAAAAAAATGTATTTCGTTTGTATTTTTGAAACTTGACAAAGTATCAATCACGGAAAATCCGAAAACTACGAAAATTTTCGACCGAAGCATGCTTCGATGCATTTTTTTTTTCCTTGAAGTTTGACATGTCGATATTTATATCACTTATCAAATGTTTTAAATGATAAAGTTGTAAAATAATAAAAGAGAAACATTTGTGCAAACCATTTTCAAAATTAAATATAGACTGTAAAAAAGACTTAAGATATTATTAAAGATAGGACTTCGCATGTAGCAACACGTAACACTTCTCCTTCTGTTGATTTCCAAAGCAAGACATAGATGGATCAAACATATTTTACATTTACACTTAACAAAAGTTTCCTTTTCCTCTAATCCACTTTCATTTTCAAAATCAGATTCACTATAACACAGCAAAAAATCAAATTCATAAAAACATATACATTAGAGAAATAGCGAGAGAGAGTGAAAAAAAAAAAAAAAAAAAAAACAGTTCTCGTGATATAATGCATTCACTAATATTTTCCATGAACACACAATTAAATACTGTTAATTTTGCATAAAAAGAGAAAAGAGATTGTTCGCTCCTTCAAGAAATAAAAATAGGTATAAAAAATAAAAATCAAAAATTATTTCAAACAATCTCACGAAAAGCACATAGTTGCGCTTTCTGTTTCCTTCTTTCCTAACAATCAATCATTTATTTTGTTAAAAAAGAAGGAAAGAAAATAGTTCTTTATTTATTAAAATGAGATAATTATAAAGCAGATTTGTTGAAAACCTAAAGTTTTACTATTACTTTTCATACCAAAATGTCACCGTTAGTACACCGTTATGTGGTATCACAAGCTGTATTGACAAAATATGCAGTTATAATAAAATTTTACAACTGTCAACGAATTACTACTGCAGTAAAATCATTGCAAGCAGAAACAAAACATGTTAAGTTATCTTGAATTACAGAAAAATCAAGAGAGTAGAAAGAAAAAGTTGTGGAGATAACTTAACTAAACCATATCACACCACAAGTTTAATATCTAAAACCAGAAAACTATTTTAATGTAATCGATGGAATAAGAGATAGAACGGTGGAGACCAATACTTAATATTTCGGAAAAAATTTTAATTTTTTTCTTCTTTTAAATTAATTCGAAGAAAAGGTTAGCAAAAGAAACATTCATCTTAATTTTAGCAAGCTTCAAAAAAACTTTTGAACTTTAACAAAATAATCAGTGATAGCTGAACTGATAATAAATCATCAGGTCGAAGATCAAGCAATGGAAATTAAATTTCACACGCCAGCATTAACACGGTCCGTGAAATTAAAAGATGGTTCGTAGTAGCGACAGGTATGACGTTTGATATCGTTAATGTCTTTCATACACGAGTACTTGTGTAAAGTATTCACGAGTTGAGTTAATGCGTGTAAGCGTTAGCTTACGTGGATACGTTCCATATAACGCTTGCTCATGCTATCCTTCCTTCTGTAGAAAAGTTACGATTGTATTATGAAGTTAACATTCATACATCTTTCTTTATTCACTCATTGTATCACAAACTCTGTATAGAAGAACAAATTAAAAGGGGTTTAAGTTAAATCGCTTCATTAATTGTTTTGTTACGACAAATTTAAAGTGTTGGCAAGAGTCGGAACGATGAGTTCTTTGTGGATTACCGTTTCAATGATTATTTTGTTATAGCTTTAACTTTTATTAACTTTCTTTATATATGCATGACATTTTGAATTTTATTCTCACTATCAGTATGTATATTACATCACCCGAAAATACCAGTTGTTCGGAAAAAGGTTTATGAATGAACTCAGGTATCTTTGTCCATAATTCCAAATAGTTCACTTTCTGCTGTTCAGTTTTTCAGTATCCACTTTTTCACTGACAATTGTATTTTAAGCGAAGATCTTTTTCAAACTCATTCAGCAAGAACTTTTTTGTGTAGGGAAAAAGCTACTGGTTTAAAAAATGCCATTATTTATAGCTTTTAATTAAACTTCATTACAGCTGCTGCTATTTTTGTTTGCATACATATGTTTTCCTTTCTTGTATATGGAAGTACGGATGAGAATTAATTGATTTGAAGTCGAAATATAATGTGGACTGCTTTTAATTATTCTAACTATAAACTTCAGTCTGAGCTTTCGGAAAACTGAAGTAACTCCATTTTATAACTTTTTGAAATTGAAAATTCATATTTATTCACCCAAATTTTATGCAAGTTTTATGGCGACTCTTGATTTGCTTCCAAATTTGGAATAAAATTTTGGGTTTGCAGACTTTGGGAACAATAGGAACTCTTTGACTGCTCTCCGATTCACTAAACCAAATTTATAAAGTAACAAGATAAAATTTGCATATTCCCATAAGTTATAGACAAAATTTTTATGTTTTTTTATTTCTGTTTAGTATTTTTTCACTTTGCAATGCTTACACATTTGTCAATGCTGTATGAATTCCTTGCCCATTGTTTTGGATATCGGTTATTGATCTTTCGAACGATTTCAGGTGCTCCTGTTATTATTCATCTTCATTTTATGTTTTTTATATCTGTATAAGAAACTGATTTTATCAAATATTTCACTTAAATTAATAGGAAAAAATTGTCATTGCAGAAGACGTTCAGGATGGAAGGTCCACTATCAAAGTGGACGAACGTCGTTCATGGATGGCAATACAGATGGTTCATTTTGAGGGATGATGCGCTTCATTATTACACTTCTAGAGAGAAAATGATGAAAGGGCAACAACGTGGTTGCATACGTCTTCGTGGTGCTGTTATCGGTATCGATGGTGAAAATAATTCCTTGTTTACGGTCACTGTTGACGGCATAACATTTCATTTACAGGTTAGATATGAGAGTGAAAAAAACTAATTAGCCTAAATATCTTTAGTATAACATTACAAAGTATATCCGTATATTTATTACGTTGATGTAAGATAAATGGCAAACATTGTATTATTACGATTAAGAAGAACAAATAGTTGTCTCTGAATTGCGTATGATGATTAGCGGTCTTTTTCTTGTAAAAGTTGAGCGACAAAAGTATGCTCCATCAAGTTGAATTATATTCATATGGCTTAATTATTTGAGATATAATCGTTACTGTTATAATTAGCACAGATATATGTAATAACAATAAACAGTAAATACTAGCATTTTTGTGCTTATTTGTTTAAATTAAGTTAATTATGAAATTATTAATTACCTGATATGTACATACAAACATACATACATACGTGTAGAGTAGACATACACAGATACAGTAACGTGTGAATAGATACAGTAGGTAATGACAAATGTTGACACTTTGATACAGTAAAATCTTAAGTTATCGAAGAATTTTGCGCGAAAATTCATCAGCAAAATTAATAAAGCTTTCAATTTGATCATGGTTTTATTTCAATTTAAGAATTAAAATTAAATTTTATTTCAAATTTAAATTTTGAATTTTTTAAAAATTTTAAAATTTTAACAGTTTTCTTACATTAAACAACGAAATTGGTTCTAAATTATCAATTTTAATTTTAATTAAGTGCCAAAACTACTAAAATAGCAGTATTTTAAACTTAATTGATTATGTTGTATGCATTGCAGCAGAGCGAGTCATATATGGTGTGGTCATTTTATAGTTTAAATATTGAAAAACGCTTTTGTAATTAAGTCATCTTTAGGATTAAAAATCGACTGACAAATTTTAAGATTTTTAAAAAATTCAAAATTTAAATTTGAAAGAAAATTTGATTTTAATTCTTAAATTCAATTAGAACCATGATTAATTGAAAGTTTTATTAATTTTGCTGATGAATTTTTGCGCAAAATTAATTACAAAAGCGTATTTTAATATTTAAACTGTAAAATGACCACACCATAGTTATATACAGTATGTATGTTAAGTTAAAGAGGAATGTAAATTCTGGATTCAGATTTGTGAAATATTGGTATAAAACTATATTATTTCTCTAAAACTTCTCACAATTAGAATGGACTTTATCATTTAAAATGGCATCATTTTATTACTGTTAATTAAATTATTGGAAAGATCGATTTTCCAGTATTATAGTCTAGAATGCTTGGAAATACAGTTCGGTAAATCAATAAAAAATCTACTTGTTTTAGGGTCGAGATGAAAGTGAACGCAACAGCTGGATTCGTGCTTTGGAGGCCGTTATCCATGAACAGAGTGGTTATTATCGTGTAACTTCGTTAAATTCACCAGCAGTTTTAAAAGCAAAAGCTATTGAAGCAGACAAACATTTGCAAGATATGATCAATGAGGTATCGCCATGTTCTTTGGAAATTGATTCAAGTAACAAACAATGTTTGTCCATTTGTGGTGAGTACTAGATTTTAAGAGTGTAGCATAGTGCATAGTAAAAGTTATATGGCTGATAATGTTTTATTCTATCGATTTATTTCTTATTCAAACTCTATTTGACTTGCAATTTTGGTAGGAATAATCTCATTTAGGTGTAAATAAAAACGTTGATCAGATTAACTACTATAGGTCCGAGAATTGGAAGGATTGTCTACTTCAGCAAATACTGAAATGAAGAAAACAGTTGATGATTTGGTTAAATCAGCGAATCGCTTGCTGGATACGGTGAAGCATGCAGTAATATTGCTACAAATGGCTAGAAGTCATTTAGAGGGTGCTTCAATATTGGGTTTAAATGTGAATGGTGAAGGATCCGAGATTTCTGAGGTTTATATTTTACTTTCGAGGTGAAGTAATTTGTTCTTTAGCCAACATGGCTTTACCGAATGCGGTCCTATTAGAGTTCGATTTATTATTCTCCCCATACCTTGTGCCATCAATCCAATTGGACACACTAATTGAATTTTAGTGGGTTTCTGTTTGCATTTGAATCAAAGTGTGGATAAAATGTAGTAAGATAGTAATGTAATAAATTACTTTACAGATTCGAAAATTATTCGGGAGCCG